GATCTCTTGGAGGCGTTGGATGAGTGTAACAACGAGGATCCACGGCGCAGCCACTACCGGGATACTCCCCAATACCATCCTGCGCGCAACATCGCGCGTCTTCCTGCCAAATTCATCAATCTTCGCGCGGTTGGTGACCAGTAGGATCCAGATCCAGGGCGGCATCCTCCGTGTGGATCCAGATCCAAACCTTTTGATGGCTGGCCGGACTCGTTGGCGCTGGATCCGCACTCGGTGCATCGAAACTGGTCTTAATACATTCTACTCGTCGGTCTTTCGTTCATGTTAGTTTTCGTCTTTTTTGCTGCGACCCAGACCCGCATTCACACTCCATTCCAGCTTCACCTCACGATCCCAATCACCTTCAGCTTCGTCTTAGTTCCACCTTGTCGGACACCACTCGCGTCCGATTATCCCATGCATATATACAGAGTCCCCAATCCATCGATCTGCAACCTCCTTGCAGATCCATCACCACATTCTCCTCCAAAAGTGGCCAGCCCACTCCGGGGGATTCCGGCCTCACGGCTCTTCGTGAGACTGCATCGCACCGAACCGGTTCCGGTTGGTGCGACTTCGTAGGAACTCATACAGTATAGATCCACAGTTGAGATCCGCCTCATCCACCCAGGATGGATCTTCGTATCCACGCCAGTGTACCAGGAATTCACGGTGGATCCGGCCGTACCTAGTGCGCTTTCCAGTCCTCACGTCAGAAATTTGTTTCACTTCGTACTCATCTTCACCTAGATCCTGGACCCAGCTGTCCTCCGGCAGTAGTGCTTCATCAAAGTCGTTTCGTTCCGTAGTGCCTTCGGTCAACTGGATCTGGGGTCGGTCTGGGAAATTCCTCACAAGCTTCAACTTGGAAACATGCACCACGGGGAACAGCCGGTACTCCGTGCCAGGGATCTCGATCCGCACAGCATATTCTCCCATCTTCTCCGCCACGCGGAACGGACCGTGCCATATATGAGCCAACTTGCGAGCATATCCCTCTTTCACCCGATCCAAATACAACCAAACTCGGGATCCAACTTCAATCTGGTGCGGACGGATCTCTTCATTGTGCCGGTTCGCCCGATCCGAGATCGCCTCTTGCAGTCGCGCGTTGACTTCTGCCCGTACCTGCTGATAATAGCGTTGGATCTGGTATCGCCACCGCCGCGGATCCCGATCCTGACGGCGAGTGCTGCCTACCGGGATCGTAGCCTCGAGCGTGGATCTAGGATCCCAGCCGTGTACCAAGTAGAATGGCGTCTCTCCTCGGATCCGATCCTGGGCGGTATTGAGTGCGAAGGTGAGACGCTCAGCGTAGTCGTCCCAATCGCGCTGATCCAGATCCTGCACGTACATCTTCAGAGCGCGAGTGGCTGTTTGCACCATGCGTTCAGCGGTTCCGTTTGCTTGCGGCCTGTACGTCATCGTCGCACGTTGGCGTTGACCAAGGATCTTGTTGAAGGATCTAAAGAAGTCGGCCATGAACCCCGGTTCGCGGTCTTGGCGAATCACCTCGCTGGCACCAAATCGTCTGAATACACACTCTTCGTAGGATTCCGCGATCGTCTGCGCCGTCCTGGAGTCGCTGGCCTTCGCGATCACGTATCCAGTGAACAGATCCACCCAGATCAGTAACTCAGTATTACCCTTGTTGGATCTGGGCAGCGACGGTATGTGACCCATCGCTATAATCTGGAACGGGTACGTGGCTTGGATGTTACCGGGCGACTCACCTTGGATCGCAGGTCGCCCTTTGCCGGTCTCACAGTCCACGCATTCTCCGACGTATCGCTGTACACTCCGATACAATCCCCTCTAGTGGAAGCGATCCCGGATTCTCTGGTAGGTACGGCCGATCCCTCGGTGACCTCCTTCGAGACTGGCATGGTAGTGGTGGAGGACATCCTGTTGTAGAGTCTCCGGCAGCACCAACCTCATCCGTCCATCGCGATCCGCCTCCGCCTTCTTCGTAGGAGGACAATAGAACAGCAAGTCGTTGAGGTCCACTTCATAATCCATCGCGATAGCACTATAGGATCTAGCCTCATCTTGGGTCAGATCCTGCATATCGCCCACTAAGTACTTCTTCAGACCGGAGATCCACGCCTCCTCGTCCTGCGCTTGGCGGATCCTGGCGATCCTGAGATCCCGCACTACTTCCTCTCGCAATACACTCGGGTTGGATCTGGATCTGGATCTGGCTCGTGCTCGGGTTGTCACGGGTGAGAGACGTGCGACGGAGGCTTCTTCTTCACGCTTCACAACCAGGATCTCATCTAGGCGGTCCAACGTGACTAGATCCTGCAGATCCACCGCTTCCTCCACCATGATACCGGCCTGTCACTGAAGTGCTGCGCTGGCTAGGCTATCAGCGCTACCGTTCCAGTCGCGCTTGACATGTACCAACTCATGATCTGGCCAGATCCGCAGCCGATCCAGGGTCTTCTGTCTCAGAAGGGTTAATCCCGGTGCCTTGCAGTCGTTCTCGCCTCGGACTTGGCGAACTACCAAATTGGAGTCTCCACAGATCACCAATCGTCGTCGTGCCTCGACTTCGAGCAGATCCAAACATAGATGAAGCCCATGGTACTCCGCCTTATTAACGGTAAGCCCCTCCGCATAGCCGGATCTAGCCTTCACCACAGTCCATTCCGGCAACTTCCACAGGATCGCGCTGTATGCGCCTCCACCACGTTTGACACGGGCGGGTCCGTCAACGCTAACCACATACAGTTCTTCACCAGGCCGGACTGTCGGGATCGGCGCTTGGATCTTGTGTCGCGGCTCCTTTTTGGGCGCGATCTCGATCAAAGCCTGATCTACCTTGGATCTAGGTGTAATACTGCCCCCCAGAGTCCCCAGGATCTCATCTTCGCCCTTCGTGCACTTCCTAATCTCGAGTGTCCACGGCGAGAGCAAGGCCGCCCACTGTCCCAATCGCCCTTGTAGGCCCGTGGATCTGAACAACCAGGCCAACGTCGAATGTCTAGTCAAGACTCGGATCGGGCGTCCAACCAACATGTTGTAACTCAGATCCAGGATCCGCAACAGAACCAACACCTCCTTCTCCACCACGCCATAATTGAGTTCGCTGGACTTCAGGGTGCGGCTGGTGAACGTCAGTGGATAGTGAACCCCGTCGTGCTCCTGCATCAGGGCAGCTGAGATCGCCCACTCGCTAGCGTACACGACCACCACCGGCAACAGATCCGAGTCAATGTGTCGGAGGATCGGAGTCATTGCCATCTTTTCCTTCAATTTGGCAAATGCTCGATGAGCGCGAATCCAACGTGGATCTACACTGTTTGGATCACTCGCCTCCAGATCCAAAGTCTTCCGCTTCCCAGCCTTCGTGGATCCAGAGTCTGTATCCGGTAGGTCTAGATCCGCCGTGTCGGACGAGGTCTGCTCCGTTGGATCTGGAGTCGTCGAAACCATCACCGCTTGGCCTCGATTCTCAGGCTTGCTCATCGCGGCGTAATCCACTTCATGTAATTCGTAGAGAACCGCAGCGTAGATCGCGTAGTCCTCCAGAAACCGACTGTAGTAATTCAAACTACCCAGGAACGACTGCATGGATCTAAGTGTACCTGGAAAGGGTAGATCCGTTAGTGCCGAGAGATCCTTGGGATTCGCCTCTAGTCCAGCATTTGACACGCGATGACCGAGGTACTCCACCTTACTCTTGCCCCAGAAGCTCTTCACCACGCTGATTGAGAGATTCCACTTATCGCACGCGTCCAGTAGCGCGTCCACACGCTCACACAGATGGTCCCAGGATCCACAAGTTACCAATATCTTGTCAATGTACGACCGTCGTCCAAGCACGGATGGTTTGCCTGGACCTTCTCGTTCTCCCAACTTCAGATCCAGATCCAGCACCTCCGATACAGACCCAAGCTTGGATTTAGGTTCTCGCTCCGATCCAGATCCATCTTCTAGCCGCGGGATCCGAGTGAATCCATACAGCGCGTTGTCCAGCATACGTTGATAGATTTGGGGTGCATTCTTCAACCCAAAAGGCATCCAGTTCCACTCGTACAGCCCGAAGGGGGTGATGAAGGCGGAGATCGCACGAGCCCGATCCGTCATCGTCACCACCCAGAATCCACTGGCCATATCCAAAGAGCAGTACCAAAGCACCTTGTCCAGATCCTCAAGCAGGTCGTTAATCAGGGGCATCGGGTAGACCATCAGCCGGGTCAAACTGTTAACCAGCCGGTAATCGATACATAATCGTATGTCTACCCCATTCTTCTTGATGATCACCACAATTGGAGATGCCCACGGTGAAGTCGAGTCCTTGATGATCTTGGCTCCGAGCAACCCCTTGATTAGATCCGACAGTTTCTCATGGTACTGCGGGGCTACCTTGCGCACCCGCTCAGCAATGGGTTTTGCATCACCCACGTCAATGTCACACACAACTCCTCGTGCCGCGGGCGGCAGCGCGTTGCCTTTACCAGTCAGCAGGTGCCGGCGCCTCCAGATCCGCCGCCGGGGTCGATCGATTTCTTCCGCCGTATTAACCTCTGGATCTCCCACCTGGATGTCTTCAATAGTCACCTCGTCTGTGGTCGCAGTGACTTCCGGTAGCACCGCCATCTCCGCTTCAACATCTTCCGCGTGCAGATCCCCACTCACGTGGTATCAGACTTGCTCATCTGCATCAGCGTCACCGCGACTTGGATCTATGGTACAGTAATCTGTCCGAGTAAGTAACGCCTGATATATATAAAGACGCAGAATATATAAATTGATGTTAAGTTGAGTATACTTTTCCAATGTACTGATTTAGTTATTTTAAAATGAACTGAAGAGCAGCTTTACCTACGAGTCCGGAATGATTCCAACAGTGGTGTATGGTCGAAGCACTAACCTTTGACCAGGCATCCTCGCACCACAACATCGCTGTCAACTGGTCGACCTCGTAGGGATTATCTAGCCCTTCACCAAGCCGGTCTAGAGCTTGCATCATCTTGCGGGATAGAATGTGTCGCTTAATTAATACAATGAATGATTCCTTGGTCCATGGGTTGAATCTTGGCGGTGGTGTTGGGGGGCAACTTCTCGACGCGGACGTTCGTGAGAGAGAGCCCAGTCTCGTGGTGGGGCGAGGTGTTATCTACAAGTAGTAGCATGGAGCGCTTCTGAGACCGCATACTCTCATCTAGGCCTACCAGCCACTGCTGGTACATCCAGCCCGTCATCCACCCCTTTTCCGTTCCAAAATAATGGAGGGTGGCGGGCTTTTTGTTAAACCAGCGTGGCTTAGTTGCTGTACCCAGATATAGTATTGGGAGCTTTTCGGAGCCATCGGCATTTGCACAGACTGCCATTGTAATCCTAGCCTTACTCTGCTTTAAAGCAGGAGCAGCTTTTTTACAAATTGAGCCGCGAGGCACCGCATTGTAAAAAAAGCACTCTCGTCCATGTTAAAAACATTTTGAGGTAGATAGGAGCTCACAATGCCATTGAGTCTCTCGATCTCGTCCGTAGCGGTGTCCAACTTCACCGAGTCGGACTCCCCAAAGGAACGCCGCCACTCAAAGCCATACCGCTCTTGGAAACGGCGAAGCCATGAGGCTCCGAGCCGGGGACGCTGTGCTGGCGGGATCCCGAGCTTTACGACGAGTTCGTGTGCATGTTGGATGATCATAGCGCCCGAGAGGCACACGCCTTCCGCTTCGGCGAGGAGGACGTACTCGGCGACGTTCTGGTCGAGCAGGACGTGGCTGAGGGGCTGGGCGTTCTTGCGGACAGCCTTCTCCAGCGGCCGCCCCAGCAGGACTCCACTTGACTTGATTATGCGGCATACTGTTGTCTTGCCTGAGGCGGCCGGGAGGCTGAACTCCGTCACAGCCCACTCAGCCAGGCCCCTGTAGGAGAGAGCAGGTGTGCGGGCTGCCTTGTCGAGGATGCCCACTTTCTCAGACCAAGTGAGGCGGAGACGCTTGGACAGTGTGGACTTCATGGGTGGAGTGGGGGAGGAGGTGGGCTTGTGGGGCGAGGTGCTAAAGCAAAAGTGCGAGTCTACCACTACGGTACATGTAGTTTGAAGTCTAGTAAGATCGCTAAATGCGCGCCATTTTTCAAACGAGGGTGGAGAGCTGATGATTGGCACTGGATTTTTCACCTTAGTACCTTCGTACCTTGCAGTACCTTGCACATCCTCCTATCGCCACATCGACTGGAAAATAATATTAAATATGTGAGGCTATTAGCTGTACACCCGTTCCTTACTCGAGCAGAATTCTGTAGCCGTTGGATCTGCATCGACAGTTGGATCTGGCATCGGACCTGATTCCTGCGCCGTCTCTCCATCTGGATCTGCGCCTCGTCCCATCTCACCATCTGAAACTTGAAGCTCCTCTGGATTCATGGCCTGTCCCATATCACCATCTGTTGAATCTGCAGATCCGCCCCCTGTCTCTCCGTGATTACCACCCGATGTGACAACGGGATGGACCGACCGTCCCACATCATCTGGACTCAACGCCCCTTCGCGACCTTGCGTGTCATCAGTTGGATCTTGGCCCGTTGATCCATCGTCTGGTCTCAGCGCGTCGTCGACACTTCGATCGGCAGTTGGATCTGGATCCGGCTGGCGCTCAGCGGGAACTTCGCCTGGAACCGGCTTGGGCCAAATGACTGACACTGGATCTTGGGCTTACTCCATCCGGGCACTAGATGCGTGCGGTTGCTCCTGTCGAATCGACCCATTGTCCTGCGTCACCGTGGGATCTGGCCTCGACGGAGGTCCGATCGTCGGCTCGTCCCGTCCACATCCAAGATCCGTGGATCTGACCTGGGGTGATGGGCTCTGGGGTGATGGGCTCTGGATCTGCACCTCTTCCCACGTGGCAATCTTCATGCGCTGACGTAACGCGAACGGTTGACTGCGAGGTTCGCTGACTCCCAGGGACCCCTCGTCACTTGGATCTTGATCCGGCGAATCTTCGGCCTGCGGATCTCTTCCGGGTACTTGTCCGCGCGTCTCCTCCGGTCGCTGATCTCGTGTCCGCGCCTTGATTGAAGCTTGGAGCTGCAACCTCCGCCGCCCCTGCGATGTATTCGTCAATCGCCTGACCGGGCGGATCCGGCAGCGACTTGCCCCGTCCAGCCCCGGCGCTCTTGGATCTTGGTTCCACCTGTCTGACTTGAGCTGGATCCTGTCTCCGCAGTATTGCACGCGGCATCGGGTACTCAGGACGCTCCACCATCGGCCCCGTCGGGGTTTCTGGAGGCGCCACCTCCGCGGATCCAGCCTCCGTCGTGGCTTGCAGCGCGAGAATGTGCCACTCCAGGTAGCGGCGGGATCCGACGGATACGTAACCTTGGATCCGCGGCACCCGATCACCGGCCAGCCACATCCCTACTTGATGGTTCTGGCGCAGCACCAGCTCCTTCTCGCCGACGTTCGTGATTCGAAGGTACCGTGTCTTGCCCGGGCCCTTGATCACTGTTGGCACCCATCGATCCCCTCGTGTAACCCAAAGCTTGTCATGTTCCGATCCAGATCCCCGCAGGCGTGTGGATAGCTCCCCGGACTCTCCGACCCCAAGCTGCAGGTAGTGATCCAGCTTTACCGACTGCGCCTTGTCACTGCATAGCGGACGGCGGCCGCTGAGTTGGATTCGGACTTCGTCAGGTAGACAGAGTGTCCCGTCAGCTAGATCCAGTCGGATCCCGGCCGGGACCATGTAGTCGATGCCGAGGATCGCTTCTTGGCCGGACAGATCCCCTACCCAAATTTCAAAAAATACACCAGGTATCCACCTAAGGTAATCTTGATCCGTGTTCTCCCTTCCGTTGTGTACTCGTTGTTTCCGATCCCAACACATTTCTGACTCTGACTCCTGTCGATGTAGCACCCAACCTTACGAGCAAAGGCGGTGTCCACGATGGACACCTCGGCACCGGTATCTAGGACTAAGATAGCCTTCTCATTGTTGATCTTGCCGTGGATCTTGGCCTGACGGAACCACTTGCCTAGCGAATGTTGCTTCCAGTACCCTCGGGACTCTCCAGGTAGGAGATACTAGGACTCTGGATCTACGGTCCGCCGGCTTGTAGCGACACGTCTGGATCTGGATCCCGACGTGTCTTCGCCTTCGGCTGGTTTGAACCACTGCTCTGGATCCTGCTGCTTCCAATAGCCTTGACGAGCTTCTGGATCCAGGTCCACTTCCACTGTCGCATCGGATCTGGAGTAGTCGTCGGCTTGCCGAAGACTTGAGATCACAGCAGTACGTTTCCCATGAAGATCACATGTATTACCGCGTAGATCCTGTCGTTTGCTAACTGGATCTGTCGATGTCTTGTTCACAAATGCATAGATGCAATACCTAGAACGCTCGGCTCGTACCGGATTCCAACCCGGCGAGCGTCCTAGTTTAACATCCTTTCCGCCATTTCTGGCAGCATCCCCGCATGCTTGTCTAGATTGAACCACTGGCGGATCTGGTTGTAAACCTCTTCCATCGGGCATCGGCCCACGTCATGGAGTTCACCACACCCACGGCACACGAAGACCTGGGTGACCCTTCTTGCCGCACTTCTCACACGTCAACCGCTTCCAGCAGCCGAGATGTGAGTGCTTCTTGGATCCGCAGTGCGTACAGTGGCTTCGCTCGGATCCGTCAGCGTGGATCTTGGATCTCTGATCGCGGGAGGTTGGATCTTGCTGCTGCCGGTCTAGAGGGTTCCGTTCCAGGGCTTTCGGTTCTTCCTCGACTGGTTTCGCATGGTCGTGGGAGGCAGACAAATAGATCCTGCGGTATTCGTCGCACTCGGAGTCCGATCCATCGCTGGATCCAGACTCAGATCCCGAGTCAGGTTGGATTTGGATCGCACGCACATGTTTGGCTGGAGCGGCCGGCGCAGGCGTCGCTGGTGATTTTTGTCGGTACTTGCTGGATCCATACGCGGACTTCTTCTGTCGGTTCTTCGCCCGATCCAAGGCACGAAGGACTTCTTCCAACTCGTCAGCATCCGGCAGTCGGAGCAATGTCAGCCGATCCGCCAGATCCTGATCGCCCAGAGTCTCAATGAAATGACCCACATGCTCGCGCTTCTCCTTGGATCCACCGTCTTTGATCTTGAGTCGAGCACGGAGTCCGGCGACGTTAAGTCGGTAGAGATAATCCAGCGGAGACTCGTCGGACCGCTTGCGAGCATGGTAATACTGGCGGGCGACGGAGATCCCCAATCCACAGTATTGGGTATGGAAGCTGCGAAGGAGATCCGGCCATTTATTGCGTGTGGATCGAGGTAGTTGGCGGTACCAGTTCGGCGCCGATCCAGACAGCAGATCCGCGAAGGTCAGGCACTTCTCTTCGTCAGGTGCTTGATCGCGGAGGAACGCAGACTTCACCTTACTGACCGAAGCTCTCGCTCGATCCTCGTCTTGGTCCTTGCCAGAGAACTCCTTCAGATCCGAGACCGCTGAGATCCGGACTCGTTGGATCAGGGCTGAACCTGTGGATCCGGTCGCGGTGGTGGCTACTGTAGCGCGTGCTGGGGCCGGTAAGCCAATGTCGTCAGGGTCGAACTCCCAGTGTGGATCCGGATCCGACGATCCAGTGGACTCCATCTCGACATCTTGGGATCCGTGATTCTGAACCGCCCCCGGTGCCATGGCTGGGGTCAAAGCTCCCTGCCCTTCAAGAACCTGTTCATAGCTGCCTGGAAGAACGACTCCAACCTGCCAGTCGACATGTCGGATCCTGATGCCGTCGCTTTTGGATCCACTGATGGAGTTGACTGCTTCTTGGATCGAGGCTGGGATCGGGGCTGAGGACTCGCTTCACGTTGGATCTGGGCTCGGGCGCGTAGCATCGAGGCTCCCGATGGTCCAAGTGACATGTCGCGGCTCCGAAGACGTGTCCGACCCAAGCTCTGCAGCCGACACATAAGGTGACGACGTCCGGCATCCTGTGGATCCTTCTTGTAGTGATCTTGGATCCGGGATTGCGGGATCCGGCTTCGGCTGGATCTCGCCTACCAGCACCTTCAGTCGGTTGAACAGCATCTTCGTCGTGGCACGGAGTTGGATTGGATCGATCTCGTACATCACTGACGCGTCGAACGCTCCAGCCACGAGATCGGCATCCCTCAGCAGCTGCATCAGGCGTTCCATCTCGGGCAAGATTCCTGGACGCTTAACGGCTGCCGGAAGTATCAGGGCTCCGATCTGCTTCACACCGAACTACTGCATAATTGGATCCACTGTCAGAAAGCTGCGTAGTTGTTTCTCGTGATGATGGATCCATGATGCCTCGGATCCATCCTGGGCCGAGGTTTCTGGATCTTCGTCCTCCAGCTCCGGGGCCTTCATCTTCCTTCTCGTAGCGGTCTTCTTCGTCTGGGTATTGTCTGGATGGAAGATGTAGGGCTCTTGTTTCACTGGAGGGTCAGCAAATGCATACCGATCCTGGCCAGCCTTGGTTTGTTTTGTTAGTGGATCTTGACTTTCGTCGCGATCCACCGGGGTCCCCGAAGGGACCTGTGGAGGAGGTTGAGGTTTCTCTTCTGGATCCATGTCAGGATCCACCTCGGTTCCGCCGACAGAGGTCCTCCTTGCACTCTGCCGATCCGTGGATCTTGTTTCATTCAGCAGCGTCGTCGTCGATCCCGATTCCGAAGACGCTTGATCCCCTTGTTCCTTCTTCACTCGAACTTTTTTTTGGGACTCACGGTGAAATCCCGAGTCACCAGAAGATCCGGCACGCGCACCATTGGGGTGTAGCGGGATCAGCAAAATCTGCGAGATTGCCAATCCAACTTACCAACTGCGCCCGAACACCGACTTACGGAGGGGGTCCCCCGATGATCCGTGATCTGTGTGCTGAACCGGTCACCTTGTGTACCCGTCGGTAGGGCTGTATCTGCTCCTCTGGTGTCTGCTGAAGCGTCCGAGCCTTGAAAACAGAACAGTCTGGGAGAGACGCGGGGATGTGGGTGGAGCAGCGCGGAAATCTTCACTTTGCTCGCGGTAGTATTCCAAATCCAGTGGTCTTGTACTTGGATCTGGCGGCCTGGATCTGGATCCGGCCGGGTTGTTGCCTTTCGAGGTTGTTGTCCTTCACGTTGCCTTCGCAGGTCTTCCTTGGTCGTGTTTGCCGCCTCCAATGACGGTGTCGTTGACAGTTGAGACGAGAGGGACGCACCGGCTAAACAGATAACTCCGGTGGATCTTGGATCTGCACTTGCAGGTAGTTCACTAGGAAGGTCTTGGATCTGGCCAATATATTACTCCAGTCTTACAACCAACACTAGATCTGCTACCGCTAACCTCTCTACGCCGTGTAGAGCCAATGTCGTTCCCGTTTCCAGGCGAGGGAGGAAGCGCTTGCGTTGTACAAGGCAAATTCTGGTCTGATTTATGCTTAAGTTCGCTCCTATCCCAAAGTCCTATCGCCATGTGGCTCCTATCATCCGATCTGTACCTACCGACTTTATGGACTCCCTTTACCTTTATTGCGTGTCAGTTGCTCGCCCGTCGAGTCGTGTCCACAACTTCCTGATTACGCCTGAATCCAGATAATCTTGGATCTCTGCCGACGTAGGTCCCGATCCATCTGAGTCCGGATCCAGATCCATCTGAGTCCGGATCCAGATCCATCTGATTCGTGGATCTTGGATCTTGGATCTCCGTGGGCGTAGATCCAGTCATCTGGATCCATCTGGGCCTGTCACTCTTCCGCATTTGTGGCGACGTCCAGATCCATCAATCGTCCAATTACTTGCCAGCACTCATTCTTGGGACTTGCGCTTCTCCACACTAGTGCCACGCGCTGCGGCTCCGTCCGGAGTAGAGCTGAGCTCATAGCCATCTCAACCTCACGGGTCCAAAGCATCAATCTTTCACCCTCCTTGCCTTCGAAGTCTTCACGCTCAACATGAGCGGCTTGGGTCTTATTCCCGCGTCGGACGACGAAGGTGGCGCTTGGGGCGCCGCGGCAGTCGCCATCCTCTGCTGGAGGTGCTCTAGAAGAGCATTCTCGTAGCTTGAAAACGCGTCGAGACGCGCGTTCACCGCGTCGGGGCCTTGCTGCGCAAGTTGCGTCACGCCCTCCGGGCCCAGCAAGGACATAAGCTTTTTAAGCGCATCCTGCTGGTTCGGGGGCAAGTGAGCGAACTGCTCCATTCTCCACAGAGGGTCAGTCTATACAGACTCAGGTGTCGGATTGACTACTAGCTGCCGTAGCTTTAGCGTCAGAGGAAGACGTAACAGACTCGCAGAGTCTCAGCTTAAGATAGCCCGTTCTAATACCAGAACATACGAGTCCGTACTCCAAGAGTCAACCCTTAACTCTTAACTGTGTGAATTTCAAACTGAATGTATTTCCCTTTATTGCGGCAAAGCCGCCTACAGTGTAAATCTATCCGGTTCACTATCTAGCATAGTGAACCCTAGTCATATGCATAATCAGTGGTTCTGATGCCATGTACTGATTCTCCTACTGATTTAGGTTAGACAGTGTGTACCCACTTCGTAACCCTTCAGGTAACTCTCGTAACCCCGTTACAGTAGGACGACTTCGCGTTGCCTGAACAAACACGCAAGACTACAGCAGGATTTGGGGCCGGCAACCCGAAGAACAAACGCGTCATTGGGACCATTCACATCGGCCGACACGGGGTAGCCTTTCTAGTTGATAAGACGCTCATCAAGGACATGAAGAAGGTCATGTTCGACCCTCCCCAGAGTCGAAGCAACAACACGGCCATTCAGAAAAGCGTGCGTTTGGTGATTGAGGGCGTTGTAGTATTGGAGATGCTGCTGTGCAACTCTTCGTGGGACGACTGCATGTATGGATTGCTGCCTTACCTGCGGCTTCGCTGCCTGCACAAAGCTCTTGCTTTCATGGGCAAAGGGCAGCCCAATACGCTTGAGAGGGTCACGTCAACTTCAATATACTTGTCTTTTGATTTTGGTATTAAATTTGGTGTAACCAAAAATACTGTACCAAAACTTAACTCGATCATCACGAAAATCCGCTAAGTCCCACGATTCCCAAATTTAGAATCGTTTTGAAAAGACTGAAGCTCAATGGTGTTTTTTGCATACACAAAAACGAAGATAAAATAGTTTTCCCCTAGTTAATGGGTAACATTTCGACACGTGTTTTTGAGTAACAGCGGCGCACCCTAAATGATCAAATAATGGCGTCTAAATTTGGTGGTAGTAGCATCGTCCGACAATGTCTTCAAGACATTCACTCGGTGGAGCTTATCAAAAGGTATGGTTCGTGCGAAGTAGTTACTACGACTTTAATCAGATTACCATCACTCTTGAGATCGCAGAGGGGGTGAATGAATCCATGACGATTCACTAAACAACTATCTTCGTTCAATCATGCCTGCAAGCTCTGAACACCGTTCAAACGCATAGGGTCTATAGGGGTGGCCTAAATCGATTCATCGAGGCCAAACATGCCTCTAGAGCTTTCATATTGCCAAAACTACGCGCGTTCCTTTTGACTTTAACGGCTGTTTTGGGGATTTGGCTCTCGTGACATCCATCCTCCTGAAGTTGCTGCCCAGACGACTTTGGGATTTGATTGGATATTCAGGGTCTTTGGAGTTGCAACATTAGGGTGCCTAAAGCGACTTTAAGGTCGCTTAAAGTCGTGTTAGCTTCAGTCATGTCACAACTTAAAGTTGCTTTAACGGGATTCATGATTCGTGCAGGATCGACAGCAGATCTCGGTTCCCGCATGGTGATGGTTTTCGCCGAAAACTTTTCGGATGTGCACTAGCGACGCGTTCATAACGAACTCAAGTGGTATTGTGCCTCGTATACACTCCACGACAAAAAGATATGGACACCACCAAAAGTGGCTGTAACTTCGTCATTTTTTATCGTTTTAAGGTGCGGTTTGGACTAGAGTTGCAGAACACGCTGATAAAGATCTGCACGCTGCTAACACGCGCGCTTTTGCGCTTCTTCAGGTAGCTCACATACAAATCACTGGTTCTGCCCAGGTGATAAAACTTATGGACAGCTAATCCCCATACAAAATCCTATATCAACCAAAACCCCTTACAAATGATACGACTTGGACTTTGTATGGGGCGACAAAGGAACCCATGATTTCTCAACTCTACCTTAGTACTGAGCCATATATCATCGACCAACAGTTTAGAATGAAGAAAATAATCGTATATCCAACAGATAGCAGCATACAGAGCTACAAATTGGCACTAACTAGGATGCAACTGAACGTGCCTCGCAAATCATCAGATGATACATGGTAGCCACCACTCGAAATTTCAGTCGCTTACTACTTGCTCAGTTTTGTGCGATGGTCGATGCATTTATTACAGGTTACTAAACACACCTTCTAGTACACGATAATGCCATCAGATCTTTGTCTAACGTCGCGAGTATCGCCGTGAGGCTATAAATACTTCACCTAAAGCAGGAAGCGTCTCGTTTAATGACAACCCGAACCAGCACTGGTGGTTATCGTGAAGTCTCAGATGGAGATCGGGTTCTCCGACTGCTACGCCGACGCCGACCCCACCAACGTCGAAGATCAAGACGATGGACAAGGGCATGACGAATTATTTTTCTGGCCGTTCAGTCAGCTGGACACCGACAGGCTTGGCAGGTGCGGGCGTCTCGAGAATACGAGTTCTATATCAGCAGCTGCAGCCAATGCAAGACAAGATTCAGCGCGCCGACAATTCCTCCGTAAATGGCGCCCGCAACGAGTTCAAGCCAGCGGTCGAGAGATTTCTGGACTACTAACTACTAAAGTACCTGAACAAGTGTGGAAGCCAGTATCTGCGTTGGAACGAGTTGGAACTTCCTATCAACGCTTTGACGAGGGTGACGTTTTACCGCAACCTGAGTTCACCCGTCGCACAATGGCAGCTACAAGGACCAAGTAGTGGCCATCACGAAAACAAGCGACCGGGGTGGGTTCTTGAAGGAGGTCAAGATGGGTGCGACGTTAACCCACCCCAACATTGGTCACTTCTGGCGTGGAAAACTCGGGAAGGATTCTGATCCGTCATGAAATTCATGGATGAAGGTGACTTGAGTAACCTCTTGGACCGATACGAAGAGAAGAAGAAGGCAAAAGGTTTTAAGACCAAAATCCCTTGATAATATTGGTGGTGTGTCGCTCTATCTTGCCTCTGCATACTGGCATTTCCAGCGACGATCTGGAGTATTCAGTTCACTCCGAATTCAATAAAAAAAATCACTGATACCCGGTGTCTAGGGGGGGTTGCTAAATGCGTTTGTGCACCCGTTTACCGGGATGCTGCCGTACTAGTGCTACGTACTGGATCGACTGCCCGCAGATCATCTCGAGTTCCGCATGGTGGTGGACTCCACCATGGAGGGGGTCGATTGCTTTATCTCGATACACTATAGTCGTAAAACTGGATGGTGCCATTTTGTCTACTATTGTGCGCCCGAACGAAAAAAAATGCCTGAAGCAACGACAAATCGAATAAAAAACAGAACAAGGTCTTAATATTTTTTGTTATTCTCCACTACCCACCTCAAACGAATACGGCTATAAGGTCTTACGTACCCACGTTCTCGATTAACGCTATCTGAACGTCTCAAAAGGAATGATTCGTACAGGAACCGCAGGTCATGATTTCCTCGTGGTGGATATTTTCGGACGTGCTTCATCTCGTACAGTCGGTCTTGCGTCGATCACTCTCCAACTCGAGCTCGTGCACTCAAGTCAAGACTTCCGGCACGGTAGAACCTTCCAGCTACTGCAGATCCGCGTTGCCTATGTGCTTTTGGCGACTGTGGCCACCCTCCTCGCATGCATCGATGCCGCTACTGCAACAACTGACAAGTCTACAGCGAGCTTGTCCCTCCCTGATCATGAAGGTCCGCTTGACTTGGGCCGCCACAGGCACCTGCGAAGCCGCTCAGATATCACCAACGCAAGTGAAGAAAGAGTCCTCGGTATCGAGAACTGGAGATACTTCTCGAATAAAACGTTGCACAAGATACTGCAAGACGAGCACTTCCGACTGCGCATGTTCAAGAAATGGGACCAGTACGCTTTTAAGCGGTTCATGCGACGAATTCGCATGTCCAAGATGTCCGACTCGCGCATCGCACAACTCATCGTGCAGTATATCGCGAAGTACCGGACGTCAAACTTGCGCTTCCGTCGGTAAGTTGGACATCGAGAACACGCTCAGTCTCTCAATCTAGAGGGATTTATGAAACCTCTCTGCACGTTGCATGCTTCTAGCCTTACTTTGATTCGCATACGTGGATTTTTTTCAGACAGTTCAAGACAAGATTCAGCTTCACAACGACGCAAAAGGCGTCCGAGGCAGCGCCCTAGGAAGTTGTGGAGTACCTGTACCCAAAGAGGCAGTGCTCAATCGAACTCGATTACTAGGATAGGACCAAGTGGTGGCCGTCAAGAGGGTGACTTCTTGGAGGAGGCCAAGATGAGCGCGACGTTCATCCTTCTGAACATTGTGCACTTCAGGGCGTAGATCCCTCCCGAGGGTTTCTATGGAACTCATGGGTAGAGGCGACATTGATACAAGAAGACGAAAAGGTTTCGGCTGCGACAGGATCAAGACCTCGAGTCGAGGAACATCCTGCAGAACCAGAAGCTGGACGCGAAGCTGGCCGGCTTTTCGAAGGTCGCGAGAGCGGGACCCGAGGCCGAGGCTGTGGATGGTTCCCGACGTGATCGGGCAGAGAAGGTCTACATGTCCTTTTTTGGTGTCGTGCTGTCCGAGCTCTCAACGCACTTGAAGCCGTACTGTACACCCACGTGCACTGCAACATTTCCATCTATCATAGACTATGATCGTCTACCCAGGTCTGCCTGCAGCTAGCACCAAGGGCGAACCTAAAAGTCACCATTCTGGGCTGGATATTGCCAGCTGAACGATTCCCACTTGATGGCTCCATCCTTGTGGTGGAGCCACATAACCTCGTTCAAGACGTTTCCCCATTGACGAAGAGAGGGAGAAGAGGTGTCTCGTTTTTCCAGGTCGATCCCGACCGGTCTCTGACCATTCCCCATGTTGCGGCGTCGTATGTCGGCGCCAAACTCTCATTCGCGCTCTTGCCATGGAGTCGCCCTTTCACACGCGCGTGGGCCAAGTCGTGCGTCGAATCTCCGACAAACTGGACGAGTATGAGGCGGCCGTGGGGGAGTCCTGGACGCGCACCCAGGGGCGGGTCAAGGACAAGCTCAGCACCCACGAGCACAAGCTCTCGAACCGCATCGAGCACTGCGAGGCCGCCATCGTCCACAGCTACGCGGCCGTGGGGGAACACTTGACGCACACGCAGGAGCGACTCAAGGACAAGCTCAATAGTCAAGAGCGGAAGCTCTCGGAGAAGGCGGCGCACCTCCTGTCCAAGCCCGGAGTGCCCAAAATGTTGGGGCCTCTACGCGACAAGCTCAGCGGGGAGGAGGAGGACCAGGCCATGATGGCGGCATTCGACTTTAACTCACAGGAGCCAGTCACGGAGCAGAGTATAGTGAGTACTCCAGGTTCGGAGGCCTCGACGGTGTCGGGGAGCTCCTTCACCGAGTTCACCACGGACGATACAGTCATCAACAAGGCGCGGATACCTCGCGACAAGGTGGCGGTGCACGAGTTTCTAAGTCGGGGGGCGTTCGGTAAAGTGTACAAAGGTTCGTACAATGGCCAACCGGTGGCTGTAAAGACCATGAGTGACGTCGAGACGTTCATGAAGGAGATCAAAATGGCCGCGACCATGAGCCACCCCAACATCGTGCAGTTCATTGGCGTGGCGTGGACCTCGCGCGAGGACTTTTGCGCCGTCTTGGAGTTCATGGATGGGGGCGATTTGCGAGGACTCATGGACAAATACGAGGAGGAGAAGCGGCCCACCGGCTTCGACGCGGGCAAACTCAAGATCGCGCTGCAGGTGGCCCACGCGCTCGCGTACCTGCACTCGCGCGAGGTTCCGGTGATCCATCGCGACCTCAAGTCGAAGAATATTATGCTGAATGAGGCGCTGGGCGCGAAGCTGACGGACTTTGGAGTCTCTCGAGAGCGAGTCGACAGGGCAATGACGGCGGACGTGGGCACGTCGCTGTGGATGGCGCCCGAAGTGATGGTGGGCCAAGCGTACGACGAGAAGGCCGACATGTTTTCGTTCGGCGTCGTGCTGTCCGAGCTCTCGACACACAGCATGCCGTACGCGCACGCGAAGCCATTGCCCGGATCGAACCAGCAGCTGTCTCCGTTGGTTATCCTCCATCGAGTGGCGACTGGGACGTTGAGCGTCGAGTTCTCAAAGTCCGTGCCGCAGGAGATGGCGAGACTGGGGCTTAGCTGTGTGTCCATGGATCCAGTGGAGCGACCAACTGCAGCTGAAGCCATGCGAGTGCTCCACGCTGTCCTGATGCAGGCGACGACGCGCTCGAAGCCGTGGTAGATGCAGGAAATAGGTATCGTGTAATTCATTATCAAGGATACAGTATCGACTGTACTGGGCCAGACCCAACTTTCATCTCAAGGAACTTGGCTACACGTTGATGCATGTACAGCAGGTGAAACTTGACGTCCACGTTCTTTTTCCTGTGGACGTCTTCTACTTGGTGTGCAGTACACCACTTGATGCCTGTGTTTGCTCAAACGTACCAATCTTTTGGTACCGTCTCTGTTAAACCCGGCCGAGGTGCGTGGCATTCCCCACCACCACAACACCCGCATCCAGAGGCCCGAGGAAGCCATGTCGGTGCAGGCGCTGCTGCTGGACATGGACGGCGTGCTGGCCGAGGTGTCGCAGTCCTACCGCCAGGCCATCATGGACACGGCGCGCCACTTCGGCGTGAGCGTCACGCACGAGGACATCGACCAGCAGAAGCTGGCGGGCAACGCCAACAACGACTGGCAGCTGACGCACCGCCTCGTGCTCGCGGGCCTGGGCTCGGCGGACTCCGCGTCCGCGCCCTCGCTGGAGGCCGTGACGGCCCAGTTCGAGGCGCTCTACCAGGGCGTGGGCACGACCGCCGGCCTGTGCGAGCTCGAGACGCTGCTCACGCCCAAGGGCCTGCTGCGCGAGCTGCACCGCCGCCTGCCCAAGGGCATGGCCGTGGTCACGGGCCGCCCGCGCAAGGACTGCGCCAAGTTCCTGCGCGCGCACGGCATCGAGGACCTGTTCCCCGTGCAGATCTGCATGGAGGACTGCCCGCCCAAGCCGTCGCCCGAGCCCATCCTGCTGGCGCTCAAGGCGCTGGGCGTGGGCGCCGAGCACGCGGCCATGGTGGGCGACACCGTGGACGACATCATCGCCGGCCGCAAGGCCGGCACGATCGCGTACGGCGTGCTGACCCCGCAGGTGTTCGCCAAGTCGGTGCTGGAGCAGACGCCCACGGCCATCGGCAAGGCGCTCGAGCAGGTTGGGGCCTCCGTGGTGCTGAACCCCGGCCTCGCCGAGCTGCTGGACCTGATCCCGCCTGTGGATGCCGCGGCGGGCAAGACCCCGGCCGCGAACGGCAAGAGCGGCACGCGCGAGGCCAACATCTCCCGCGTCACGAAGGAGACGTCTATTAACGTCAAGCTGTCGCTGGACGGCACGGGCAAGTCCAAGGTGAGTGAGCGAGAGTGTGCTGAGTGTGTTAGCTGGACGAGGGGACTCACTTTGTACCGTACTCGTGATGCAGGTGAGCTCGGGCATCGGCTTCTTGGACCACATGCTGACGGCGCTGGCCAAGCACAGCCGCTTCGACCTGGAGCTCGAGTGCAAGGGCGACACGTGGATCGACGACCACCACACCACGGAGGACTGCGCGCTGACGCTGGGCGAGGCCTTCGACGCTGCGCTGGGCGACCGCGCGGGCATCGCCCGCTTCGGATCCGCGTGCGTGCCGCTCGACGAGGCGCTGTCCCGTGCTATCGTGGACATTTCCAGCCGCGCGCACAGCGAGATCAACCTGCAGCTGGTGCGCCCGAGCGTGGGCGAGCTCTCGTGCGAGATGATCACGCACTTCTTCGAGTCGTTCGCGAGCGCCGCGCGGCTGACGCTGCACGTGGACGTGCTCCGCGGCCGCAACGACCACCACCGCGCCGAGGCGTCCTTCAAGGCGCTGGCGGTCGCGCTGCGCACTGCCGTCAAGCACGACGCCACAGCCGGCGTGCCCAGCACCAAGGGCGTTCTGGCATAACCGGTGGAGCTGGCCGGTCCTGGGCTGGACGCTGCATAGTGTATTAATACGTTAAGGGTCTCCACTTCAGGACATCAGACCGAATCAACCTTTACTCTTAGAAACAGCACGCCTTTGCATGGCGTTCGAACTTGAAAGGCAACTTGCGCGGGATCACGTCGGGATGGGGAGCAATCAGCGCGTGGCATTCGTTGATGCGAAGTCGGCCCGATCCATTCAATAATTGCAGGATTCAGCTGACAGTGCGGGAAGCGAAGCCACCTTGGCCGCCAAATTGGCGGGTGTGTCCATCTCGCGGCCACCGGTTGTCAATGCTAGCTCGCGAGATCCTGAGCGCGGCCACCCCTGACATGTAGCACGCGCCGCCCTCGAGAGCGGCCGCCCCGCTCAAGCAAGCAAGCCACTTTCGAATCCGCGCGCTCGCCCGCACTACTGTTCCAACCCCCCGCTCTATCGCTCCATCACCATGGTCTCTCCCCACTTCGCTCTCGCCGTCGCCTCGACGCTGCTGGTCGCGTCGACGGTCTCCGCCGACGACGAGTGCTCGGCCAGCGTAAGCGAGTCCGTGATCGTCAAGATCGACAACAGCTCGTACTACGACACGTGCGCCGTGGCGGACGAGGGCGCCGACGTGACCTTCAACGTCTCGACGCTGTTCGATGTACTCAACTTCACCGAGTCCGAGTTCATCCTGTTCTGCAACTCGTCCACGTGCCTCGAGCCCGTGCACGAAATGGTTCACTCGATTCCGACGGACTGCCTGATCCTGTACGAAGGCACCGAGCGCAACCTGTCGGAGGAGGTGACCGCGCTGCACGACGAGTGCCACAAGGCCCTTGGCACGGACGACGACGACGACGACACCACCGACAGCGACGACATGTCCATGAGCATGACCATGTCCATGAGCGGAATGGACATGGGAGGCACCAGCTCGAGCTCCAAGGCGAGCTCCAGCTCCAGCGCGGCGTCGACTGTCACGAACGCCTTCGTCGCGGCTGCGGTCGCCGGATGCGCCACGCTCGCGGCTCTGCTTTAGACCCACAACGATAGCTTAGACTGACCAACTCCAAGCGTATCAAATATAAACGATGTTCTAGTTAGTAGCTTCAACAAGGCGTTCATTGCGATGGTATGGCACTAAGCAAAGTTTCGTCTGGCACGTACGAGAACCTGGAAGGGATCAACGCTGATAGTCGGAGCCGGGAATTGCTGACCATGAATCGGGGGGACGTCAGCTCCAGGCGGTAGACCCAGCAGCTCGCGCGAGTCGAACGTCACCACTGTATGAGGCCCAACCACAGGAACGGGGTCGAGGTCGGGTAAGGGAAGCGCTTGACCCTGAGCGTCTCGCTCCACCGTGTACAGCTTGTACTCTGCAGTTGTCAAACGATCGGAGACTTTCACACACAGGATGAATCGCAGTCCTGCCACTCCCGAGCCTTCCAGTCGAGCATCCCTGCATCATACCCCCAGTGGCCCATATGCCCTATCTCAACTACCAGTGTGTCCCAAGACAAGTAATTCTCGACTCCAGGCGGCAAAGGAGCCCCCAGTAACCCGTTAGGGCCGTAGCTGTTGCCAGGCTGATAGTCGGGTAGCTCGGGGTGGTTTGGAATGGACGATGCACCATACACCTGCATGCATTCCGCGAAGGCAGGCTGTATCGTCAAGCTAGCCTCGCACTGACGAGTGAAGCTCTGGTGCGCTCTACTCGGCTTCTCCACGATGTAGACTGTGTCTTCAATCCACTCCATCCACATCGACTTGAGCACTTGGTCCTCGCTCTCCAGGTACGCTCTCCATTCGTCCCGCGTAGCCGTGCAGACGGTGATAGGCCACGCTCTCTCATGGGCCAAATTGATCGCAGCGAGCTCGCGGTTGATGCGGGCAACGGTCAGGAAAGAAGTAGACTTGCAAACTGTTCTTCATTGACTAATATCTAATGGAAACCCGCGCGTATTTCGCTTCGAGCACCGCCATCTCCTCAAATACCAATCTAAGCCAGAAGGACAGCGGCGATGGCGGCCGAGACGACCGACCCTGCGGCCAACACGGCGGAAGACGCACCGCTCGAGCCTGACGCAGTCGAGCCTGAGCTGTGGGTGTGGGAGTGTCCTCCCATGTCCATGCCGCTCATCGACATGGCCATGCTGTGATGGGCGTGGCCGCCCTCCGCCTCCTCAAGGACCTCGTGGCACTGGTCGTGCAGCTCGTCGACCTCCTCCGACAGGTTGCGCGCCGAGCCTTGGTACGTGATGAGACAGTCGACCGAGTCCATGAGCTCGTGAAGCGGCTCGAGGCACGTGGACGAGTTGCAGAAGGCCAGGAACTCCGAATCCGTGAAGTTGAGAACGTCGAAGACCGACGAGACGTTGAAGGTCGTGCCCTCGGCGCACGTGTTGAAGTAGGTGCTGTTGTCGACGGTGGCGATGAAGGATTCGCTCACGTCGGCCGAGCATTCCTGAGCCGAGGCGACAGCGGCCGAAGCGACCAACAGCGTCGAGGCAGCAAGCGCGAACTTGGAACCAGCCATTGTGAGCGTGGGTTGGGCTTGAAGGGGGAGGGGGCTGCTTGTTTCCGGGGCGCGGAGCGGATTCGAAAGTGAGCCATCTCTCTCGCGAGAGATTAAAGTCGCCGGAGATTAATGCGGTGCAGTTGCAGCATCTTCTGTACTTTAGGTGCACGCGCCCGGGAAGCGATTGTTGATTAGGCGGGACTCCTGTCGCCACTCACTCTGCAACGGGGTTGCAACATCCATCTGGAGGCACTCCTTTGGCTGTAGAAGCCAGCCGCGAAGCAATTCTTGTTGAATTGGCATCGCTCGGGGTCCTCTTGAAACGTCGGCGGAGGAGGCACTGCGCTCGCTGCATTTTAGGTGTTGGCAGAGCTGCCTTCTCGAGTATGAGCCTCGAACAGCGGCAGTAGCAATGCGTTTATCTTGATCAGCCTTCTGATTCAACCTTGCTAGAGCTCAGCAGTGTTGGTCTTCCAGTGTTGGTCCAACGCACGCCTTCGGCTAGGTCTTGCAGTGCTCAGCCTGCGCCTCGTTTTCGTAGTATCGTCCCAAGATAACCAACCGGATAGGCAAGATCAACCGTAGACCGATGCCCAGGTTGGCCACCGAACGCGAGCTAGAACACCCGACACCTGCATGTAGATACCAGACTGCAACTCCCAGTCTTCTCTTTCTTCGCCAGCATTGCCAGCCTGCGCCTCTATCGCCGCTTGGGCGAGATGCCTTCTTCCCTGGTTGTCTGCTTTCCAACCAACGAACAAACCGCGTCGATAGGTATCTAGGTGAGCTTTCACCACGGCGAAGTTGAAAGCAGATTCACGCACTACATTGTGACCGTGAAGGTGATGGTAGCCACCATGGTCGTCACTCTCGCTTGCCCCGTGTTTCAGACGCCGAGCCGAACCCATCCCAAACGCGATCCCCATGAATGCCGTGTTCCAGAGCTTCCCCGTGTCTGAAGTTTGCCCGGAGTTCCCGTGTCTGCAGAGCCCTTGATCGAGCGTGGCGTGTTTGGCCTGTCTCCAACAGTTTGCTCACCGAGCTCCTCCATCCGATCGTCCGCCCCAAACGCATCCAACGTCCGACATGGTTTTCCTTCAAGAACTCCAGCCACATCCCGCAATGCTGGTGTATTTCCAGCAACAACATGTAGAACACCTGGCTGCATGACCACAACGCCCCTTATACCAGTTACGCGATCGCCGCTATCAATGTCATTTGTCGGAGCTTTCAGGGCTGCGCGGAATCAAACCAGGAGGCATTTACGGTAACAGCCGAGTGCGTTGGTCAGCTTGGCCGTGAACAATATCGTATTAGTCGAGGATTCTTAGGCGATAGCCAGCCTAGCCGTCAACAGCTACAACTGCAGACTACCGTCATTCGGTGCAACAAGCTGCTCGAAGAAAAATACTTGTCTCCATCTCAGTTGCTGATTGATCGCCAGCACTCCGCCTGACAAGTACCATAGAGCCTCACCGCCTCTTTCGTCGCTGCAGTATGCGGCTAAAGCCATCGGGTCAGGTATTCTTGTTGGCGTGATAACCTCGCTACGATAAGGTCTTCCGCATGCTTGAGCCGCCAGCTTCACTGACGAAAGATACATACTCTGCCTCCGTCTCAGGTTTGTTTGCCATGTTGGTTCTTCCGGGATGAAGCAGGGGCCGCCCTACAGCACTCCGACTATTAATAAAAGTACTATAGAGCCCTTCCGCATCTTTCGCACCATGGTGAGCGATGCCTGAGGCGCCATCGGGCCTTGCATCCTGGGCAGCGCGATGACCTGGCGACGGTATCCATGGATTAGGTCTCCCTCCACCTGCTTGGGCTTACTGAGAAATGGCTACAGTTTTTCTGCTTGGTCGAGAGTCGCACGCCCTCGATTGTAAAGCTCCCTTCATTGTAAGCCTCTCCATACAAAAACCAAGATGTCCATACGCCCTTTCACTGTTCGTCGTCGCGTTGTACCACCGGGCCGGGCCTCACAACTTCAACGCCAGCTTGCCAGCGACAAGCTCCAGCTCGACGACGGACTCGACAGAAGCTCGCTGTCAGGCGCGCCTTCGACCGCGCGAGCTCGGCCCGCAATGCCACGCGGAACTCCCACGCAGTCTTCCACGCCACGCCCCTCCGTCTCTAAAAGGCGTGATGATGCTTAGCTCAGCGACTGACTTGTGACAGCGCTGTCGGGCCGACAGTCGGCCGGTCAGCCCTGGCACAAGGGCAAATCGCCGTCGTCCAGGGCTCACGAGCTGCCGCACTATGCTACGTATGCTAGACTTGGGTCGCGAACGGAATTCGGCTACGAGCACCGATAGTAGAGGTGCTTCAGTTTCCTTGTCTACCGTAGGTTAATTTACATGCCCAGCCAGCAGCAAAATATTCGAGGACAGTTCAGGTATTATGCAATAGGTTTGCTGAATACCGGCCGACGGGCACTGGCCGCCGCCGGCACGCGCGCGCTTCTCGCCTCCTGTTTGTCATCGGGTGCAACCAAGAGGCTATCCACGCTGCCGCGGGCTATGCAAGGGCAACATACAGAGCGCGGTGCAAAGATTCTTCACGCCACGGGCTCCAGATGTTCCTTCAGCGGCTTCCTCGCTGGAATGTGCACACACGCACCCGTCAACGCTGGTAAGGTGATGGCATCAGCTTGATCAGCATCCCCTCCGAGCCCTTCTGGGCTGCGTGCGGCTCAATGCGCTGCAGCATACCGCGGCACAGTTGGATGGCGTGGCGGCGAAGCCACCTTTGCTCGGGGATATACGGCGCCGACACAATCGACGGTGATCCACTCGATCCCACGGGTACTAGTCGCGTAAAGACATCCAATGCATTCCGCGCCCATACGGAGCCGCCACCAGAGACCGTTGCGCCGGATGTCGATGGCGTGAAGGCCGCTCGACCACCTTATCCACGTGATGAGTCCTGCCTTGCATAAGAGCTCCCCCTGTCGGTACAGTAAGGTGGCGGCTGAGGTGACGAGCACCGAATCGACTGAGCGGAGACCGTGGCCATGAACGATATCCGCAGCGGAATTACATGTGTGCGGCAATGGACGACGAAGGGGAAGCTAAAGCTAACAGGAGCGTATTGATTCTGGGGTTAAGAAGAAATATATATACAACGCTCCACTGTTTATAAACTAATGCATACAGCTCTATCACTCACGATAACAAGTCCTATCGAGGCTTTCAAACTCGATGCTTAGAGGTACAGCAACACAGGCTGGTCGTTCTGGATGCGGTACTGGTCCTGGGACTGGTCTGCGGGCGCGGCCGATGCGGAGGGGTTCTCGTCAACAAAGAGGCACTGCAGCACGTCGAGGATCTCGTGGTCCGACACGTTGGCGGCCTGCGGCACGCTCACGTGCTGCTCGGTGGCGCTGGTCGTGGAGGCCGAGCTGCTGCTAATGTTGCTGCTGGCCACCGTGCTCATGGACCACGGCGCGTACTCGGCCACCGACAGCGGGCTCGGGCGGGCAATGGGCGCGCGGAGCTGGGGTGGCGCGGCGGCGCGAGCGGCGGCCACGGCTCCAGGCGGGTGCTGCGTGCGCAGGTGGCGCGTGAGGTTGCCGGCCGTGCTGAAGGTCTTGCCGCAGCCTTCGACGACGCAGATGTGCGCGACGCTGCCGAGGTGGTTCTGCAGGTGGCGCGCGAGCTTCTCGGACTTGGTGAAGATGCGGGTGCAGCCCTCGACGGGGCACTCGAGCTTCTTGAGGAGGTGGAGGCGGCGGTGGCGGGCCAGGTTGCCCGAGGTGCTGAAGCGCTTGGCGCACGAGCGGATCGCGCACTGGTAGGGCTTCTCACCCGTGTGGGTCTTCATGTGCTCGCGCAGCGTGAACTTGCGCTGGAAGCGGCCGTTGCACGAAGGCACGGGGCACTGGAACGGGCGCTCGCGCTCCTGGGTCGGGGCAGGGGTGGGGGCCACGGGGGCGGGGGCAGCGGAAGCGTCAGTCTTGAGGTGGTCCATTATGACGAGGATGGTGGAAGGGTTTCAATTGCTTTTTGCTAGTGCGGACGCGCTGATCGCTGTGAGGTGGAAGGCAAGTTTGAAAGTGAGCTCACCAGAGGCGCGCTCCGTATCCGCGAGCGAGCTGGCCGGCGCTACCCTGCCCTGCCCTGGCCGGTCCATCGGGCCAAGGCACTGCACCGCTGCTGTTGGTCCGCTGTGACTTGCTTTGGCAGCAGACCGCGGCCAGCCGGTTTGCCCAGGTTTGTCTCGTCCGTGTGCGACGCCATGGCTTGAATGGTCTCCAGGCGGGACGCCAGGCTGTACGCGGGTCGCAGTGCAGAGACGGCTTGGGCTCGTGGCGTTGTCAAGCAAGTCGCAGCGAGGATAAACGCGTCCGAAGAGGGCGGCGAACTTGAATCTCGCGAGTCCACCGAGAAACCAAGGGCAACCGTAGCGCAGAGCAGCGAGGCGCACGTCCTCCTCGGTTCGCCAAAGCCATGTGGGCCTCAGGGTAGACAGGGGCCTCCACCATCTTAGCGGAAACCGTGGCGCGTTGACTTGCCGATTGGAAGAGCAGCCAATCTCTATGGTGAAAGACGCTGTCGAACCCCGAGGAAGTGGTTGGACGGCGAATTGCCAGGCTTCCTACAGTACATGTACCTGTAGGATACTCAAACTGTATAACCTGGATAGGTGGGAGTCACTGGGCAGGAAGGCGAGACCGCTTCAACGAGTGATCCAGTGGTTGGTCTCCGCTGTTAGAAGCGCGTGCATTACAGTGGCCCAAGATACAGCTCGTACGGTAGCCATCGACCGCGAGCTTGGCTGTCGTTACCAACGGCAGCGACCAAACCTAGAGAAGGGCCTGCGTCGACATGGCCGCTCGGAGAAGCCTATGCACGAAGGTGGGTACATGCAGCGCAGATGACGTTCTACAGCGTTGCCACGAACTCACGCGTCTTTCCATCTAAGCCGGCGCGTTCCCCGCGGTTCCTAGCGGCGATCCGCCCTGGGAAAAATATCGTGGCGTTGCTCGCAGAAATCAACCGCCAACCCTCGCTTACGGGCACCACCTTTGCCAGCGTCGGCTGGACATGTAACAGCGCTCGAACACGCGTGAAATCCGCCCTAAATTTTGCGCGCCTAGCAAGATGAAGCAGCCTTTGCATTCACTTCGCTGCTTCTCGCCTGATGGGCAAGTTACAAAATTGAACTGCTGCGGCTGTAATTTCGTAACTCGCTTCAACTGCCGAGCCCTTGAAGCTTCTCGCGCTGCTCGACTACCGATGATACTGTGGCTGCTCAGTGATAATACCTTGACTACTGCACTACCAATTCCAACCTTTGGTGCAGCTGGAATGATGTCTTCCAGCCGAGAATTGGCAGTGGTACGAAAAGCTCGCAAGATACAGCTCGGCGGGGGCCTGCAGGCTGCAGAGGCCACCGCCTCCAACCGAACGCCTTGTACAAGTTGATGCCACTGCGTGCAGCAGACCTGCCAGGCCCGCCCGCAGCAGACCAGTCCTCTGGGAAAGCCGGTTGGTGAGGGCTCACTTTGCACCCCAGCGGCGGCGGTCCGTGAGATGCGTCGCCGTGTTAGCTGAAGCGGTCGTTCCGCTGGTTCTCTTGACTCACCCGCTTGGCTACAGGACGCTTTGCCTGCACGGTGGACAGGCTCGTATGTAACCTGCTCCCGCGCAGGGTCAACGTGAGATAAATGCCCACGCTCACTCACTCACCAAAGGCACGCGTCCCGCGTCGCGCGGTGAATCCGCGGCCACCGCGCGTGCGGACGACGGCCGTCCAAAATCATCGGGCGCGTCCGATGGAGCGGCGCAGCGCTCTTCCATTGGAAGGAGACCGAAGACGAAAGCATCCACCCACGCTTTGCTGCTGCATCCCGCCGCGCTGATTACTTTCTCGAAGGGCACCGCGGTCGCAAACCGAGGTCGAAGAAGGCATCTGTTTCCCGAGCTGCACACTGTACGAGCGCGGCGGCATCCAAGCAGCTTTTCACGGACCCCGTATGTATGACTCCAAAGTATCCGCTACGCTCGACAAGTCGCAGTCGCGACACTCCATCCGTCCCAACGCTTGGGTGGATATCTTCCATGTCGACACCAACACCTGCGTGTCGAGTCGGTGGCTTCGACGCCGCTACAAAATACCTGCAGGCCGCAGCGTGAAGCCATCGTGTTGACTCGCTGCAGCGATGCAGCTCACATAATCACCGTCGCGAGGCTTGAAGGCCCACAAAGCCCTCGCGCTCTCTGCGTTTTCAAACGTGGCCAGCTGTGGCTGGGGCGATGTGTGTGTGTGCGCGCGCTCCTTCTTCTCCAACTTGAGTGTTGAGCTTCCGATTCATTCGGCCTGCGGGTTAAACATGTTGCAAACAGCCGCAGCGCGTCTTGAACAGCCCCATTCCTGCCCAGCAGAGGGGGAGGGGGAGCCTTCTTGGCCAGCAGCGCTCGAGAACAGCCCAACGTCTGTCAGGAGATCCGCCTGCCGATCCGGCCAATCGAGGCGAGTCGAAATTTTGTCCCGTATTACTCAGCGACCGAGGTGACGCGTGTTTAGCTATGGTAGCGTAGATTACGTCCGCCGTCTGCTCGTAGCGACGTTCAAATCGCCGGCTGTGTGCGCCTGCCGCTACGTTGCCACGCTCGACTTGGTCCCTTCAACACGGCTCGGATAGCCGCGCCGAGTGTGATTTTGTTCGGCAAATTTCGGCTTGCCGGTCCGATTTGCTACAACCGCGCGAAAGCTGGATTACCGGGCCTTGAAATCGCAGCGAGGCAGCGAGGAATGGCGAGAGCTGAGCCAGCTCCAGCTCACCTCGGCTTCAACGTGAGCCTTCTGCATCGACGTCCGGTTTCCTCGCTTTCGGGGAGGCCGAGCCAAACTGGCCAACGAGTTTCTTTGGCGCGCTCAACGTCAGACACTGCTCCTGCGAGCTCGATTTGCACGGCTTCGCTTCGCTTGCTCGCCTCAACGCGCGGCGGACCCGACAAAAGAAACTCGAGCGTCCAGCGCTTGAACCCTTCGCGCTGCAGTTAAACGACCGCACAGCCCAACGCGTTAGCGTCACTTGAGGCGTTTAGGTTACACCAGAACTTCGAGCAAAGCTTTAACGGAGGTTGCGCTGAGCCTTTGTACAGCGTGTTTAAGCTGCAAAGCTAGCATAGCGTGCGCGCTTCAACTCAATGCACACCGCTAGGCTTGTCAACACTGACGTAGTTCCAAGTTGGGACGGGTGGATCTACATGAACTAAGAAGAATGCCCTTACCATTCAATAGACATCTCGTTCGTGGACCATTTTGCTGTACAGAATTATGCCCGAATAAGGAACGGGTGTACAACTAATAGCCTCACATATTTAATATTATTTTCCAGTCGATGTGGCGATAGGGGGATGTGCAAAGTACTGCAAGGTACTGAGGTGAAAAATCCAGTGCCAATCATCAGCTCTCCACCCTCGTTTGAAAAATGGCGCGCATTTAGCGATCTTACTAGACTTCAAACTACATGTACCGTAGGGGTAGACTCGCACTTTTGCTTTAGCACCTCGCCCCACAAGCCCACCTCCTCCCCCACTCCACCCATGACTGTCCAAGCGTCTCCGCCTCACTTGGTCTGAGAAAGTAGGCATCCTCGACAAGGTGAAGGGCTAGATAATCCCTACGAGGTCGACCAGTTGACAGCGCTGTTGTGGTGCGAGGATGCCTGGTCAAAGGTTAGTGCTTCGACCATACGCCACTGTTGGAATCATTCCGGACTCGTAGGTAAAGCTGCTCTTCAGTTCATTTTGAAATAACTAAATCAGTACATTGGAAAAGTATACTCAACTTAACATCAATTTATATATTCTGCGTCTTTATATATATCAGGCGTTCCTTACTCGGGCAGATTACTGTAAGAGTTTGGGTTTCATAAAGCGGCGTGGATTGATAGTTTACGAATAATGTCTGGCGCTGAACGACGCCAACGATCTCTTTACATCCTACACGGCCTAAAACTCGTACGTAGCGGTAAGATACGGCGGCTGCGACTGCTGCTGGGGCTGGTGGTGGGGCGGTGCCTGGTGTTGGTGGTGCTGCGGTGCCTTGTTGTCGCGCGGAGGCTCCAGCTTGGGCAGTCTGTCCCGGATAATGGCAACATTGTGGTGACCCTGGGCCGCCGCCGCGGCAGCCGCCTGCGCGTTCTCCACGAACAAGCAGTCGAACAAGTCCTGCACGTCTGACTCCAGAATGCGCTGCTGCTGCGGGGGGTGCTGGCCGTGGTGGTGATGGTGGTGGTTCTCCACCGGTGGCTGCTGCGGCCACAACAGGCCACGCATCGGAAGCGAACCGGTCGGGGGTGGCGCGCGGCCAGGGAACTCAAACTTGGGCCGCGGCAGCGAGGGCATGGCCGACACCGGGACGGGGACAGCTTCCTGGCGAGTCGACGGGCCGGCACGGTGCTGCGTGCGACGATGCCGGGTCAGGTTGCCGGCCGTGCTAAAGGTCTTGCCGCAGCCAGCGAAGTCGCACGTGTGCGGCGTACGCGCAAGGTGGACCTTGAGGTGCGGCACAAGCTTCTCGCGGCTGGTAAACACGCGCGTGCAGTGCGCGGCCGGACAGCTGATCTTGCGCATGGCGTGCAGCTTGCGGTGGCGCGCGAGGTTGCCCGACGTGCTGAAGCGCTTGCCGCACTCGGCCACGGGGCACTGGTGCGGCTGCTCGCCCGTGTGCGTCTTGAGGTGTTCGTGCAGCGTGAACTTGCGGTGGAAGCGGCCGCCGCAGTTGGGCACGGGGCAGGCGAACGGCCGGTCCTCGGAGGGCGCCGCGCGGCGCGAGGTGCCTGTGCGTCGCGGGGCGGCGGGCGCTGGTGGCGGCGGGGCGGGGGCATTGACGTTGACGTTGGCACCGGGGCTAAGATTGGCAACGGCACAAGCGTTGAGATTGGCATGGTGCTGCTGCGTGTTCGGATCCTGATGCTGGTGCTGTCCGGCAGTGCTGCGCTGCAGGTAGAACGGCGGGTCCCGCGTGGTCTCACTTAGCATGGCTTGCATGGCTGTTCGGTGCGGTGAGTGGAGGGGGGCGGGATCAGGATAAGATGCGAGGAAGCGGACACGTCACGCCGCTTGGGCTTTTTCCACAGTGGCTCTCCTGGCCTCAAGCTGGTACTTTCGAGAATACAACCGAGGCAGGCAGGCTCGAGGTGTGGCGGTCGTCGCTTGGGCTCTGCCTGTCGGCGCGCCGCGCCTCGCCTCTGCGTCTGGTTTGGGGCTGCTGGCGGGGCCATCAACGGACTCGTCCAGAGCCATTCCTACGGCGGGTAGGGCGCGGCGGCACCAGCGCATGAATTCGCCTTGGATAGGACACATCAGATGCTTGCGTGATTATGGCTCGGCTGGCTGTTTGTCAGCAACTCGCACAGTCTCCGAGCTGCGCGCACATGCTGGGCGAGTGCAGTGCAGCCATCTGACGCAGACACTGCGGTTGGCTGCCTATGCGATGCCCCTCAACTTGACGTTGCAAGCTTGAATTCATCCCGCATGGTCGCTGGCGCAGTTTCGCTCGTTTTTCGCGCGCAGGAGGAGCTCGACAGCCGGGAGCGGTGGATAGCCCCGCCGGCTACTTTTTATCTCGAGGGATTTGCAGCGCGCAGTGAATCTGCAGCAAGCGGCCCGGGGCTGCACGTGCGGAGCCCGTGGGTCGGCCGGTCCCGTCGTCTTCGGACAAGCGAGGGCGACACTCGCTCGCTACAGTAGCGGTCCCTGGGACGTTGCTTCCGCTTCAAGGTGTTCTTGGCCTTCCGCACTTCGCGCGCTCGGCTCCTGGTGGTGCGCTCGCTGCACCTCGACTTGACCTGATACCGTTCACCATCGGCAGCAATTCCTCTCGGCTCTTGATCACCTCGGCCGTGTTTGACGGCTCGAGAATCATTCGCGGTCACCTCGGTGCCGGCGCGCATTGAAGCCGGCCGATCCGATCTTCAGTTGTCAAAGCCCCGTACGCTCCGAAAGCGCCGATGCGTTTCCGAGTCCAAGTGTACCACCGCGCATGCTTGCAGGTTCCGTGACGTGACCCAATCTCGTGACACCGGCTCACTACAGTACACGCCTGCGCTCTACCTACCGGTACCATGGATCGAAGACGTCCTCCTCGGCGGAACGCGTCAACATGAGCCGAGGCAGTGCACATGTCAGGCTTCGCACGATGACGCCTGACGGTGCGGCTCTGGTGGTGCGGCTGCGCTCGGATCGCCTAAAGCAAAGAAGCGCAGAGTGGCTGGCTGGCTGGCGGACGCTAAAGAGGTGGAGGACGCTTTTAATCGCGGCAGATACATTTGGGGGGGGTCCATTAAACAACTCACTCACTCACTCACTGGGCATTTATACTTCATAGGTGGACACGCGGGTGGTCGTCGTCGCACGACGAGCCTACCGTACCAGAATTCACTGGTGGTAGGCTCCGCGGAGGAACGGCTCGCTGCGGATGATGCCGCCCATGGTGTTCACGGGCGCCACCGCCGGGTTCTCGACGAACAGGCAGTCCAGCAGGTCCCGCACGTCTTGGTCGGAGATGCCGCGGTTGTAGTCGGGTCTTGCCGCCGCGACAGCCGCCGACACGGCGTCCTGGGTCGGTGCATTGGACCACACCGGGCCCTTGACGAGCATCGCGCCGGGCACGACCGGGTACTGCACCATCCTGCCGGGCATTGATGCCTGCATCATCGGGAACTGCCGCTGCGGCTGCTCCGGGAACGGCAGGCTCTTGAGCATCGGCGGCTGCCGCGGGGGCTCCATCCCGTTCACGCGGTTGGCCGGCGGGGCGTTGTGTCGCGTCCGTCGGTGCCGCGTGAGGTTGCCGGCCGTGCTGAAGGTCTTGCCGCAGCCTTCGATGTTGCAGGTGTGCGGCGTGCCCGCGAGGTGGACCTTGAGGTGTCTCATGAGCTTCTCGCGGCTCGTGAACTCGCGGGAGCAGTGCGGCGTGGGGCAGTTGAGCTTGCGCACCGAGTGCAGCTTGCGGTGGCGCGCGAGGTTGCCCGAGGTGCTGAAGCGCTTGCCACAACCCGCTATGGGGCACTGGTGGGGTTGCTCACCCGTGTGTGTCTTCATATGTTCGTGCAGCGTGAACTTGCGGTGGAACCGGCCGCCGCAGGTCGGGATCGGACATGCGAACGGCCGATCCTGCGACGGCGGCGCGCGGCGCGACTGACTCGGTGTGAAGGCACTCGAGTGCGGTGGCTGCTGCTGCTGGTGGTTGAGCGCGGCTTGCATCGTTGCGCACGGAGCGGAACTCGGTTTAACTTCGTGGATGGCAGGCAATTTGAATTGTAGGCGGACAGGGCAGCGGCGTCCAAAGCGCAAAAGTGCAGCGTCGTGCAGAGAGGGGAGGGTGGATCTCCTCACGGCACCAAACTCAGGATGGGGAGGCAATGCAGCCAGGTCTGCAGCGACACCTGGAGTATTGGCCGGCCAGGCGTCTCGCTCCGTCAAAGCCGATGTCATCGTGGTCGCAGACTCAAACCTTACCAGCGCGGAGAGCAACGCGGCGGTCGAGTCCTTCGTAGCGCGATGCCATTGCATACACTTGAAGAGAGAGGCTCGTCCCTTTTTGGCAAAGTGTAGCTGCACGAAGCTGCTAAGCAAACAAGTGAATTGTCAGCTCCGTGTCACGCTTCGCGCGCCCCGCCCCGTCCAGGGCTTCAACACGAACCAATGATGACAACCAAGAGGCACTCTCGGCACTCGACGACGGGGGGGGGGGGGGGGCGGTGTCAATAGCCAAAGGAGTTGGTGCACAACGTTTGGTTTTGAGTTCATGGTCATCTGGTACCGGAGACGGCTCGGATCGGGCTTGAAGAGCATGTTCAGGATCGGGTCAAGGCTCTCGGTTGACGGCGCTTCCGGCGGGCCATGCACGACACTTTATGCATTGCGATGCGTCTCGGCTCGGGCATTCGATCGAAACCGAGTTGGTCAGCGATTCTCTTCCGAGATGATGTGGCTTGGTGCTCAGCCTCACGTCGCTGCTCGCTGCGCACGATCCCGCAGAGAGGGAAGCGGGCCGAGTTGGCTACGAAATGCGGGCGCAGAAGCTGCGGCCGAGACGCATCGGCTGTCGACACTTGCATAGATGGTCTGGCCGCGCCTTCAACTGCACTCAAGCTGCGCGGGAGCGTGGGTGAACGAACTCCTGCACCTTGCAGCACGCCCTCGCATAGTGCCGGTTGAACACCGACAACGTGAAGGTGCCGCTTACGATTCCCACTGAGAAACGCGGCTCTTGTTGCCTTCATCCACCACGGCATGGCGCCCTCCGGATAGCCCCGAATTGAAGCTGCCAGGACCAGGCAGAATTGCAGTTGCACCCGTTGAAGTTTCGATTGAAAAACTGGTTTGCTTGTTGCTTGGATGCCGACCTCGAAATCGTTTGATCGGTGTACGGTACACGTAATGTAGATCCATGTTCAACATGCTCGAGATCATGTTGAAGTGAGCTCTAGCCCAAATGCTGCTCACACTCAGCTCAGCTCGGCAGCGCTTATCTCTGCCGACGCCAACTTGGCACTCCCAATCCGTAGCATTTTCGTTGGCAACTTGGCCGTGTCGACCACCTTGTTAGTCGAAGCACATTGCCAGTGCCAGTCGCGCATCGCATTGAGCCAAAGCTTCTTGCTCATGTTGCTCAAGAAGATGAGAGATCACGGGTCCGCCACGCAGCACCGATCTCGGCAACGTTTCCTGCCTCGATCAAATCTCTTCTCTTGCTCCGGTGACTTTGCGCTCCGGCTCACCTCGACTTGCGTCGCTAAAGCGATTCCAGCACCATCCCGCCGCGCATCGAGGTCTCCTCCACCTCTGGAGCGGAGGTGGCGGTCCTGGGGCAAATCCGAGCTCCGATTCATGACGAGTACAACTTCTCAACCGCGATACTGTAGAGCGATGGCAACGAACACGCACACGAAATCTGTGAAAAACTGTTCGATTCGAGCTGTCCTTGCTTTCTTTGGTGGGCGCTATCCTATCTATACATGGTTCGTGGTGCTGTGGGGCGCCTTGACGCCGTCGTCGACCGACTCGACGCCAACTGCCTGCACGTGCTTGGCGTGCTCCATCTTGAGAGCCTGGTCGCGCATACGGCTGCCGTTGCGCTTGGCCTGGGTCACCTTGTACAGCATGGTGCAGAACGTGACGACACACGCGATGGCAGCGATGATGAGGGCGACGATGATCGGAGGGCCGTATAGGTTGTCGCCGTCCTCGTTGGTGGCCGTCGTCGTGCAGCGCGGCCCGGTCCAGGAGTCCGACGAACACTCGCAGCGCTTGTCTGCATTGCACGTGCCGGTTCTCACAGCCGAGGAACCGGTCGTGGAAATGGTGCAGTCGTCGTCCGAGTCGCAGAAGGCCATGCCCGAGACCTCCACTACCAGGTTGTCGTCGTCCTGGTAGTCGTCGATGTTGTCCTCGATCCACTGCTTGGTCGGGTGGGTGGACGGATCGCACCCCACGGCCATCGACGATTCGTCGGACACGTCCTGGTACACGCGGATGTAGTCGATCTTCATGTACATGGGGAACTCATCGCAAATGGCGTTGGTCGTATTGTCAGTGCCGTCACCGTAGCAGCCACTTGAGCCAGCGTTAGGCGGCTTGGAACCCCACGAGCTGGAGAGAGCCACGTTGAAGATGAAGTACATGGGCTCCTCGATCATGAGCTTCTTGGGGTTCATCATCGCCGTGTCCTGCGGCGGGTTGGTGACCGCGTCCGCCGGGATCTCGAAGATTACCTGACCTTCCACCTCCCAGCGAATGTAGCCCGCGTCTCCCATGACCCACTCCAGCGAGTACGTGACCCAGTCCAAATACGCAGCCATGTGCACTTCCCAGTCCGAAGAAATAGCATCCATTTGGTACGTGAACTCCGATCCAGAACTGGTAGAACCACCAGACTGGGTACACACCGACGCAGTGTTACCGGCATTACACAGGTACGCGCCCGTATAGGCGTTCTGCTTGGGGAAGCAGGTTCCGTTCGTATTCACACCCCAGTGCACTGTACCGTTGTCCTTGAATCCCAAGTCAGCGTTCACGTCGTACGACGCGGGGCACAAATCCATGGTGCACGCGTTCTCCGTGATTCCCTTAGTCACCGACGCGTTGATGGTCGCGAAGCTCTGGACGTCGTCCTTCTCAACGTCACACAAGTTGTTGGCAGCGTAGCGCAGTCCCTGGTACCACGTCTTGTGTCCGCGCAGGTTCCAGTAATACTTGGTGGGGACGTCCTGGTTGTTGGCGCCCTCGGTCGTACAGTCATAGCTGTACATACAATACGCGGACGAATTGTCCACAATGGTCCGGAAGTCTTCGGGCATACCGGGTCCAACCTGAATCGAGGACGAGATGGCAGTGCCTCCTCCCTCGAGAATATCAATTTCCGGAGCTCCGCGCCCCTGGTTGGGGTTCATCCCCGAGCCGGGGTTGTCATCGCACGCGCTGATGCGCTGGTTCTGCGAGTCGAAGATGGTGTCGTTGCACTCGTTGTAGGAGAAGGGCCACATGCGGGCCGTGGAGCCCGTGAAGATGCCCCGGCCGAGGTTGCCCATGAGCCAGATGCCGGGCCACGTCGGGTAGTAGTCGATGTTGGCCGCGCGCACGCTGGTGGAGCCCGTCTCGACGTCCGGGTTGCCCGAGGCGTTGCTGACGGCGCCCGGCAGCTGCGCGCGCACGGTGACGAGCCCCCCCTGGAAGCAGAACTTGTTCCAGCCCTGCACCATGGCCGAGCGGTAGTAGAAGGTGACGTCCTCGTAGCCGGGGGGCGAGATGTACTCGTTCCAGACCGTGAGGTTGGTCTCGTGGATGTCCGACTCGATGTAGAAGTAGCAGTTGCCGTCGTCGTCGCAGGCCGTGCCCGTCATGTTGGGGTAGTAGATCTCGAGCGCGGCGTTCACGCCGTCGGGCTTGTCGATGGCCGTCCACAGGTGGTCCTCGCCCGCGTCGAAGCTGCGGCCCTCGACGTTGAACTCGTCGCTCATGACGAGCGTCCACGTCTCCCCGCGCGACGACTTGTGCGTCTGCGCCTTGCTGGGCGTGTCCACGTCCACCCACGGCCGCACGCCCGACTTGGTCTCGTACGTCGTGGTGGATGCCAGCGAGGTGGCCGTCATGACGGCCAAGGCCGCGACCACACTTGTCCAGCGTGACAACATCTCTCCAGTCGAGTTCGATCTATCGGACACCTGTGACTATGAGTATGATACCGGCTCCACGGGCTCCGCTACAGTACTGGATCCGCCCCGTATCAACGCGCCTTCGACCTGACCTGCCGATCGCCTGCTTGGAGAGAAACCTGAACTGGCTGGCCGAGGCGAACGTGAGGGGGGGGGGCTTGCGTGAAGAGCACCACATCTCAAGGAGCCAGCTGGTGACTGCCATACTCCGGCCGAGTCTAATTGCATAGAACGGGGCGGAAAGTGGCTCCGGCTGCAAATTCCGCCCGAGCAATGTCACACGCGACAGCGAACAGATTGGACACCCGAAGTGAAGACACGCATAGCGAAATGGCCATGTGCAGGTTGGGCTGTCGTTGGGCAGTGTGCGAATTGAGGCCACGTGCGCGCGGAGCAGCTTTGTCGTGCTATATAATAGGGCTGCTGGAGGACGGATCGGACGGCGAACTGGAATTTTAATCTAGAATCCTTTTTTGGGAATCCCTCGGAATATTCGAACACCATGTACCCACGAGACGCAGATGAGCGGGTTTGCAGGGATATCTCATATCACAGTGCTAGAAACACTACGTTGTGTCTGCATACTTAAAGCTAAAAGAAGACAGAATAATCACTTTCACATCATTAGGAATGAGAGGTATGTATATAGATTTTTGAGAATCAAGGGCGCGTGAACAAAATTCGGCACAGGAATCCTGGCTCGGGCAGGCTGCCTGCCTTCGGGTTGCAAACACTGCTGGTTTGTACATTGTAGCGGCTCAAAATGCATTGCTGGAGTTGCTCGATGCGCTGCCATTGTGCTGTTTGTGCCACCGCAGGTTCCTGGATTTCCTGTGAGCTCGAAGGGGATCCCTAATGCACCGTTGCCACGCTGACGTCTTCCCGACGATCGTTGGTCGAACGTCGTAAAAAGCTGCAATTCCGCGCCAACCGAGCTACCTAGTACAGCAAGTGCAAGCAAGGATGCAAGCTGCAATACGCCGCGAGATTAAATACGGGATCACGTTGCTGGCGGACACCACACTATGTCGCCGACTAGCTAAGTTGAGCCTAGCGCAGGTGTAATATGGCTACGCGAACACGTACATCATTCATTCATCACGTTGCTGCCAAGTGATCTCGCTACCTACGTACATGCATGAGTAGAGAATGACCACGGACCTCGAAGTGTCAGTCGACAACAACTTCAAGTTGAAGCGCTCTGATACCTTACGAACTAAACAGTAGCACGCTTCGCGCGCGAGGTCTCTCAGCACTGATCAATGTTCAGTAGCACGCTTCGCGCGCGAGGTCTTAGATGTAATACTACGCGAGCAGGATACGATCTTGTCACTAATATGGAATTTCTTCTCAGTGAAAGAGCGTCTCGCTCATAATTAACATACTCGCCCTATTAAAGTCCGGACTTTATTTTATAGTACAGGCCTAAAAGCTTGAAATTATCAGATATTATATCAGCTCTAAAAAAATATCTTGGATTTTGTATGTATATGTACAAACCGTTAACTACCGGTATTTGTTGCGGCAGGCTTATATTCGGGAGGGGGCTTATATTCGGGCGAGTACGTTAGGAGTCGGCGAATAGGTAGCTCACAAATGGTAATGTTGCTATCGCTGTATAATATAGCTATATATTTATTATATTGTTAAAATTAAAGCGTTAGCTTTTGCTTGCCCTTCCATTGCTCAAACGCTTGTTGAGCTGCAGCACCACGTCACAGATTATGTGCTGTACACAAGGGCAACTTGCATGTTGCAGAGAGTGATGGTCATCGAAGCTTCGCGAAGTGCCGATCAAGTTTGTCAGGGTTCTAGATTGTAGGAACTAGAGCGAACTGCTAAGGTCTCGCAGGTAAAGCTTTTGATTCAATCTCACTTTCCATTCTACACTGCATCGCACAAGAAGAGTTCAAGTCGTTTTTGGTTATGAGCCCAAATACGCTGGGTCCAAACGACGTGCTGCGCGAGGACAACTATTTCCTGTGGGAATTCAACTGCCGCATGGCACTCGCGAGGAAGGACCTGCTGGACGAAGCCAGAAGATGCAGCTAAGCGGGAGACCGAGACGTGGGAAGCCGCCGATTTCAAGGCGCTGGCTGTCATCTCGAAGTTACTGAGTCCAGTGTACCAGTCGATGATCCGAGAATCCAAGTCTGCCAAGGATGCGTGGGAAACGCTGCGCGAGTTCTTCGTCAAGCAGATTCTTCACAACCGCGTCCAGCTTCGGAAGCAACTGCACGAGTTCCAAATGGCATCTGGGGCCGATTTGATGGACTACCTACTGAAGTTCGATGACCTCTGTCTGCGACTTTCGGCTGTTGGTGACCAGCTGAGCGACGACGAGAAGCTCGTGATTCTTCTGGGGAGTTTGTCAAGCGAGTATGACGCCATGGTGGAGATTATTGAGGCTCACTCATCCGTGACTCTGATGGATGCGAAGGAGATGCTGCGCCGCGAGTCGGAGACGCTCAAGAAACGCGAGAAGCAAGAGGAAGCGTTTAACGTGTCTGCGCGTGGTGGAAATGGAAGCACAAGACGACGGAACAATGCAGGGTCACGCGGGACCCAGGCAAGCCAGCATGGACATGGAGGCGGGCGGCATGGAAGCCGTCGTGGTGGTGGCCAGCAGCGCCAACCACGTGGATGTCGTGGAGCGTCGAGGTTTGATGGGCGATGCTTTGAATGTAACCAGTTCGGCCACAAGCGTGCAGAGTGTCCAACGCTCAGTAAGAAGGACGACGGAGATGAGTTTGTGTTCGCCGCGACGAGGTAGGCATCGACGGCATGGCTGCTGGATAGTGGGGCCAGCACGCACATAACGCACAGCCGGCAAGATTTCGTGGAGTTCCGAGAGCTGAAGAGCCCGACGGATATTGTAGTAGCCAGCGGACAACGCCTACGTGCGATGGGAGTGGGAACTGTGCGCTTCCAGATTGGCGGCGGCCGGTTGATCAAGGTGACTGAAGTACTGTATGTTCCGGACCTCGACCGGAGACTGCTGTCGATTCCGTCGTTGGTGGTCAAGGGTGCTTCTGTGGAGTTCTCTGGTAATGGGTGCACTATCAGTTTTGAAGGGAGATTGGTTGCGCGTGTGGAGAAGGGGGAATAATTATTTGTCTGGAACGTGGTGGCGACGACGGATGAGGAGCGCGGCAAGGACGTTGCAGCATCGGCGGAGCTGCCCCCTGGCAGCCTGTGGCACGAGCGGCTGGGGCATGTGTCGAAGAAGAAGATGATGTTGGTGTCGCGCGCTGCGGAGGGCGTTCCGAGCTTTGGTCAAGATGATGTCCCAGTTGACGTACCCTGTGCTGGCTGTTCGTGTGGCAAGATGACTGTGAGCCCGTTCGCAAGACAGTGTGAAGACCGCAGGATTGCTGGACCTCGTACACTCCGACGTCATGGGTCCAATGAAGCCTCAGTCGAAAGGGGGAGCGCGTTTCGTAGTGACGTTTGTCGACGATTATTCTCGCTACGTGCACATGTATCTGATCAAGGCGAAGTCGGAGGTATTTGCTCGGTTTGTGGAGTACAAGGCGCTCGTGGAAGCGCAGACCGGTCGTCGTATTCCCTGCTTGCGCAGTGATAACGGAGGAGAGTATGTGAACAAGAGGTTTGGGGACTTTTTCGCGGCTCATGGGATCGTGCACCAGACCTCCACGCCTCACACTCCGCAGCAAAACGGTCTCGCTGAGCGTATGAACCGCACGCTGGTTGAGATGGCACGCTCAATGTTGTACAACCGCGGAATGGCTCGTGAGTGGTGGGGTGAAGCTCTGAGTACGGCTGTGTATTTGACGAACCGCGTACCGAACACTGCTGGCCCTCAAACTACTCCCCATGAAGTTTTCGCCGGACACAAGCCTGACCTGAGCCACCTGCGGTCTTCGGATCGAGAGGATACGTTCACGTTGACAAGTCACGTCGGAGCAAGTGGGATGCCCGAGCTCATGCATGCATCTTTCTCGGGTACGCTCCTGGCTCGAAGGCCTATCGCGTTTGGGATGCTGAAGATGAGCGCATCGTGACTACCAGGACCATCACCTTGGATGAGCGTCCTGTTGACAACTATCGCACTGTGGTTCACGTGACGAGGCAGGCTCCGTTGGAGTTCGACGAGGATGTGAGTACCTCGCAGCAGCCACAACAACCGGTTTTGCCTGCGACGGACAACAGCGGAGACGTTGAAATGACCGAGGTCGATGGTAATCCCGTCGACATGGAAGTCGATGCAGTACCAGACGCACTGGTTCGCCGTGGCGAAGGTGAGATGTCTCGCAGAGGGGGAGAAGCACTTTTAATCCCAGTTTCAGAGCCGAGCTCGAACGTTACAGCTGCTCGACAACTCACCAGCCAGTCTTCTCTACGTCAATCAGCTCTGATTCCATCGTCCATGCGCACTGGTGAAACCTCGCTGAGCGATCGCCTCGTGTTTGGCCCAACTAGACCTCGTCAAGTTCGTATTTCGGCGCCCCACCAACCGCGTCTGCTGACAAGTGCTCAAGAAGCAAGAACCCCGGCATTGCCAGCGCTACCACCGAGTGAAGGCAATAGAGAGACTGGGGAAGCCGAACGACTGCTGCTGGAGAATGGCGAAACCGATCCGACAAGTGGACAAGATGCGACGGGAGATGGCTAGACTTCGGACGGAAGCATTGGTGAGCTGGACAACAAGCGCCCGAGAATTGACGACGAGTACGAGATTGCTCTTGCTGCCTCGGAAACTATTCCCAACTCGTTCCGTGAAGCGATGCGTTCTGCCGACTCGGACAAGTGGAAGGAGGCGTGTCGCGCTGAAATCCGAGCTCATGTGCGCAACCACACTTGGGATTTAGTTTACCGTCCGCCCGGTGTTCGCGTGATTGGGCACAAGTGGGTCTTTGCCCTTAAACAAGATGAACACGGAAACATTATCCGGTAAAAGGCGCGTTTAGTTGCTCTCGGTTGCTTCCAGACGTATGGTGTTGGCTACACATCTACCTACTCTCCTGTTGCCAGTCTCAACACGGTGCGGATTTTTCTTGCGGTGTGCTGCCAGCTCGGATACATGGTGAAGCAGTACGATGTTGAAATGGCATTTCTAAACGGCGACCTCGAAGAGGAAGTGTACATGGTGCCGCCTGAGTGTCTCAATGTTCGTGAAGGCATGGTGTGTCGCCTTCGTCGCAGTCTCTCTGGCTTAAAGCAAGCCGCTGCTGTGTGGCACAAGACCATTCGAAGTGTGTTCATCGCCCTGGGATTCAAGCAGTGCAAGTCGGATCCCTGCCTATTCGTTCGAGTTCGTCACAATGGACCCCAATGCCTCTGCAATACTCGACGCCTCTTCTTCGGCCGCACATCCGATAAGCAGATCATCGACATACAGGACGATGAAAACGGTGCGTGTTTTCGTCTCAAGTCACTTGGAGATGCTCGCTTTATTCTCGGAATGGAGCTTCGCTACAACACGCAGCGTGGAGAGCTTTTCGTTTGTCTGGCGCAATACATTTCGCGAATCATTGAGCGATTTGGCCAAGCAGAGGCTCACCCTGTCCGAAACCCGAGCGTCGTCGGGCAAGATCTGCGTGCAAGTGACGAACACGCAAGGATGAACGAGAAAAAGCCATTTCGCGAACTTGTTGGCTCACTTCTCTACGTTGCTAATGCAACCCGTCCCGACATTTGTGTTGCAGTCAGCATTCTATCGCAACACTTCGAGGATCCACGTGAAATGCATTGGAAGGCGGCTGTGCGCGTACTACGGTACCTCAAGGGTACACTCACTACTGGTGTTAAGTATTGGCGCGGAACTCAGCTGCGTTTGCTCGCCTTCAGCGATGCAAACTGGGGAAGCGATCTATCTACTCGCCGATCGACATCAGGCGTGCTTCTGCAGCTGTGTGGTGGACCAGTCGTGTTCAAGGCGAAGAAACAGGCGACCGTCGCGCTATCTTCGGCCGAAGCCGAGTACATGGCACTTGCGGTGACGGTGCAGGAAGTGATGTGGGTGTGGCAGCTGCTCGGAGAGATGCTGGTGGGAGATACGTGTGCTACTAAAGTCTTCATCGATAACAAGGCAGCGATCAGCATGGCGAGCAACAGCGGGTACACCCCACGCGCCAAGCACATCGACCTCCGCGTGCACTTGTTCGTGATCAAGTCGAAAACGGAACGATCAAGGTCCAGCATATGCGCTCTGCTCAACAACTGGCAGCCTACCTTACCAAGCCACTCCCGATCCCGCAGTTCATGATACTGGTGAAGGCAAGTGGCGTTGTCAGCAGCAGCGATCCTGGAATGCGAGTTGAGGGGGAGTGTTGAGCTGCAGCACCACGTCACAGATTATGTGCTGCACACAAGGGCAACTTGCATGTTGCAGAGAGTGATGGTCGTCGAAGGTTCGCGAAGTGCCGATCAAGTTTGTCAGGGTTCTAGATTGTAGGAACTAGAGCGAACTGCTAAGGTCTCGCAGGTAAAGCTTTTGATTCAATCTCACTTTTCATTCTACACTGCATCGCACAAGAAGAGTTCAAGTCGTTTTTACGCTGATGTTTCTCCATCGAGTGCGTAGAGCGGTAGCTCGATAAACCCAATAAGCCGCTGCATCTGGTGCCTACACAAAGTTACGTCAGTGTGTATACTTTGTATGTGTATACTTTGTATCGTAAAGAAGCACAACGAGAAGAAGTGAGCTCCCAAGGACATGCGAGATCTCTTTCATCTGCTTCTTAGTATGTACAGTTCAACTCCGTACAAATGTATAACCAATTTTGTCGACTGCTGCCAATATCATAGCAGAGCCCCATGAAACATGCCAATACGACGATTACTAGCTTCATATCCGAGGCTTACTATGCTACTGAAAGAATTGGAATCAGGTTCTGCTTGCTCTGATCGTGCACGTGGTCTAACTTATTGAACGACAGCTTCCGCGTCTTTGAGACGAAAGCCCGCCCTCACGGTCGAACTCCTGAAAACGCCGCCCGTACATGTGCCAAAGTTTGTCTGCTCCGGGTTGGACACCTCTTGGCGCACGTACAGCCCCGCGTAGCACGCGTCAGCCGCCAGCGTAGGCTTGATGAGGCGCACGCGAAATCTCGCTGCAGGTTGTGACTGTGGTTGGCTACGTGCTTCTGGCGGAGTTGGTACCGCCACACGCCAAGCGACGCTGCTGCTACATAGCGTGATAGGGCCATGAGGGCAGCGTGGAGCTTGGAGCAATGGCTACGCACCATTCGACGCTGGGTAGACCTAGACTAGCTCGCTGGCATTAGTATAGAGTTTGATCGTGGCCGGCGGTGAAAACTGCACAGACCGCTCTGCACAACAATAACAGCAACAACAACGGCACAGTGCGCAACACGTCAGTACAGTCGGTGTATATCGGGTCCGCAGTGGCTGAGAATGAGCTGCTCCTGAACCGGCAGTGATATTCCGTACGAATACTACGCACCTCAAAGGCCGATGGCAGTGACTGCGGGTGCAGACGGGCGTCTGGGGGTACGAGAGGTTGCTGACACGTCGATAAGCACCAAGCGACCCCATCCGCGACAGTCGAAGCGCTCTTGCGGCTCGGTTGGAGGCAGACTTGGCTACGACTCGCAGCTGGGTCGACGTGTAGCCGCGCGATACATGATCTCAATTGCAGCACTTCCTGGACGCCATCAAGCAAGCCACGTGCGACCCTTCTGACGATGAGTTAATACCGATATATCTTATGAAAGTATACAATATGCGTTAACTATCCATCATTTCTTTTCTATTTCTATCGTTTCTAATTGGATAGTAAAACGAAGTCGGGTGCCGGCACCTCATGCCCCATATTTTGTGATTGACTCTCATTGGTGTAAAAGCAAGCACCTTCTCTGCATAAATAGCTCTGCGACCAGTCGTTGGTATACAAATCGACACTTAATCGCACACAATAACGTACCGTTGAGCTGCGATCAAGTTTTGGGTTAGCCCCGGTTTACACCGGTTTAGACTGTTGCCTAGCATTTCTTTTCTTAGCCATTAACTTAACCCGGGCAATTACCGTGACTTTTCACCAAGGTACACGAAGTAAATGGCTTCATTTGTATACTTGAACGATGAAGTTGGGACCTACGTTTGAGCTTTTCAGAAAATCTAAAAGTGTCCCATGTGAGTTCAGAGCATAATGAAACGCAGTCAAGGCCCCTGCACCGGCTGCGCCACACCTCTCTGCTTGCACTTGAGCCCCATTTTTCAGAAATACCGAGCGGTAATCGTTTCTAAGTTCGGTACTTCAACGTCTGACCCCAGTAGCTCTCAGCTATGCTGAGAGAATTGGTCGCGGTTTACACAAAGTTCGTGCTGTAGTCCTCTCGCCTGTTGCTGTTGTAGGCGGTGCTCGCCTCGGTGAGCAACACCACGGACGTCCCTCCCTCGATCTTGCTAACGTCGACCTCGAATAGGGACTTCGATGACGCAACTGCTCCACTTTCTGCTCCTGGTCTTACTGCACCTTGTGGATGTCTCGCTTGCTATCTCGCCACTTGTAAAATACAACAAAGGCCATCGCTGCTAGCATCGCGAGGGCGACGAGCAGCGAAATGTGAATCGGAGGACCAAACATCTCGTCGTCAGTGCTGCTCGAGCTGGCCGGTTCGGTGCAGTGAGGTCCTGTCCAGGAGTCTGTGGAGCACTCGCAGCGACCGTCCGAGTTGCATGTGCCTGTCGACACCGCCGTGGAGCTGTCGATGGTGCAGTCGTCGTCCGAGCTGCAGAACGCCAAGCCCGACACGGCGATGTGCGGATTGTCCGTATCGGTGTAGTCGTCGATGTTGTCCTCGATCCACTGCTTGGTCGGGTGAGACGAAGGATCGCAGCCGATGGTCATGTCGGTGTTGTCGGATGTGTCTTGGTACAGTCGAATGTAGTCGATCTTCAGATACATGGGGAACGAGTCGCAGATTGCGTTGTCTTCCGAGCTGGAGCCGTCACCACGGCAGCTTCCTTCTCCTGCGTGAGGGGGTGAAGATCCCCAGGAGCTGGAGAGAGCCACGTTGAAGATGATGTACATCGGCTCCTCGATCATGATCTTCTTGGGGTTCATCTGCGCCGTGTCCTGTGGCGGGTTGATGATCGACTCGGCTGGGATCTCAAAGATCACTTGGCCCTCCACCTCCCAGCGCACATACCCGGAGTCGCCCATGACCCACTCGACGCTGTACGTGACCCAGTCCAAGTACGCGGCCATGTGAATCTCCCAATCCGTCGAAATGGCGTCCATCTGATAGGCGAACTCGGAGCTGGAGCTGGTGGATCCGCTAGACGCTGTACACTCCGAGTTGGTGTTGCCAGGACTGCACAGGTACGCGCCCATGTACGCATTCTGCTTGGGGAAGCACGTGCCATTGGCATTGATGCCCCAGTGCACCGTGCCGTTGTCTTTGTAGCCCATGTCGCCATTCACATCGTACGATGCAGGGCACAGTTCCATCGTACAAGCGTTCGCTGTAATTCCCTCGGCAAGTGAGGCGTTGATAGTGGCGAAGCTCTGGATGCCATCCTCTTCAACGTCGCAGACGTTGTTAGCGCCGTAGCGGAGTTCCTGGTACCATGATTTGTGTCCACGCAAGTTCCAGTAATACTTGGTCGGGACGTCCTGGTTGTTGGCGCCCTCGGTAGTGCAGTCGTATGTGTAAAGGCAATAAGAAGACGCAGTATCTTCGATCACTCTGAAATCCGCCGGCATGCCCGGCCCAACCTGAATCGAGGACGAGATAGCAGTGCCTCCACCTTCGAGGATATCGATCTCCGGGGCCCCGCGGCCTTGATTCGGGTTCATCCCCGAGCCAGGATTGTCGTCACACGCGCTGATACGCTGGTTCTGCGAGTCAAAGATCGTGTCATTGCACTCGTTGTAGGAAAACGGCCACATGCGAGCTGTGGAGCCCGTGAACAGAGCTCTTCCGAGGTTCCCCATCATCCAGATGCCGGGCCACGTTGGGTAGTAGTCAATGTTGGCGGCTCGCACTGACGTCGACCCGGTCTTGACGTCTGGATTGCCTGAAGCGCTGGAGACTGCGCCCGGGAGTCGAGCGCGCACCTCGATCATGCCGCCCTGGAAACAGAACTTGTTCCAGCTTTGAACCATGCCCGAACGGTACGGTCTCGTATCCAGGCGGCGAGATGTAGTTGTTCCACACAGTCTCCTCGATGGTCTCGTCCGTCGTGTTGATGTAGAATTAGCAGTTCCCATCGGTATCACACTCAGTGCCCGTCATGTTCTTGGAGTAGACTTCCAATGCCGCGTTGACGCCGTCAGGCAGCCCCAGAGCCGTCCAGAGGTGGTCATCGCCAGCGTCAAAGCTGCGGCCTTCCGAGTTGAACTCGTCGCTCATAGTCAACGTCCAGGTCTCCCCTCTCGACGATGTGTATGTCTGCGCGCTGGACGGGGTGCCCACGTCCACCCATGGCAAGACGCCCGACTTGGTCGAGTAGGATGCAGTTGATGTAACAGTTGAAGTGGTGGCCAATACGAAGGCCAGCGATGCTGCCAGACTCCACGAGCTGAGGTTCTGGCCGAACATGCTGATGCTGGCTTCGATCCGATGGTGTGCTGCGGTCCGATCGGCGAAAATGAAAGTGAGTGACGAGCGCTTCAGCGAGCCAAAGCGCCTTTGGGTCGGCGTCCATCAAGCGCTGAGAGAGCACCCATTAGCCGTCCGTGACAAGTCTGCCGAGCGTCTGGGGTGACGAATTTCGGCTAAAATACACCGTCCTGGAGAGCAAAAGATGCTGCATCTGGTGATTCTTGTGTGGCCCTCACTGTTTGCCTCTAGAAAGCCCCTATCATCATCGAATATCCAGTACATGTATCGCTGTCCGTGCGCTCACGCTTTGTATCTGTGCAACACGGGATGCCTTGACGTAAGAAATCTCGAGTGGGGATTCCCCACCAGGCGTTTAACCCCAGTCGCCTCTCTTGCTAGGACAAACGGGAGGACAAACGGGAGGACAAAATCGGTTTTACTTGATTTCAGTATAGTGTACCACAAATTTTGTCCTAGACGGACCGCTAGGACAAAAATTATGGTACACTATACTTTACTTCCGTGAATTTCGGATTTGTCCTAGCATTTTTTCGGTTTGTCCTAGCAAAGTGCCCGACTGGGGTTAACTCGCGGCAGCTTTCAGCGAGATGGTCAGTGTTGGTCCCTGCAGCGCCGGAAGGCAAGTATCCGATAACAACCATTGGTGGTAGGTACATGTAACTCGTGCTGCACAAGTTGTGCGACTGCGTTTTCAAGCATGTTGAACTGAGCTTGAGCAGCAATTGGTGGTCGACTACAAACTGGCGAAAAGCAAATCGCCAGCGCTCCCAGCAGCGTCGTGGACCCTCAAAATCAATCCACCGTTCCGGAACGGCCAGCAATGCCATCGCAGCCACATCGTCGCAATGTGCCACCTGAAGTCAGGTGCAGTGTATGCCGGACAGTTCTGCGAGCGCCACATTGCGGTGAGCGACTTGGCCCAAGTCGCCATCGGAGCCGGGCGGAGTGCGTTGCCCCCGCTATGCATGGTGCTTGGTGCTCGGCGTATCCGCAGTGTCGACTAGCGAGTGGGCAGACCGGGCTAAGTGCGCTCTAAGTGCGCCGATCTCAGGTAAAACGGTCAAAACGCGGCCCAGCTGGGATGGGGACGGAATGGCACGGGATACGGCCGGATCGACTCGTGCTCGCCGCGCGCAATGGAGACTTGCCTCGTTAGAGGACGGACAGCGCATGCGCGCGGTAGTGTAGCCCCGCGGCCCTGCCATGCGTGGTGACAGGAACGCCAGTTCTCCTTCCTTCGGACAGCGGGCCCCACTCACTTCCTCTTCTATCTCAAGTCGGAACGAACACCGCCATGGCCATGGTACATCGAGTGCTGGCCATCACGACCGCCGTGCTGGCCGCGGTGCAGGCGACGTCCGAGTACTCGACCAAGTCGGGCATCTTGCCGTGGGTGGACCCGGCCACGCCCAGCGACCGGCAGACGTACACGTCGTCGCGCGGCGGCTCGTGGGACCTGGTCATGAGCGACGAGTTCAACACGGAAGGCCGCAGCTTCGAGCCGGGCGACGACCACCTCTGGACGTCCATGGAGAAGGCCGACGGCGTCAACTCGGCGCTGGAGATCTACCAGCACAACATGACGGGCACCGAGTGCGACGACGACGACACCTGCTACTTCTACATCGAGGCCGACACGGGCGAGACGACGCTCAAGCTCTGGAACGACTACCTGTCCCCCGCCGGATACGAGGACGTGACGTTCTACTACAAGGGCGGCATGGTGCAGAGCTGGAACAAGTTCTGCATCCAGGGAGGCATGATCGAGGTGCGCGCGCAGCTTCCAGGGGCCGTCACCAACGCGTCGGGCAACCCGGACGTCGCCACTGGCTCAGCCAGCGTACGAGCCGCCACCATCGATTACTACCCGACGTGGCCCGGAATCTGGATGATGGGGAACCTCGGTAGAGCCATCTTCTCCGCGTCCACGGCGCGCATGTGGCCGTTCTCCTACAACGAGTGCAACGAGACCGTGTTTTCCTCGCAGAACCAGCGGATCAGCGCCTGCGACGACGACCCCGGCTCGGGGATGAACCCAAACCAAGGCCGTGGAGCGCCCGAGATCGATATCCTAGAAGGCGGCGGCACCGCCATCTCATCGTCGGTTCAAGTGGGCCCAGGCATGCCGGAGCAGTTTCGACTAATCGCCGACAACACGTCGTACTCGTGTATCTACACCTACGACTGCACCACTGAAGGAGCCAACAACCCGGACGTGCCCACGGCTTACTACGAGAAGCTTCGCGGATACAAGACGTGGTACCAGGGACTCCGCTACGGCGCCAACAACTTCTGCGACTCGGACTCGACGCTCGTTCAGACGTACAAGACGATCGCTGCGTCGCTGGAGAAGGGGATCACTGAGAACGCTTGTACAATGGGCTTGTGTCCGGCTTCATACGACGTCAACGGCGACTTGAGCAGCATCGACAACGGAACCGACCACTGGGGGATCAACACCAACGGCACGTGCTTCCCCAAGCAGAACGCATACACTGGAGCGTTCCTGTGTAGCGCGGGCAACAACGATACGAGCTGCACTGCTTCGAGTGGCTCCACCGACGCCATGTCCGAGTTCGCGTACCAAATGGATGCCATTTCCTCCAACTAGGAAATTCAGGTCGGAGCGTACACCGACTGGCTCACGTACCAGCTCGAGTGGGTCATGGGGGACGAAGGCTACATCCGCTGGATGCTCGCGGGCGAGCCGATCTTCGAGATCACTGCCGACGTACTGACGAACCCGCCGCAAGACGCGGCACAGATGAACCCCAAGAAAATCATGCTGGAGGAGCCCATGTACATTATCTTCAACGTTGCGCTGTCCAGTACTTGGGGTACAACTCCACCTAACGCTGGCAACGGAGACTGCTATGGCGACGGCAGTGACGCGACCACGAACGCCATTTGTGACGCGTTCCCGATGTACCTGAAGATCGACTACATCCGAGTGTACCAGGACAAGTCGGACGACTCGACCATGGCGGTGGGGTGCGATCCTTCGTCTCACCCGACGAAGCAGTGGATCGAGGACAACATCGACTCGTACGTGGACGACGACAACCCGTGGACTGAGGTGTCGGGCAAGGCGTTCTGTGAGTCCAATGAGGATTGCACGATCGAGACGAATTCGTCCATGGCTGTCACGACTGGAACCTGCGTAAGTGGCCGCTGCAAGTGCTCGGCCACGACCTGGACGGGCCCACGCTGCACCGTTGCGTCCACCGCGTCCACCGACAGCAGCAGCAACGGCCTTTTCTCCAGCAACTCGTACGGGCCGCCGATGTACGTGTCCGGCGTCTTCATGGCCATCACCGTGCTCACCACCTTCGTGTCCGTCTACATCTCCATCCTGGCCGCACGCAAGACGGACGAAACTCTGCAGAAAGAGATCATGGCCAAGCGAGGAGGCGCTGCGATGTCCCCAGCCTCGCTGGGCGACTCGGTGGCCAAGCCCCCCAAAGACAACTACAGCACCAATTTTGTATAGCTGGTAAATCTGTGAATCAAATACATGTTAATAGTGTCCTCGCCTTCTTGTGTGTAGCTGAGGCCTGGAGGCTGCAACGAAAAGTGAGTCGTTGGTGGCAAGAGCTGAAGACCGACCAAGTCCAGGTTGCTTGCTACATGTACCTAGTAAGTTAGGGCGTTCTCGGACGCTCATGTAGACTCGGAACCGATCTCGCCTTAGTGCGGTCTCTGCAATATCCCAGGAGAGTCGCGATACGAGAGGATCCTCAGTACCGGTAGTTCCGCAGTCTTGCCAGTACATGCAGACAACAGGAACTTCTGGCCAAGCGCTCGATCACGAGAGCTGCAATGTCGGCATCAGCGTGCCATTACGGGCCGGCTCGGCTTGGCGAGGTCTTTGCACAAGGACCTTTGGTCCCACCACTACACGCCTCGGTGGTGACCACCCTTCTCCTTCTTCAGCTCCAGCATGAATGAACACCTTGGGCGCAGCTATCGCCTTATGCCTACGACACTTGCGTTGCTGTTGACGCCGTCTCGCCTTCTGCCGCGACGTATCCGCGAAATTTCGCTCGTCCATTAAGCTATTCAGAGGTCGCCACTGGATACGTCGAGAAGCGCGGGTGTGACAGGCCACTCCGGGGCCATCTTTGCGGCGCCACGGTATCTGAGCGGGGGCACGCTTGCTCGTCAGCCGCCCAGGCCCGGGGCTGAACTCGGCGCATTTCGGCTTTTCCGTCCTCTCAAAGCGTGCAGCATCAGCGCAGGGATCTCAATATTAGCTAGACAGACACAGCATGATACGCGTGGGCCGGAGTGTCGTGGCCGGCGTGGCATTGGCGCTGGCCACCGCCACGACGCGCGCGAGCAGCAGGAGCAGCAGCACCTCATACTCGACCAAGTCGGGTATTCTACCGTGGGTAGACCCGGACACGCCCAGCAACCGACAGACGTACACCACGTCGCGCGGAGACACATGGACGCTCACCATGAGCGACGAGTTCAACACTGCAGGCCGCAGCTTCGACGCGGGTGACGACCACCTCTGGACGGCCCTAGAGAAGGCTGATGGTGTCAATTCAGCTCTGGAGGTTTACTCCAAGAACATGACAGGCACAGAGTGTGACAACGACGGCCGCTGCTACTTCTACATCAACACGACGGACGAAGTCATCGAGGAGACGGTCTGGAACAACTACATCTCGCCCCCAGGGTACGAGACGTGTACTTCTACTACCGGTAGACAGGCTCGACTACAGTGCGAGCCGCCAACATCGACTACTACCCGACGTGGCCCGGAATCTGGCTCATGGGGAACCTTGGTAGGGCCATCTTCTCAGCGTCCACCAGCAGGATCTGGTCATTCACGTACGACGAGTGCAACGAGACCATCTTCTCGTCCCAGAACCAGCGCATCAGCGCGTGTGACGACGATCCCGGCTCGGGTTTGAACGCGAATCAGGGGCGCGGAGCTCCCGAGACCGATATCCTTGAGGGTGGTGGTACTGCCATCTCGTCGTCCATTCAGGTCGGCCCTGGCATGCCCGAAGACTTCCGCATGTTCACGGACAACTCGCCCGAGTACTGCTTCTACAACTACGACTGCACCACCGAAGGCGCCAACAACCAGGACGTCCCCACCAAGTACTACTGGAATATCCGTGGCCATAAATCCTGGTACCAGGGGCTTCGATACGGCGCCAACAACATTTGCGACGTCGAGGAAGACGATATCCAAAGCTTTGCCACTATCAACGCGTCGTTGACCAAGGGGATCACGGAAAACGCGTGCACTATGGAGCTCTGTCCGGCCTCGTACGACGTCAACGCGGACTTGGGCTACAAGGACAACGGCACCGTCCACTGGGGCGTGAACACCAACGGCACGTGCTTCCCCAAGCAGAACGCCTACATGGGCGCGTACTTGTGTAACGCCGGCAACACCAACTCGGAGTGCACTGCTTCAAGCGGATCCACGAGCGCGGGGTCAGAGTTCGCGTACCAAATGGACGCCATCTCCACGGACTGGGAAGTGCACATGGCTGCGTACTTGGACTGGGTCACATACACTGTCGAGTGGGTCATGGGCGACTACGGCTACATCCGCTGGGAGGTGGAGAACCAAGTGATCTTCGAGATCCCAGCCGAGTCGATCATCAACCCGCCACAGGACACGGCACAGATGAACCCCAAAAAGATCATGATCGAGGAACCAATGTACATCATGTTCAACGTGGCTCTCTCCAGCTCCTGGGGATCTTCACCCCCTCACGCAGGAGAAGGAAGCTGCCGTGGTGACGGCTCCAGCTCGGAAGACAACGCAATCTGCGACTCGTTCCCCATGTATCTGAAGATCGACTACATTCGACTGTACCAAGACACATCCGACAACACCGACATGACCATCGGCTGCGATCCCTCCTCTCACCCGACCAAGCAGTGGATCGAGGACAACATCGACGACTACAGAGACACCGACAACCCGGACACAGCCGTGTCGGGCATGGCGTTCTGCAACTCGGACGATGACTGCACTATCGGTGTCTCGTCGGTGATCACCGGTAGCTGCAACTCGGACGGTCGGTGCGAGTGCTCCTCGGACTCTTGGACGGGCCCGCGATGCACGGAGGCCGCGAGCGAGAGTGGCAGCGGCAGCGACGATAACCTGTACGGACCCCCGATGTACGTGTCAATGCTGATCGGAATTGCTGCCATCGTGGTGACGCTCTGCGTGATCGCGTACCAAGTGACTCAGCGCAAGAAGAACCTCGCTCGCCTGCGCGAACACGCCATCAAGATGCAGCACGAAAAGGACTTGGGCGCGGCACCTTCTCATCGATGGGTGAGGCTATCGTTGTAGCGAAAACTGGCAAGGACAGATCGAGCTTTGTGTGAGTACCTAAGTATTAGATAAATGCCGTAAAGCAAGAGAAGCAGCAGCACTTACGTCAATTGTTGAGACTCCTCAGGCTGTGATCAATCCTTCGCTGTTGCATGTGGCAGACGGAGACAAATCCCAAATGCTGCACCTCGAGTTTGTTGGGAATTGCAAGTGAGCGCGTTTGCAGCTGAGGCGCTGCGCGTCTCATGATGGTTGGCTCCTACGAATCCAGCGGGGCTTGCAGTGGACACGCACGAACAGCGCCGCTTCTCATCAAGAGGCAGCGGCGTATGAACGCCGGCAGGTAAAGCTTGGCGCGACTAGCAAGGCGAGTAAACGTTTTCGCGTGGGTCGCGAATGATTATTCCCCCATACAAAAATCCACACCAAGAGCGGCACGGCACGGATGCTCGGATTTGCACCACGCATTGCTTTGCTCGGAATGCCATGAGCACAGCCAATTCCCGGGTGTCACACCTTCTAGGCGATCCTTAGCTTTCATGCCTCGGGCCTTTCCTGCACCAAAAATGCTTCAGCTGCCGCACATTCGGATGGATTGTCGCCGCGAGCGTGGAGGGAACTCCTCGACCTTAGCTGTCCAACACACCGTGGTGTGTTGCACGAGGGAGGCGCTTTACCCATTTCATCTCTCACTTCGATATTAGCGACCGCAGAGCCTCGACAATGCCCACACGGAAGCTAACCAAGTGGGCGCTCGCGGCGGCCGCAGTGCTTACCACGTCTCATGCTGCAACACCAACGTCGTACACGACCAAGTCGGGCGTCTTGCCTTGGGTGGACGTGGACACCCCGTCCAGCGCGCAGACGTACACCACGTCGAGGGGCGATACCTGGACGTTCACTATGAGCGACGAGTTCAACGTGGCAAACCGCAGCTTCGATGCCGGCGACGACCACCTGTGGACGGCGATGGAGCTGGCCGACGGTGTCAACTCGGCACTTGAAGTGTACTCGAAGAACATGCCGGGTACTGAGTGCGATACCGACGGCAACTGCTACTTCTACATCAACACGACGGACGAGACTATCGAGGAGACGGTCTGGAACAGCTACATGTCACCACCAGGCTACGAGACTGTGTACTTCTACTACCGATCGGGGATGGTTCAAAGCTGGAACAAGTTCTGCTTCCAAGGCGGCATGATCGAGGTCCGAGTTCAGCTTCCAGGGGCTGTCACGAACGAGTCGGGCAATCCGGACGTCGAGACAGGCTCGACTACAGTGCGAGCCGCCAACATCGACTACTACCCGACGTGGCCCGGAATCTGGCTCATGGGCAACCTCGGACGAGCTTTGTTCTCCGCGTCTACGAGCCGCATGTGGCCGTACACGTACAACGAGTGCAACGAGACCATCTTCTCCCCTCAGAATCAGCGCATCAGTGCGTGTGACGACAATCCCGGCTCGGGTATGAACGCGAACCAGGGGCGCGGAGCTCCTGAGATCGACATCCTCGAAGGTGGAGGCACTGCCATCTCGTCGTCCATTCAAGTCGGACCAGGTATGCCGGACGACTTCCGCATGCTCGAGGATAACACGACAGCGTCTTCCTGCTGTTTCTACAACTACGACTGCACCACCGAAGGCGCCAACAACCAGGACGTCCCCACCAAATACTACTGGAACTTGCGTGGACACAAGTCCTGGTACCAGGGTCTCCGCTACGGCGCTAACAACATCTGCGACGTTGAAGAGGATGGCATCCAGAGCTTCGCCACTATCAACGCCTCACTTGCCAAGGGAATTACAGCGAACGCTTGTACGATGGAACTGTGCCCTGCATCGTACGATGTGAATGCTACAAAGACAACGGCACGGTGCACTGGGGCATCAATGCCAATGGCACGTGCTTCCCCAAGCAGAATGCGTACATGGGCGCGTACCTGTGCAGTCCTGGCAACACCAACTCGGAGTGTACAGCGTCTAGCGGATCCACCAGCTCCAGCTCCGAGTTCGCCTATCAGATGAACGCCATTTCGACGGATTGGGAGATTCACATGGCCGCGTACTTGGACTGGGTCACGTACAGCGTCGAGTGGGTCATGGGCGACTCCGGGTATGTGCGCTGGGAGGTGGAGGGCCAAGTGATCTTTGAGATCCCGGCTGAAGCTCTGACGAACCCGCCGCAAGACACGGCGCAGATGAACCCCAAGAAGATCATGATCGAGGAGCCGATGTACATCATGTTCAACGTGGCTCTCTCCAGCTCCTGGGGATCTTCACCCCCTCACGCAGGAGAAGGAAGCTGCCGTGGTGACGGCTCCAGCTCGGAAGACAACGCAATCTGCGACTCGTTCCCCATGTATCTGAAGATCGACTACATTCGACTGTACCAAGACACATCCGACAACACCGACATGACCATCGGCTGCGATCCCTCCTCTCACCCGACCAAGCAGTGGATCGAGGACAACATCGACGACTACAGAGACACCGACAACCCGGACACAGCCGTGTCGGGCATGGCGTTCTGCAACTCGGACGATGACTGCACTATCGGTGTCTCGTCGGTGATCACCGGTAGCTGCAACTCGGACGGTCGGTGCGAGTGCTCTTCAGACTCCTGGACGGGCCCTCGCTGCACGGAGGTGGTGAGCACCAGCGACGACGACACGCTGTTCGGTCCACCATTGCTCGTGTCGACCATTGTAGCTGCAGCCATCATCGCCATCGCCGTCTGCAGAATTATTTACAAGCGCTTGGAGGCCAAGCGCACCAGCGCCAGAATTCAGGCCCAAGAGCAGGCGGCAGAGCGCGTCAAGGAGCTGAACAAGACCGCGTCCACGATGGCGGAGGCCAGCGCCAGCAAGGGGGAGAAATCCGCGGCTGTACTGTTCAACGGCGGCGCCAGCGGCAGCAAACTCGACAGGAAGGAGGACTACACCACCAACTTCGTATAGTAGATAGGAGACAGGCCGTAATAAAACACAAAAGTGAGCTGATGGCACGAATGAATTTATTAAACCGTTAAACAAAGTTCTGGCTGTAGTTGTCTCGTGGCCGGTGGTGTATCTCCTGGCCGTGACCATGAACGTTGCCGCTGCCGTAGGAATCAGTGCCGGTGACATATCGAGTCTGTACATCTGGATTGTTCTGGTACGTCCCCATGTCCATAGCCTTCTTCCTTTGTTTTGCCAAAGCCGCGGCCGCATTGTTCTCCCTCACGATGGACCACGCGACTGAAGCGAAACTGAGAAAGACCATGATCGCAGCAACACCGATGGACAGACCCATGGGAGGGCCGTATGAACCGCTAGAGAGCGATGTCCCAAGAGTAGAGCTGGAAGTAGAACCAGAGATTGCCGTAGTACAGCGCGGCCCGCCCCACGAAGACGAGTACGTGCACTGGCAGCGGTTTCTGACACACTTGCCGGTCTTCAGCAGCGTTTTACCCAAATTGCCACCGATAGTGCAGTCGTGGTTCGTCTTACAAAAGGCCTTACCAGCCACGTCCTTGTGTTTATTGTCGTCATCCTCGTACTCGTCCATGTGAGCGTCGATCCACTTCTTGGTCGGGTGGCTCTTTGGATCGCAGCCGACTTGCATGTAGTTGTCGTCATCGAGGTCATCGCCATGATCCTGGTACAGACGGATGTAGTCGATCTTCAGGTACAGCGGGAACGCGTCGCAGATCTTGTTGGTCGTGGCGTCTTTGCCGTCACCGCGGCATTCCTTACCAGCATTGGGAGGTGTGGCACCCCACGAACTCGACAGAGCGACGTTGAAGATGAGGTACATGGGCTCCTCCAGCATGATCTTCTCCGGGTTCGTTTTGTTCTTGTTCTGAGGGATATCCCAAATGGACTCGGACGGCACCTCGAACAGCGGACTGCCCTCGAGCATCCACCGCACGTATCCTTTCTTGCCGGTCACCCACTCGAGCTGGTACGTGACGTAGTTGGTGTACGCGCCGAGGTGCACGGGCCAATTGGCCGAGATGGCGTCCATTTGGTAGTTGAACTGACTCATGGCGTTCGACTTGGGCGTCGTGGTCTCATTACGCGGCTGCGCGCACTTCCAAAATGTGTTGTCCGGGTCACACAGGTAGGCACCAGTGTAGACGTTCCACAGGGGGAAGCATGTGCCGTTGGAGTTGATCCCCCAGTGATCTTCTCCTTTGCCATCGATGAGACTCAGATCGCCGTACGCATCGTGCGAAGCGGGGCAGATATCCAACGAGCACGAGTTCTCGGTGATGCCAGCCTTCACGGATGCAGCGACCTTGCTGTACGTCTGCTTCGCCTTAGGGTCCTGTTTGCACAAGTTGTTGGCCGAGTAGCGCAAGCCATGATACCAAGACTTGTATCCACGCTGTGCATACACCTTCGATGGGACGCCAACGTAGTTGGCACCCGGTGTCGAGCAGGTTCCGCCGTAGATACAGTCAGGCGGATCTCTCGAATAGTCCAGGCCCATAATGCGGTAGTCGTCAGGCATTCCCGGGCCAATCTGCAGCGACGAAGACACAAGCGTCGCGCCACCTTCCAACACGTCGATTTCGGGGGCGCCGCGGCCTTGGTTCGGGTTCAAGCCGTAGCCCGGGTTGTCGTTGCACGCGCTGATACGCTGGTAGGTCGGGTCGAACAGGTCAGGCTCACACTTGTCGTAGGAGAACGGCCACATGCGGTTCGTCGACGCGGAGAAGATAGCGCGACCAAGGTTCCCCATCATCCAGATTCCGGGCCAAGTCGGGTAGTACTTCGTAGCGGAGACCTTGTTGTTCTTGCCATTGGCGAGGTCAGGGTTGCCCGAATCGGGCGTGACAACACCGGGGAGCTGCACGCGCGTTTCAATCATGCCTCCCTGGTAGCAGAACTTGTTCCACGACTGCACCATGGCCGCACGGTAGAAGAAGTAGGCGTCCACGTAGCCCGGAGGGTGCGTGTACATGTTGTAGACGTGGATCACGTTGAGCTCGTCGATGGCCTTGATGAAGAAGTAGCACGTGCCATCGTCGTCGCACTTGGTCGAGGTCATGTTGTGCGAGTAGAGCTCCAGAGCGCCGTTGACACCATCGGGCTTCTCCAATGAAGTCCAGATGTGGTCGTCACCGGGTCGAAAGCTTCGGTTGGGCATGTTGAACTCGTCGCTCATAACGAGATCCCATTGTCGACCGCGCGAACTGATGTACGTCTGACGGTCTTCAGGCGTCGCAGGGTCGACCCAAACCTTGATGCCCGACTTGGTCGGGAACGTCGTCCCCGCCGTCGTGTCGTTCTTGGCAGTGACGAACGCGGTACTCACCGCCCACGTTAGAGCGAAGGCCCAAGCAGCGAATCCTTGGAGCCTCATGACGCAGGCGCAATTGGTTGGAGAATGAGCTTGCAGCAGGCACTGGAGCCCAAGCGGATGGCCACGGCGGGCATGATCGCGTTAGTGCTCTGCACGATGGACATCCGTTTCCTAGCGGGAAGCGCCCGATCACCAGAGTAATCAACCGCTGTTCTGAGAGCCAACCGACTTGAAGGATATTTCGATTGCCATCATTTCGAGTCACCATGGCACCACGGCAGCAGTGGTTCTCCTCGCTGTGCTCGGTTACGCAACGAGAGTCTACCGAGTCTATCCGAGCACAGCTTCGTTTCGTTTCCTGCGGGAGTGGCCCTAAGCTTCAGATCTCTCCGAATAGTTGGTCACGACAAAGGAGAGCTGAGGCGCCGGGACCTGGCCTAGAATCGGTCAAATCCAGATAATGAAGAAGGACTTGATTATCTTACGAGCGGACTCGAATCTGCTGTATACTGCATAATCCTTGAGACCGGGACAGTCAGTCAGTCGTCATGTGTTGAAGCCTGCTGCTCGCGGTGTCTCCCCGACACTGGTGACGGGCCACAGGTGGCAATTTCAAGTTTGAGAGTGCTTACGTACACAGTCTTTTTTGATGGGGGTCGAGGGGGGGTGAATGTGATATAGAAGAGGACCAACGGAGGCTCGCGGTTGCGAGGAGCGTAGCCGCAGCAAACCCGCGCGGGGTGCCCGCGTAGCAGGGCCGCGCGGTATTTGCGGAGGCGGGCCCAGCGACGAGCATTCCAGCGAGCTGAGCACTGTTCTCGCCAGGTGAGAGAATCTTTTTATCGCAGGAGAGCAGCGACTGCCTTTGCGGAGCGCAGCGGAGCAAAGCCATTTCCCGCGGATGACATACGTCCTGCGGGAAGGTCGTCACATTGTGGGGTGTTGGCTGCCTATACAAACTCCAAGATATCACCGAAATTAGACTGTGTACGTAAGTCCTGCCCTTCAAGTTTCCTTTGACGCAGCACAATTGAACGAAGCAAATCGCGATACACTCCCGATTGCGCGCTGGATGTTTACCGTTAGCGTCAACCGGGTTCGAACGTTCCGACTTCGCCCCGAGCATCTCCTTCGGATCTACTAGCCAGCAGTGCTGGCAGCTCGGTACGTGTAGTCTGCTGGCTCTCGGGCTGCAAGACGACGCCAATGGAACTGGAGTGACTTTCCAACTTCTCGCTCCCATTCGCGATTCGTGTCTGTCCAAGGGGAACGCCGCCTTCACGGCCCCACGGAACCGGATCTAGTGCCAAAGCGACGATCGACGCCTCGCAGGGATGAACTGGTTGGTTCCCAGGAGCTCGCGCTGTCTCCAGATGTCCTCTTTCAGAAATCCGAGCCGACGAAGGTCTATCAACACGCGTTGGCGACTGAAACTGCGAGGCGTGTGGTGCGCTTTCGAGCTTTGAAGAAGCATGGGCATGGTTGTGGCTCAGGCTTTAGTGTTCTTCAGTCACAACTCGCTTCAACTTCTCTGACCACAACAGGCATACTCCACCAAGATGGCGGTTATCTTCTGTTCGTAAGTTCTCCGACAGCCACTCAGCCCTATACTTTGTAGTCAGCACGACTTGCACCGAGAGGCATCTCCTTGTAGCCATGACCCGGGGCTGTCGCCGTACGCAGCGAATTTGCGTGCAGCACCGCTGAAGTGCTACCCACCGACTGGCAAAATACTCCTCCACGTTGTCTCCCATTTGTAAATTAGCCTCCAACGCCGCACACCAAGCGCGTACAGAATATCACCACGATGCGAGCTCTAGCGCTGTTCGTAGTGGCATTTAGCCCCATGATTGCAGCTGCGAGTGAGAAGGAGTACCCTACCAAGTCCGGCATCAAACCCTGGGTGGACCCCGCGACGCCAGCCAACGCGCAGCAAGTCACGACGTCGCGAGGCGAGACCTGGGAGCTGGTCATGAGCGACGAGTTCAACGCTGCAAACCGCAGCTTCCGGCCGGGAGAGGACCATCTTTGGACGTCGATTGAGAAGCCCGACGGCGTGAATGGAGCTCTGGAAGTCTACTCGCACAATATGACCTCCACCAAGTGCGACGACGACGGCACGTGCTACTTCTACATCGAGGCCGTGGACGAAGTTTCCAAACTCACCGTCTACAATGCGTATCTGACTCCGCCGCGGTATCAAAACGTGACGTTCTACTACAGAGCAGGCATGGTGCAGTCCTGGAACAAATTCTGCTACCAGGGCGGGCTCATTGAAGTAAGGGCCCGACTACCAGGCGCGGTCTCGAAACAATCTGGGAACCCCGACATCTCGCTCGGTAAGTCGGGCCGCGTTGCCAGCGCCAGCTACTACCCGACGTGGCCCGGAATCTGGATGATGGGGAACCTTGGTAGAGCGATCTTCTCGGCGTCCACGAGTCGCATGTGGCCATTCTCCTACAACAAGTGCGAGCCCGAGATCTTCGACCCCAGTAACCAGCGCATCAGCGCGTGCGATGACGATCCAGGCTACGGTCTCAACAAGAACCAGGGCCGCGGAGCTCCGGAGATCGATATTCTCGAAGGAGGTGGCGTGGCCATCTCGTCGTCGCTGCAGATTGCGCCTGGGATGCCGAGCGACTTCAGACTCTTCCCCGCGGACGCCAACGGAGCTGATGTCACCAACCCGTACTGCGTGTACAAGTACGAGTGCAAGACGCCCGGCGCCAACTTAATCGACGTCCCCACTGCATACTACGAGAAGAAGCGCGGCCATAAATCTTGGTACCAGGGGCTACGCTACGCAGCGAATAACTTTTGCGAACCTTCAGACGATGAAATCCAAGACGTTGACACTATCAAAGCGTCGCTCGAAGCTGGAATCACGGAGAACACGTGCAGTGTCGACACGTGTCCCGCCTCCAGCGATGCTAACAGTGACCTAGGGCTGATCGACGGCGTCGGGCCGGACTATTGGGGCATCAACAGCAATGGAACATGCTTCCCGATTATGAATTCGTACATGGGGGCCTACCTGTGCGACCCGGACAACACGGATGAGCTGTGCCCCGAGCCTCGCAACTCCACGAACCCGAAAACCAACATCATGGACCCGTTCGGCTACCAAATGGACGCCATCTCAGCGAATTGGCCCGTGCACCTCGGCGCTTACACGGATTACTTCGTCTACCAAGTCGAATGGATTACAGGCACGAACGGCTACGTGCGCTGGATGGGCGCGGGCCAGCCCCTGTTCGAGGTCACGGCCGAGGCGTTCTCCGTCGTCCCTCAAAACGCCAACAAGACTAATCCGCAGAAACTCATGCTGGAGGAGCCCATGTCTATCGTGATGAACGTCGCTCTCTCCAAGTCCTGGGGAGCGACGCCTCCCAATCCTGGTAGCGAGTGCCGCGGAGACGGAGCCAACGAGACCGTTAACAAAATCTGTGACGACTTCCCAATGTACCTGAAGATCGACTACATTCGACTGTACCAAGACCCGAAGGGGAATCGCGGCGACGACGACTACATGCAACTAGGCTGCGATCCTAAGAGCCACCCGACCAGAGAGTGGATTGAAGGGCATTTAGACGAGTACGAGGACAGCGACAATCCCTGGACAGAGGCTACGGGTAAAGCCTTCTGCGAGAGTGACGGCGACTGTACTATCAGCAACAACGGGACGCAGAAGCTCGTCACGGGCAAGTGTGTCAAGTCCCGCTGCATTTGCTCCCACCCAGACTCCTGGGGCGGCCCTCGCTGCACTCTCGCATTGGCTGAAGACAGCAGTAGCTCCAGTATCTCCGTCACTCAGCGCACGTACGGCCCTCCCATGGCGATCTCACTCAGTGTGGCGATTGTCACTCTTCTGTCTACTGTCATCGCTGTCTGGATGTCCGTGAGGACGTTGAAGAAGCAGGCCGAGGAAGCGATTCTGGCGGCGGAGAGGAAGAAGCTGGAGCAAGTGAGACCGTCCTTCCCAACAACGCGCGTGAATCTGTCGATTGATGAATACGATACACCACAGCCAAAGGACAACTACAGCCAGAATTTTCTCTAAGCTACTTTCACGTATTTTATTTACGAATCCTCATATTTTACCTCAGAAACTTATCCCCTCGACCTCGACTTCGCCATCTGAGTAGCTTTTTTATAGTTATTCACAGCTCGGTTGTACTCAATTCAGCCAGCATTTATCGAGTTGCCACCTTGTCGTAGCTTCAATCTCAGGACGATCATACAGATGCGGCAGCTACGGCTTGCTGTATGCGCTCTAGCTGTAACTACCCCCTCTTCAACTTTGGCTGCCGAAGAAAATGCATCAGTTGTGGACACCACTTTCCCGACCAGATCCGGTATCAAGATTTGGGTCGACCCCGACACCCCCGAGGATCGTCAAGCCTACGTTAGCTCGCGCGGAAGGCACTGGGACCTCGTCATGAGCGACGAGTTCAACACTCCGAATCGCAGCTTTCGCCCGGGCGACGACCACATCTGGACGTCGATCGAGAAACCCGACGGTGTAAACGGCGCGCTTGAGCTCTACTCGCACAACATGACTTCGACCAAGTGCGACGACGACGGCACGTGCTATTTCTTCATTAAATCCGTGGACGAAGTAAACAAAATCCGCGTCTACAACATGTACACGCACCCCCCGGGCTACGAAAGCGCCTACTTCTTCTACCGCTCAGCCATGGTGCAGTCGTGGAACAAGTTCTGCTACCAAGGAGGCATGATCGAGGCAAGAGTCCAACTACCAGGAGCAGTCAGTCCCGAATCCGGCAACCCAGACCTTGCAAGGGGAAAGAATGCCAGGGTTGAAGACGGCAGGTTCTACCCGACTTGGCCCGGCATCTGGATGATGGGGAATCTGGGTAGAGCGATCTTCTCCGCGTCCACGAACCGCATGTGGCCGTTCTCCTACGATAAATGCGCCCCCGAACTATTCGAGCCGAGCTACCAGCGTATCAGCGCGTGCAACGACAACCCTGGCTACGATCTCAACCCGAACCAAGGCCGCGGTGCGCCTGAGATTGATCTACTGGAAGGTGGGGGCACGTTGGTCTCGTCCTCACTGCAGATTGGTCCTGGAATGCCCGACGACTATCGCACCTTCGCCATCGATTCGTCGACTTTGGACTCATATTCGTGCATCTACGGCGCCAACTGCAAGACCAAGGGGGCCAACTACATCGACGTCCCGACCGCGTACTACGCGAAACGCGGCCACAAATCCTGGTACCAAGGACTGCGCTACGGCGCCAACAACTACTGTACCTCCAGTTCTGATGAGAAGCAGGACTATACTACCGTCGCTGCGTCCGTGAAAGCTGGCATCACGGACAACAAGTGTTCAGCAGCTACTTGTCCCGCTTCGTTCGATGTCAACGGCGATCTAAGTCTCATCGACGGCAAGGGCGAGGATCACTGGGGGATCAACTCCAACGGAACGTGCTACCCGCTCTGGAACGTCTACACAGGCGCCTACCTGTGCGACCCCGACAATACTTACTACAAGTGTGCCACGCCACGGAATTCCAGCACGCCGCAGTCGAACGCAATGGGCACTTTCAACTATCAAATGGACGCCATCTCGGCCAATTGGCCCGTTCACCTCGGCGCGTACACGGACTTCGTCACGTACCAGCTCGAATGGGTCACTGGTAAGAAAGGGTATGTGCGCTGGATGCTGCAGGGCAGTCCGCTGTTCGAGGTGCCGTCCGAGTCCATTTGGGATATCCCTCAGAACAAGAACAAAACGAACCCGGAGAAGATCATGCTGGAGGAGCCCATGTACCTCATCTTCAACGTCGCTCTGTCGAGTTCGTGGGGTGCCACGCCTCCGAATCCAGGCAAGGATTGCCGCGGCGATGGCTCTGACCCAGTAGTCAACAAGATCTGCGACTCTTTCCCAATGTACATGAAGATTGACTACATCCGACTGTACCAAGACTTGGGCGACGACCTCGAGGACGACAACTTCATGCAGGTTGGCTGTGATCCAGGCAGCCACCCGACCAAGAAGTGGATCGAGGCGCACATCGACGAGTACCAGGACGACGACAATTACCACAAGGAGGTGGCCGGCAAGGCCTTCTGCACTGTCGACGACGACTGCACCATCGGCGGCGACTTGGGCAAAATCACGTTGAAGACGGGCAAGTGCGTCAAGTCACGCTGTCAGTGCACGTACGCGACTTCGTGGGGCGGGCCCCGCTGCACGACGGCCATTTCGTCGAGCGCAACTAGTACGACACGCACTTACACGTCCTCGAGCTCTTACGGTCCTCCGATGATGGTGTCGATGGGGGTGGCCGCATTGATCATTTTCGCGAGCGTCGTGTCCGTGGTCTGGTCGGCCAGGAAAGAGGCCAATTGTGCACTGGAGCTCATCAAGCAGGTGAAGACCGTGGAGGGCATGCGGCCCAGTCCTCGTGAAGACGTGCACTTGCACCAGGTCCGACGCCCCTCGGACAGGAGATCGAGTAGAAGATTGCCAGACAACTACAGCCAGAACTTCGTCTAACTGCAGTAGCCTCGCAAATAATAATTTATCCTGCATCGTTGCTCGAAAAGAAAATAGCTGCTTGCTTGTTGTTGTCTGCAGTTGGAAGTGTAGGTTTTCTGCTGTAGCCATCTTTAGACGAATTGCGAGACACTGGTGCCTCCATCAAAGCCACATTTGAGATGATGGCGCGGCCGCCGCTGCCGCTGCTGAGTAAGCCGTCACTGCCTCGCCCTCCTCCATCACATCTGCCATTCAGCCATCGAGAGACGGCGTCACCTCGGCCTCGAGTACTTTTACCGCACTTTTCAAACTCCAATGCCAGTACGACAACACTCAATTCTCCTGGTCGGCTACTGCAGCCCGAGGACTTCACCAAGACTCCACTGGAGAAGTCCATCGATGAGTTGCAACGCGTCAAGGCACGGGTACGGGATAGTTTTGCTCGGATGAACCAGACGCACGAATTGTTCGAGTTGGACTTGGACGACACGACGCGTATCGTGAATTTTCTCGAGGCTGAGCAACGCTATCTCGCCGGTATGTACGCGAATCTCCTAGACTTCAGCGCTCGACAGATCCAGCGCTGCTTCCGAGGGCATATTGGCCGCCGATTGTTCCGGCAGACCGTCGTGGTGCGCGCTGTACTGCGAATTCAACGCGAGTTTCGCGAATTTCATCGTCGTCGAGAGGAGACGCGGAAGAAGTCGCGCGTGCTGTATCGGAAGGTGCTGCGAGGCCTACGAGGCGTGTGGGAACGGCACGAACTCACGCACGCTGAGCTGCTTACGCGCGTGGGGCACAACCTGCAGGTGGAAGCGCAGTGGCGAATGGCGATGGGCGTGGAGGACACGGAGAGCGACCTGATCACTGCGTTGTACCGCAAGAAGTACATCCGACGGAAGTTGGGCGCCATCTTCCGTCAACTGTACTGGTTGCACTCGATCGGATGCTACTGGAGGTCGCTTCTACCCGAGCCAGAGCCTCCAGCCCCGGTGAATTCAGTCGAGGAACAAGCAAGCGAGCAACGGGAAGGCCCAATGAGCGACAATGCGGACGATGTGGACGATGTCGACGCGATTTTAGGCAGCCAGCGGAAGATCGTGATCGTTGCGCCGCGTGCACGACGACGAGAAGGATCTAGCAAGAGGATCACGAGGGCATTAAACCGCGACGAGCTGCTGCAACACCAGAGGATTACGATGCATGAGATTAAGATGAAGAAAGACGACGAGCTACGCAAAGAGGAGGAGGCAGTGAAGCGAATTGTGCAGGCCAAGCGGGGAGAAGTCGCTCATTCTCAGAGTCAGCGCACTCTCACTCGAAAAGGGGGCTTCAAGTCAAGCAGCAACGGCAATCTGCACCAAAAACCGCGATGATAAGCGTATTGCTTTTCGATATGAGGTACTCTCATCTGCGAGAGTGTCAAGGCTAAACAACTTCAAAGTTTGCGGTGATGGCGAGAGCTAGCAGGAGTACAAAGATCGCCACAATCAGCGCGGCTCCTCTTCTGCTGTAGCCTCCGAACGCTCGAAGCTGCTGCGTTTCGATCTTGGATCTAGGGAGCCATGGCACAGCCAATGCCGCTAGCAAGTTGACAGCTGCATAAGCTATGGCAGCGAACAGAATCCGACTTCGTGTGGAGTGCGAGTCTTCCGCAATGAGCTGCTGCGTGACTTTAGTGTTGGTGGCGCGGCCGATCCATTCAGTGACCGCGTTTAACGCTGAGGTACCAAGGCCCTGACCAGAGAGGACAAGACCCATCGTGACGCCCTCGCAGCCAACGTGCGTCACCTCCGTCGCTGTCAGCACAATGAACAGCAGAATCCACGTCTTGGGCCAAACGACGAGCCCACAGAACAGCGAGAAGAACCACTTGCTCCTGACAGTATCTGTCGCAATAAGCGTGGCTTGAACAAGGGAACCCACCACTACGACACCAACTCCGACAAATGCCAGCCGTCTCCAAGCTGTAGTCAGCAGTCTCCACTTCGCGTGAAGCAGAGCTATGAGTGCCACACCACTCTCGACAACCAGCACCCACGGGCTCTCAGCCCGAACGCTATCGTCAAACCCGAAGCCACTCCAAGTAGCAAGAGCTTTGTGTACGCCGGGGTCGCGAGCCTTGAGCAGAACTCCGTAGATCAACAAGAAGAGCAGTACGTGATACGTCACCTTCTCCTGGCAGACCTCCCACACCTGGATAACCCCTGTACGCAGCGCTGGCACCACTCCGACCCGCTTCGTTGACGCTGCCAGCGTGACCGTCGACTCCTGGTCGTCGTCGTCGTACAAGAAGCAGAGCACGGAAAGCAACGCAACCAGCGAAGCCGTAGCGAGACAAGCGCTGGTATGTAGCAGGGTCAGCGTCGACTGGAGCTCCGCGACGCCGATGAGAGCCACGAGGTTCCCCGCTTGCCAAAGCACCAGGAAGAGCATTGCCAACCCGCCTCGCTCACTAAGAGTCTCGCGCTGTCCGAAGCCGACCACAAGCGCTAGCGCTGCCACCCACGACAGTTGAAGCGCAAAGGAGCCTGCAACACTCCACGCCTCGAGCAACCGTCCGAAGATCCTGCCGGGCGTTTGAACGTCCTGGATCTGGTCTTTATAGATCCCATACACGCTGGCATAGCTCACCCCACTCAAGATCCAGCCCAGTGCGATGTACGCCTTCCGTCGAGTGCCGTAGATCGGCATACAATCCGAGAAGAGACCGAGGAGCACCGAGAGCATGTCGGCCCAGTCCAGTAGCGCTGCGTCTGGATCATATTTCCTGTTGAACTTTTCATTCAAGGTCGTCAATAGCAATGGCCGATATGCTGCGCGCACGACGCCCTTCGCCGCGCCTAGCACGAAGGCGGTGACTGCAAGGCCGGCGTGCCACCGACTCAGCAGCGCGATCGGAGCGAGCCCGCTGCGTAAACTGCCCAGCGCTCGATAGTTGAACATGGTGTCGGCCGTTGCAGGCCCTCGGCCCCGAGATCGAGGCGGCGGAGAGTACTCTTCCGCCTGAAAAGGCTGTGAGGTGGGCGTTCTGCCCTGACGCAGATCGTGTGGGGATAGTTGAGCTGAGCAGTTGGCGTCGATGTCGTCGAGCTCGCAGCTCGAGAGCGTGGAGAAGTGCGGGAGCTGCTGCTCCTTCCTCGAGCGCGACAGCGTCAGGGATTCGTCGGCCATGTCCAGCCGCATGTCGTAGAGCACAATGGGCCGGAAGCCCAGGGAATTGTTGGCGAAGCTGCCGTCCTCGACGCTCGACTGCTGCATCGTTAACTCGACGATCCATCCACAGCGGAGACTTGTCCTGGAGGGCTGAGCAAGAGGGGGAATGGAGACGCAACCTCGGAGCGGGAGCCTCGGAATGGGCCTGGATTGATGTCAGCACGTGCCGACGTGGGTCCCTCTGTCTGTCCAGGGGTGTCAAAGGGAGCCATCCCATCCGTCCAGTTGAAGTTATATAGTGAAATCAACATGTCGGAGCCTGGACACAACTGACGAGAGCGGGAGCATGGCCGTCGTGCTTCCTTAGCCGCGTGGCGCTCTTAGGCCGCATGACGCTCGTCTGGCTCATTGCTGTGGGCCGGAACGCGTGTGTGCCCAGCAAATACGGCGCCATTCTTAGAGCTAAACAGGCGTCGTTTCAAGATCATCCAACGATTGCTACCAAGTACTATGGTGTCTGCGCGCGGCCTGATCTTGATGCTGGCCTTCGCAGCGTTCGTGGCTGTTGACGCGCGCACGAGTAAGCTCGAGGGCGCGCAGGTTTACCGGCAGGCGGCGTCGCGCCCGCGCGTAGCCGAGGTGGTTTTCAGCAACGAAGAAGAGAGCCTGCTGCGAGGCCAACAGAGCGACACCGCCCACATGATAGCCGCGCGTCTGCCGGGAAAAACGCCGTTCGACGTCCAGAAGCGCTGCATTCAGCTGGGGCTGCGCTGCGGCGGAGATGCCAAAGCGCCCGAGCGCCACTCCGAGAAGTGGCGCTCGTCTCCTCGCGACCGGGCCTGATGGTCGAGTTCCAAGTATTATCCTCGGGCAAGGACATACCCCCGAAGCCTGACGGTCGAGTTCCTAGTAAGCATAAGTCAAAGCAATGCACACAGTGCTCCCTACTCTGCTGAGATCATAAAAAGAGTTGTGTTCAATACTGCGACCGTCCTGGTCTCATTTAATTGCCAAATCGGCGAGCTTGAAGCACTGACAGCGCCGTGCAGAGCGCGAACCACGTGCACGTGGTGACAGGATAAATGACGAGCAAGTACAGCGCCAAGCAGCACAACCCCAGGTTGAACGCTATGCCCGGCACCACCGAGCTCCACAGCGGGAGGTCCTCTCGCACGCACTGCTTGCCCTCAAACGCGCCAGTCTCGTAGAAACACCGAAGTCGCTCCTCCTTCTCGGTGAACCGGTCCTTCAGCCTAAACATCAACAAAGAAGCAATCCATCAGCACAAACAACACCCAAGCATTCATCCCAACGCAAGGACGCACCACTGGTCCATGTGCTCTTTGTGCTTCTCCAACGCAGACCGGTGATACCGCTTCACGTGCATGTGCACCTCCGTCGGGTATTGGCCTCTCACGAAGCGAATCTGCACCACAACAAGACCCCAAACCATCAGTTCTGCTTCATTTCTACCATGCAAAGCTTGTATAACGACTCACCGGCGACGGTCTCACTCCGTCCATGAGCTCCGGATAGGCAACCGTGAGATCCACGACGTACTCGGGGTCCAGTTTGTCCACGCACAGCTCAAAGCCCTTGACTCTCGGCTGCAGGACGTAGTCCCACCTCGCCTCGCCTTGCTTCTCGGCGAACTCGTGACTCTTCTGCAGCGTCTTGTCGTACAGCGCCGTGCCCTCGGGGAACATGGCGAGCCAGGAGCCCATGTCCGCCTGCTTGTAGGACGCAATGACGTCGGCCAGCCTCGACTGGTCCGTGGCCCAGTTGCGGTTGATGTACGGGTACTCGAGCAGCAGCATGGTCCAGCCGACGCCCGGCGCGTAGCGGATGACGCTCTTCATCATGACGCGCAGGCGGTCGTGCACGCCGAGGCGCACCGCCAAGCCCCAGAAGAAGATCCAGTCCACCTCGCTGCGGTGGTTGCAGAGCAGCAGCACGTGGTCGCGCGGCTCGAAGTGCAGCGGCTCGTCGCCCGTGACCACGAGCTTGACGCCGCCCACGAGCTCCAGCAGACCGCTGAGCATGGCGAAGTACTTGTCCTCCAGGAAGCGGAACACGGGGCGGCAGCTGCGGATCGAGAGGCGGCAGCCCCCGCGCAGCAGCGTCAGCGGCCACAGCACGAACGCGGCGTTCAGGAACGCGCAGGCCACGAGCAGCAGCAGGTAGCAGCAGCCGATGACACATCCAGACCACGTCCCGGGGGTCTCGCACTCGGCGCTCGGGTGCACGGCGAGGTTCGGCGGTCGCTCGGCGTCAGGCTCGGGCTTGTCGACGGTCACGCAGCCTGCGCCTGTATTGGGCGAGGCACGAGGATCCGCAGAGGAGGAGGCTTGGGGCTCGTCGCTTCGGCTCATGCTGGTCAAGAGCTGGAATGCGACGACGAACGGAGCTCTTCGAGCTTGCACCTTGTCAAACGCATGTGGCTACACTGAGAGCTTTATCACGGGGTATTTGATATCAGGATGCTCTGGTAATACTTAGACTGCGTAATTTGTGCATTCGTTTATGGAGGGGGTTAAGTCCGTATGTGACATGCGCTGGTTTGACACCCTTGGAATGCAAGGAAACGCGCACGCAGTCTCTTTTGGTGGATTATCCAGCAGCTATCGACGCTGGCTGGCCTTGCGGGCATTGATAAGCTTGTCGGCCTTGTGTTGTACTTGGTGGATACTATCATGCTGGTTGTTGGGGCCGGCTTGACGGACGTTGGGGGCTCACATCATAGTCAGTGGATGGCCTCGCTGAAGATGTAGATGTTGTACGCGACGCAGTAGGCGAGCGACGTGAGGAAGGCGGCGGCGGTGAGCGCGCCGGCGTGGTCGGTGAAGCCTCCGTACATGCGCACGAGCTGCGCGTCGAGCTTCTGCAGCGGCAGGAGGGGGATCACGGCGAAGGCCAGGCCGTTCACGACGCATGTGACGGCCACCAGGATAGCGATGGACCAACGGTAGCGGGTCGCGTCCGTGTCGGCGTCGTCGCTGGACGGGAAGTACGAGGCGCGCTGGATGGTCGTGAGCAGCGTGCTCACGAAGACCTTGAAGATGGTGTTGAACGACAGCGCGAGGCCGACCACGCCGCCTTCCGAGCCTTCCTCGATGATCTCGGTCACGGGCACCAGCAGCACGAGTGCCATGACGCCCGTCGACACGCCAGCCACTCCAGTCAGCACGATGTACACGACTGGAGCTCGGTACAACGCCGGGATCACTAGCACGCCCATCACGAACTGGGGCGCGATCGTCATTGTCGGGGCCAGGGGGAAGAACCGCTTCCACAACATGTTGCGCAACCTCCACCTCCACATTAGTACGGTCAGGATCATCACCAAGTCGTTCAAGCTGCTGCTCAGCAGCGCGGACGCGCTGTCCGTTGTGTCTGTCCACTGCTGCAGCGCATTTGTCACTAGCGGGAAGCCGAAGTTCAGGAAGAAGGCGAAACTCGCGACGATCGCCAGGATGCGCCACACTGCCTTCTGCTTGGTCAGCTTCCAGTAGCTCTCGCACTTGCACCTCAGGCTCTCCTTCCGGTACGCGGGCGCTTCGTCGAGTCCTCCGATGACCACGACGATCGTTATGACCGACAACGGCATCAACACCAGCAAGATCAGAGCGATCTCGTGCACCTCGATGACGTTCTGGATCAGGTAGACCAGCAGCCTGGCCGAGATCTGCCCCGTGGCCCTCACCACCAAGTAGTCGGCCTGGAAGACGCCTCTCCGCTCCAGGCTTTCCCGCTGCGAGAGCGTCACGACCGCCGTGTGCACCGAGCAGAAGTTGATCATGGAGCCGAAGCTCACGCCGCCCATGACCAGCATCATGATGTAGCTGAAGCTGCTGCCGATGGTCTCTCGGATGTCCGCGGCGAAGAGGCATCCCAGGCCAATCACGGCCAGGCACAGCAGACTCAGCAGCATGCCCAGGACCATGTACGACTTGCGGCGCGAGCCCCACACGGGCACCGCGTCGGCGTAGAGCCCCACGAAGAAGGCCAGCGCCGCGGGCACCTCCACGAGGCGGTCCATGGCCTCCTTCTGCGTCTCCGAGAGCTGCAGCTGGCTGCTCACCATAGGCAGCAGCCCGTAGCGCGCGCCGATGTAGACGAACGAGGACGTGAACGTGGCGGCCACGAGGCCGATGAACTCGAGCGAGAAGAGCTGCACCACGCCGCCCGGCCGCAGGCCGCCGTACATGTCGTAGTTGTAGAAGTCCGGCCCGGCCACGAAGCGGTTCATGCTCATGGTGGTCGAGACGATGGCAATCTTCGACTGGCTGTGGAATAAGCTCGTTGACGGGTTCGTTCTGGGGTCATCAATGGGAAAAGGCAACATGGAATGCTGGAGGTTCAACGTGGATCGGCTTGACAAGGGTACAAGTATTTACATATTGCGATACCATTCACGCAACCTTCATACGACATGTTTCAGTAGTTGAAGCGAACTTCAATCAGCAAATTTCGGGCTGCGCAAGGTGTGTACTTCTTCATAAATTTCGGTAATTCGGTAAACTTACACTGTATTTCCCCAAAACAGTATGATATGACAGAATATTAGGCCACGACAGAACTTCAGCCCGTGAACACTTCTGTGCTAATAACCTAATACTATAATATTAATACAACAATAGTACAGTAAAAAGATGAAAGTGTCCTTACATGCTAGAGTTCGAAGAATGCATGATACGAGCAAGTCTCGGGGTGAGATATAGGCTGTGTTGCTGATAAAATACTGTTTTAGCCCTGACTGTTCTCTTTCGTGAGCACCTGCGGCTGCGAGGGGCTTACGTCCACGACCTTCTGGACGTGCGCGTACCTCATGGCCGCCTTCTTCCTCTGCGCTGCACGCACTGTCGAGACGTAGATGGAGATCGTCGCCAGCACGACCACAATGGAGGTAACCGCAATGGAGGCCCACAACGGCGGGCCGTACGTAGTGCTGCCCGACGTTGAAGTCCCCGCGATCGCCGTCGTGCAGCGCGGGCCGCCCCAGGACTTGTACAGACACTCGCAGCGCTGGTTGACGCACCTGCCCGTCTTGACTGGTGTCCTCGCCATGCTGCCGCCGATAGTACAGTCGTCGTGCGACTTGCAGAACGCCTTACCGGTGACCTCCACCCACTTGTTGTCGTTGTCTTCGTACTCGTCGATGTGGCCCTCGATCCACTGCTTGGTCGGGTGGGTCTTGGGGTCGCAGCCGACGGACATGTAGTTGTCAGCGTCGAGGTCATCGGCCAGGTCCTGATACAGTCGGATGTAGTCGATCTTCAAGTACATGGGAAACGAGTCGCAGATCTTGTTGGCTACAGGGTCCGTGCCGTTGCCGCGGCAACTCTTGCCCGGGTTGGGAGGCGTAGCGCCCCAGGAGCTCGACAGCGCCACATTGGCGATGATGTACATGGGCTCCTCCAGCATGATCTTCTGCGGGTTGGTCTTGTTGGAGTTCTGCGGCACGTCCAAGATGGATGCAGACGGCACCTCAAAGAGGGGGCTGCCCTGCAGCATCCACCGCACGTAGCCGTTCTTGCCGGTCACCCACTCCAGTTGATACGTGACGAAGTCGGTGTACGCGCCGAGGTGCACGGGCCAGTTGGACGAGATCGCGTCCATTTGGTAGTTGAAGGGGTCCATGGCATAAGACTTGGCGGTGGTGGTCTCATTTCGAGGGCTGGCACACTTGGAGTACGTGTTGTCCGGGTCACATAGGTAAGAACCAGTGTAGACGTTGAAGAGCGGGTAGCACGTGCCGTTCGAGTTGATTCCCCAGCGATCATCCCCAACTCCATCAATGAGACTCAAGTCGGCGTTGACATCGTTCGAAGCGGGACAAGTGGACAAGGAGCACGTGTTGTTGGTGATCCCAGCCGTCAACGATGCTGCGATGGTCTTGTAGCTCTGCTTCTGGGTGGAGTCCGATTTGCAGAAGTTGTTGGCCGCGTAGCGAAGCCCTTGGTACCAGGATTTGTGGCCGCGCTCTTTCTTGTAGTACGCGGTGGGGACGTCGATGTAGTTAGCTCCAAGAGTCTGACAGCTAGCAGTGTAGAAGCAGCCGTAGAAGTCCCCAGTCGAATAGTTCAGGTCAAACATTCGATACTCAGCAGGCATACCGGGGCCAAGCTGCAGCGACGAGGAGATGAGAGACGCGCTGCCTTCCAGCACGTCGATCTCTGGGGCGCCGCGGCCTTGGTTCGGGTTCAACCCGTAGCCCGGGTTGTCGTCGCACGCGCTGATCCGCTGGTTCTTGGGGTCGAACAGGTCGGGCTCGCACTTGTCATAGGAGAACGGCCACATGCGGTTCGTGGACCCGGAGAAGATAGCTCTACCCAGGTTCCCCATCATCCAGACACCGGGCCAAGTCGGGTAGTACTTGCCCGTCTTGACCCTGCCGTTGTTCCCCAGCGCCAGGTCGGGGTTACCCGAGGCTTTCGTGACGGCTCCGGGGAGTTGGACGCGCGTCTCGACCATGCCTCCCTGGTAGCAGAACTTGTTCCACGACTGCACCATGGCCGACCGGTAGAAGAAGTAGGCGTCCACGTAACCTGGAGGGTGCGTGTACATGTTGTAGACATTGATGACATTCTCCTCGTCAATGGATTTGATGTAGAAGTAGCACGTTCCGTCGTCGTCACACTGAGTTGAGGTCATGTTGTGCGAGTAGAGCTCCATAGCGCCGTTGACACCGTCGGGTTTCTCCACGGACGTCCAGATGTGGTCGTCACCCGGTCGGAAGCTGCGGTTCGCCACGTTGAACTCGTCGCTCATGACCAAGTCCCATTTCCGGCCGCGCGAGCTGGTGTACGAGTGGCGGGTCTCGGGGGTGTCGGGGTCGACCCACACTTTGATGCCCGACCTGGTCGGATACGTGACATTCTTGGCCGAAGACGCCACCCCCGCCATGGCCAGTGCGAACACGATATACTGTTGAACCCACATTGCAATGAACGAAGGATTCTATTGATCACGACCAACGTGCTGCGTGTTCGAGGCGGCAATTTGCCGAGTGGCGGCGCAGATTTTACTGTCCGAGAGTCTTTTGTGGATACACAAAGCGAGGCCATTTTTCTGGTATCTGGATGCGGCGTAGCCTGCGTTTGATTTCTCCCGGTCGTCCCAACGCCACCAGTTCTTGCTGCTGGTGCAATCTTTGGTGGCGAACGGCTGCGTTTTGATCGCCGCAAAGCCCCTCCGTTGTCGCAAGGTTGGATGTCCGGATAGTCTTGAGCCAGAGTAATCACCCCGACAGATGAGATCCAGCAAGCCGAGCACAGCCGCGCTCAAATTCCTGGGAAAGGCGGCCGCATCGCCTCAGCAGCTTTGCCGATACAGTAGCTCCTCGTTAGTCCGTCTCCAAGCACTATCTCAGCTCTTTGTGAACCTGGCGTAATAGTTATTTTTCACTATCGCACGCATGCTCAGCAGCGAGATGCCATCGACTGGCGCGAAAAGAGCTCTTCGACTGGCAGGAATTCTTACGACAGGCACGAATAGTCGCGTCTCCATCTTCGTTTAACTTATATCTCCACTTTGTATCTCTATGTGGCGTCACCGTCCGAGAGGCAGCGATCTTCGACGAATCGGAACTTCACAGCCGTACAAGTGAGGATGACAATGAATACATTGCTGGAAACTACTTCAGTATGTATAAACTAGAGAAAATGAAGTTGATGATCAACGCTCGAACAAAAAAAACGTTAGTGTAAATGTTGCGTTTTGAATTTTTACAGCTCGAACCTTACATGTAGCACATTTTGTGGTTGTAGCAGTGGTTGTAGCACCGCGATTGCGAACATTTCTGACGCTAAACTACAAACGACGGTGGCGTAAGGTAGCCATCAACAAAATATGACGCCACATAACACCGACCTCGCCTTCTAATTGAAGCTGTCAAGTGCACAACAGTAGAGTGCAGCTGCTCTCAACAAAGTGGAGACCCACTTACTTTGCTCCGCGTAGGCTGTCACTGACGTGCTTAAAAAACATTGAGGCTGCCGAACTTGCTTTTGTCAAAGCAAGAATTTGACTGCCCAGGAATTGTGAGGGCCGGGGAAATGTAGGACTTTGGAGGTCAGTTAATCTGAGGTTGGTGGTCCCTAAATCTGAGATGCAAATCTCGGACGAGTCCGATGAGTGGTCTCCTCCGTTCAATGGACTCCGGTTGGAGTCCAAGTCAAGCAATCTTTGTTTGGGGAAGCAAGCAATGCCGGAACCCGCGAAGGCGAATGACGAAGACTGGAGTGTTTAACGTATCGACTGCATCGTGTTTTCATAGGTTTATTCTGCGTTTGACATACACCGTATTAGAGTCAGCTCGTATGAAAGTCTTGCCACAAGACTTGGCAGGAGTCCTTCGTAAGACCTCAAACCCCGAATGCCGTGAAAATGGGCGACATTCGGGCTTTCGGCTGTTTGGAGGACCTGCGCAAGTGCTTCCATCGGACTAGCAATTCTTGGTCCTAATTCCCTACGAGGGACCTGCTAATCTGCTCCGATAACCTAGCCCCATCTTAGTAGGTAGCTGTTTGACACGTCCGATTTGCCAAAACAACTGAAAAGCACAATACATGTAGTTCAGATGAAAAGTTATTCGAGTGCCAGTTCTCAGATCACACCGGGATTTGCATCGCTGCATTGTGCCAACATTAAGAGATGCGTAGCGCTTGAAGTTGGCTTGTCCCGAAAGACATACTTGGTTGGACAGGTACAGTACTGTACTGTACACTTGATAGTTTCCTCACTTTACGAACCCTACTTCAGCGCTTTGCTTTAAGGAGAAAAAAAACGAGGCGACTGGCGTTTGCTGGCGTTGATCCTATTGAGTTCCATGTCAGCTTCGAAGACCTTGTTTCATGAGTCAACTTGCCCGGTCTCAAGGAGCTGAATTACACACCGTGCTTGCAAAAGTCGCTCGCTGTGCCATAATCAATCGTATGGATTTGATACAGGGGGCAACAGGCACTGCTGTTGGGCAGTCTATCCCGAGGTTGTACAGTACCGTACTGTACCATCCGCTCGCAAATTGTGCTCGCCGCGGCCACACCTTTAGCGCACTGTAGCTGTAGACAACAGCTACAGCCTGTACATGCAGCAGCTTGAAGACTTCCCTTTTAGCAACATGAAGCCTGGTACACAATATACTGTAAAAAAACTTAAACGACAATGCGCTAGTCTTTCAGTAGCAAGACAAACAACTCGCGCGTGAATCAATCCAGAGCCGCTTTGGCTGCCTTACCGCAAAAAGTGCGGGGTGCGCTGCACTCGGTGCCTGGAATCGATCCCGAACGAAATCTTCGAGCAGGAAGTTGGTCCCGTTTGTGAGCCCGCACATGGCCATCTGCCTCTGCGCTTTTGTGGTGTCCGGCGCACATGTCGATGCACGGCGCGCTTCAAGTCGGATCAAATAGAGACAAGAGACGGCCGCCGTTTACGCGCTCCAACGGGTGGCTGCAGGTGGCAACAAGCAGAGCTTGCGATACACGTGTACGGTACTCGTACGAGACGCTTGTCGAGCCAGATGGGCCTTCAAAGCCTTTGCAGCACACGAAAGCAAAGCGTAAGGGCCATCACTCGGCAATTCGCCGCCTCAAGCTCACGATCCTGGCACCTGGACGTCCTCACTCCAGAGTTTCAATGCGGTTCCAACAGTATGCCGCTTGGGCGTGCGCTCTATCGTGGGCTATGACTACGGCGTTCGTCACTGCCAAAAACGACACGACGGCGGGGACGACGTACCCCACCAAGTCGGGCATCAAGATTTGGGTCGACCCCGACACCCCCGAGACCCGCCACTCGTACACCAGCTCGCGCGGCCGGAAATGGGATCTGGTCATGAGCGACGAGTTCAACGTGGCCAACCGAAGCTTCCGACCGGGCGACGACCACATCTGGACTTCACTGGAGAAGCCCGATGGTGTCAACGGCGCTCTGGAGCTCTACTCGCACAACATGACCTCGACCAAGTGCGACGACGATGGCACGTGCTACTTCTTCATCAAGGCCATCGACGAGCTCAACGTGATCCACGTCTACAACATGTACACGCACCCTCCGGGCTACGTGGACGCCTACTTCTTCTACCGTGCGGCCATGGTGCAGTCGTGGAACAAGTTCTGCTACCAGGGAGGCATGATTGAAACGCGCGTGCAGCTCCCCGGTGTTGTCACGCCCGATTCGGGTAACCCTGACCTGGCCAAGGGCAAGAACACCCAGGTCGAAGCTACCAAGTACTACCCGACGTGGCCCGGCATCTGGATGATGGGGAACCTTGGTCGCGCTATCTTCTCTGCGTCGACGAACCGCATGTGGCCGTTCTCCTACGACAAGTGTGAGCCTGACCTGTTCGACCCGACCTACCAGCGTATCAGCGCGTGCAACGACAACCCGGGCTACGGCTTGAACCCGAACCAAGGCCGCGGCGCCCCCGAAATCGACGTGTTGGAAGGTGGCGCGACGCTTGTGTCGTCGTCGCTGCAGATTGGCCCGGGTATGCCTGACGACTACCGTATTATCGGAGTCAACTACGGACAAGACGACCCGTCGTGTATCTACGCTGGTACGTGTAACACTCCCGGTGCCAACTACGTTGACGTCCCCACCGCGGTCTATCAGAAGCAGCGCGGACACAAGTCATGGTACCAGGGTCTCCGTTACGGGGCCAACAACCTCTGCGCGCCGGACCCCAAGGCCAAGCAGTCGTACAGCACAATCGCTGCGTCTTTGAAGGCTGGTATCACTGAAAACTCGTGCTCGAGTGACATTTGTCCCGCCTCGAACGATGTCAACGGCGACATCAGCCTCATTGACGGCAAGGGCGAGGATCACTGGGGCATCAACTCGAACGGAACGTGCTACCCCCTCTTCAACGTCTACACTGGTGCCTACTTGTGTGACCCGGACAACACATTTTGGAAGTGCGCGCAGCCGCGTAATGAGACCACGACGCCCAAGTCCAACGCCATGAGCCAATTCAACTACCAGATGGATGCCATCTCGGCCAATTGGCCCGTGCACCTCGGCGCGTACACCAACTACGTCACGTACCAGCTCGAGTGGGTGACCGGCAAGAAAGGATACGTGCGGTGGATGCTCGAGGGCAGTCCGCTGTTCGAGGTGCCGTCCGAGTCCATTTGGGATATCCCTCAGAACAAGAACAAGAGCAACCCGGAGAAGACGATGCTCGAGGAGCCTATGTACCTCATCTTCAACGTCGCTCTGTCGAGTTCGTGGGGTGCCACGCCTCCCAACGCTGGTAAGGAATGCCGCGGTGACGGCAAAGACGCCACGACCAACAAGATCTGCGACGCGTTCCCGCTGTACCTGAAGATCGACTACATCCGTCTGTACCAGGACCTGGGCGACGACCTCGAGGCCGACAACTACATGCAGGTTGGCTGCGACCCCAAGAGCCACCCGACCAAGAAGTGGATCGACGCTCACATGGACGAGTATGAGGATGACGACAACAAACACAAGGAGGTGGCGGGCAAGGCCTTCTGTACCACAAACGACGACTGCACCATTGGTGGAGATCTGGGCAAGACGCTGCTGAAGACCGGCAAGTGCGTCAAGAAGCGCTGCCAGTGCACGTACTCGTCGTCATGGGGTGGTCCACGCTGCACTACCGCAATCTCCGGTTCGTCGTCTGCTACGGTCACGAAGACTACGACGACCAACTCGTACGGACCTCCGTTCGGCATGTCGATCGGCGCTGCGGGTATCATGGTCTTCCTGAGTTTCATCTCCGTCATGTACGCGTCCGCGAAGGAGAAGAAGGCGGCGCTGCTGCTGCAGAAGCAGCTCAAAACCGCAGCAGATCAACGCAGCCACGAAGCCGCCAAGATGGAGGCCGAGAGACAATCGTACGGTGGCCACGGCAACGACGCTCGGCACAGACCGAGGGACAACTACAGTCAAAACTTCGTCTAAACAAACTGTCGAATGAATTACTACTTATCAACTGCTATATCCCTCACGAGGTCAAGACCACATGATACGTTCAAGGACCGGCATACAGCAGGCCTCCAAGCGACGACGTCAACCTCAACGAATGCAAGCCGAAGTGGAGACCCTCGATCACCTTGGTCATGACACCCTGTGCGGCCGGCCACCTCAAGCGATCGATATTCCGACGTTCATCTATGCACTTCACGCGAGCAGAGAGCAACTGACGGCGCGAATGGAGTTCTACATGTACGGCCACGTGAATGCAGTGGCAGTCAACAAGGCGATGGAGAGCATGAAGAGATCGATTTCAAACACCTTTCGACACCGGTGAAAACAACACGAAAGGAGGGAGAGCGTGGTCGGCGTTGTGGCGGTTCCCGGAACGACGTGTACCAAGCCAGCTCGATCGCCTCCTCCTCAGACCAACACAGTCCCCATGGTGCTCGGCAAGGTCAAGGAGCGGAAGACGACCGCGGAGGAAGGAAGCACAAGGCGTTGGACTCGTCCGTTCCGTCCTCTTCGAGCTCAGCGAACTGCTGAGCTCGCCGCAGACGCAGATACTTGTCGAGATTTGCGTTGTCTCCTCGTCCAGTCGGGCGAAACATCAGGTGAAGGAAGCCGGTGGCTACTTTGAAGTTGTCGATCAATAAGGCAGAATCAAAGCAGCATCGACAAACGCTGACACCGTTGAGGGGGGGGGGGGCTACAGGTGCGTACATCTACATACTTCTTCAATAGCTTGGCGTTCACTACGCTGAACGTCAGGAGCGATGCTCAATGGCGCCCCGATGAACTCCAAGAGCGAAGCGGAGCTCGGAGAGCTCGCGGCGCCAGCAGATCCCATCGGTGATCATGACCATCGTCCAAGCCTTGCAGGTAAGCACCCAGCGGGCGACCGGAACACCCGGATAGACTCGCCTGCATTACGAACGTGTGGACTTCGGCTGTTCCACTTCACCGGCTTCCTTCCTGGCGGAGCTGCTCCGAGCAGCTCCTGCTCGTGGTGCGTTTGACCACACGGAAGATTGCATCGACGTATCGTTGCGAGTCCAACCAGTCTGGCAGCGACCAGAAACGGCCGCAGTTTATGGCGTCTGCAAGTCCTTGAGAACCGTCCACTTGCTTGTCGCCCTTGCTCAGCCGTGACTAAGACGCACACTGTCCATCCAGTCTTCAGTCGCCAAACTTCGTGACTGCAGTGCTCCGGGAGAAGCCCAATGCGACTCCAAGCGCTTACAGCCTGGGCGATTGCCCTCACCTGGGCGACAGCTCTTGTCTCCGCTAAGAATGCGACCACATCGGGCACCACCTACCCGACCAAGTCGGGCATCAAAGCTTGGGTCGACCCCGACACACCCGACGACCGCCAGACGTACACCAGCTCGCGCGGCCGGAAATGGGATCTGGTCATGAACGACGAGTTCAACGTGGCCAACCGCAGCTTCCGACCCGGTGACGACCACATCTGGACTTCACTGGAGAAGCCCGACGGTGTGAATGGCGCTCTGGAGCTCTACCCGCACAACATGACTTCGACCAAGTGCGACGACGACGGAACGTGCTACTTCTACATCGAAGCCATCGACGAGGTGAATGTGATCCACGTGTACAACATGTACACGCACCCTCCGGGCTACGTGGACGCCTACTTCTTCTACCGTGTGGCCATGGTGCAGTCGTGGAACAAGTTCTGCTTCCAAGGCGGCATGCTCGAGATGCGCGCGCAGCTCCCCGGAGCTGTGTCGGCGGCGTCAGGGAACCCCGATTTGGCGAAAGGCAAGAACGCGAGGTCGCGACTACGAAATACTACCCGACTTAGCCCGGCATCTGGATGATGGGGAACCTGGGTAGAGCCATCTTCTCCGCGTCGACGAACCGCATGTGGCCGTTCTCCTATGACCGCTGTGAGCCCGACGTCTTCGACCCCGAGAACCAGCGGATCAGCGCGTGTGACGACAACCCGGGCTACGGGATGAACCCGAACCAAGGCCGCGGTGCGCCGGAGATTGACCTGCTGGAAGGCGGTGGGATGGCCGTGTCTTCCTCGCTGCAGATTGCACCTGGGATGCCCGACGACTACCGACTTTTCCCCGTTGACACGTCGACCGGAGACTATGTCTACTGCGTCTACGGATACACGTGCACAACGCCCGGAGCCAACTACATCGACGTCCCGACGGCGTACTACGAGAAGGAACGCGGGCATAAATCCTGGTACCAAGGTCTGCGCTACGCCTCGAACAATTTCTGCCAGCAAGACGCCGCTGCCAAGCAGAGCTACGCTACCGTTGCTGCGTCTCTGAAGGTCGGCATCACCAATAACTCGTACATGTCCAGCTTCAGGGGATGTCAACGCTGACATTGGACTGATCGATGACGTGGGGAAGAACCACTGGGGCATCAACACCAACGGCACGTGCTACCCACTCGTCAACTCGTACATGGGTTCGTACCTGTGTGACCCGGACAACACCAACACCAAGTGTGCCAGTCCTCGTAATGAGTCCACGACCCCGAAGTCGAACGCCATGAGCTCGTTCAACTACCAAATGGACGCCATTTCCTCCAACTGGCCCGTGCATCTCGGGGCGTACACGGACTACGTTGAGTACCAGATCGAGTGGGTCACCGGCAAGAACGGATATGTGCGTTGGATGCTTCAGGGCAACCCCCTCTTTGAGGTCACGACGGACGCGTTCTCCAATGTACCGCAGAACGCGAAGAAGAACAACCCGCAGAAGGTTATGCTGGAGGAACCGATGTCGCTTATATTGAACGTCGCTCTGTCGAGTTCGTGGGGCGCCACGCCTCCCAATGCCGGGAAGGAGTGTCGAGGCGACGGCACCGATGAGGAGACCAACAGAATCTGCGAGTCGTTCCCGATGTACCTGAAGATCGACTACATGCGGTTGTATCAGGACCTTGGAGACGACCTGGATGGTGACAACTACATGCAAGTCGGCTGCGACCCTAAGAGCCACCCGACCAAGGAGTGGATCGACGGTCATATTGACGAGTACGAAGACGACGACAACAAGTGGGAGGAAGTCGCGGGCAAGGCCTTCTGCTCGGTGGATGATGACTGCACGATCGGTGGCAATCTGGGCAAGACGGCGCTGAAGACGGGCAAGTGTGTCAAGCAGCGCTGTCAGTGCACGTACGCGTCGTCTTGGGGTGGTCCGCGATGCACCACAGCGATCTCGAGCTCCTCTGCTACCTCCACGTCTGTGTCGAAGAGCTCCTACGGCCCTCCCATGGGCCTGACCGGTATGATTGTGCTCTTGTCGTTCATCTCCGTGTACTTTTCACTGTTCGTAGTCAAGACGAAGTCCGCGTCGGAGATGAAGAAGAACGCAGCGTATGACAACGACGACGGACCCAAGCTGTCCTATAGTAACGCTCACGGACATGGCCGACCAACAGACAACTACCGACAGAACTTTATCTAACTTTTATTTTGATTCAACACACACATTGTGATGAAGGCAACAAGGACTTTACTTAGTTACAGCGAATTCTTACACAATGGGTCAGGTGGTAATTAATGATCTTTCGACTGCGCCTCGAGGTGCGAGCCCCGGTTGCTGTTTTCACTCAGCGGCGGGGTCTCAGCTAAAGCCCGCGCTTTCAGCTCTGCATCGTTTGCAGCCATCACGACCTTGATCCTCTTGGCTGCGCTGAGTGAGCCCAGATAAACCGAGGTCGCTGTCAACAGAATCATTACTCCCGCGACGGCGAATGAGGCAGCTAACGGCGGACCGAACGCCGAAGTTTTTGACCCAGAGATGGCGGTAGTGCAGCGAGGACCGCCCCACGACTCATACAGACACTCACAGCGCTTATTGACGCACTTGCCCGTCATGATCGTTGTCTGCCCGCCACCGATAGTGCAGTCGTCGCTTGTCTTGCAGAAGGCCTTGCCCGCGACTTCCTCCCACTTGTTGTCGTCGTCTTCGTACTCGTCGATGTGGGTTTCGATCCACTCTTTCGTCGGGTGACTCGCCGGGTCACAGCCGACGGACATGTAGTTGTCAGGTTCGAGGTCGTCCCCCAAGTCCTGGTACAGACGAATGTAGTCGATCTTCATGTACATGGGGAAGGCGTCGCAGATCTTGTTGGTCACGGGGTCTTTGCCGTCGCCGCGGCATTCCTTGCCTGGGTTCGGAGGCGTGGTGCCCCACGAACTCGATAGCGCGACGTTGAAGATGACGTACAGAGGCTCCTCGATCATGATCTTCTTGGAGTTCGTCTTGTTGGCGTTCTGCGGTACGTTGACGATCGACTCGGTCGTGACTTCGAAAAGAGGCTCGCCGTGGAGCATCCAGCGCACGTATCCGTTCTCTCCAGTGACCCACTCCACCTGATAGTCGTAGTAGCCAGTGTACGCGCCAAAGTGAATGGGCCAGTTGGACGAAATGGCGTCCATTTGGTAGTTGAAAGGCTCCATGACGCCCGACTTGGGCGTCGTACTTTCATTGCGCGGACTAGCGCACTTGGAGAAGGTGTTGTCCGGGTCACACAGGTACGAGCCCATGTACGAGTTCATGAGCGGGTAGCACGTGCCGTTCGAGTTGATGCCCCAGTGGTCGCTCCCCTTGCCGTCGATCTTGCTCAAGTCGCCGTTCACGTCGCCGGAAGCGGGACAGGTTTCCACTGTACAGGTGTTGTCGGTGATTCCAGCCTTCACAGATGATGATACTTTGTCGTAGCTCTGCTTCGCTGTGGCATTCGGCGAGCAGTAGTTGTTCGAGCCGTAGCGAAGACCTTGGTACCACGACTTGTGGCCACGCTCCTTCTCGTAGTACGCCGTCGGGACGTCGATGTAGTTTGCGCCAGGAGTCATGCAGTTGTATGAGTACAGGCAGTAGCTGAAGTCTCCGGTCGACGTGTCCACAGGGAATAGACGGTAGTCGTCAGGCATTCCAGGCGCGATCTGGAGCGACGACGAGATAGTAAGGCCGGCACCTTCAAGCACATCGATCTCTGGAGCGCCGCGACCTTGGTTCGGGTTCAATCCGTAGCCAGGATTGTCGTCGCAGGCGCTGATACGCTGGAAACTCGGGTCGAAGACGTCGGCGTCGCACTCGTTGTACGAGTAGGGCCACATGCGGTTCGTGGACGCGGAGAAGATAGCGCGTCCGAGGTTCCCGAGCATCCAGATTCCAGGCCACGTCGGGTAGAACTTGGTGTTCTCGACCTTGCCATTCTTTCCCTTGGCAACATCCGGGTTACCAGAGTCCGCGCTCGTAGCTCCTGGCAGTTGCGCGCGCACCTCGAGCATGCCTCCCTGGTAGCAGAACTTGTTCCACGACTGCACCATCGCGCCACGGTAGAAGAAATAGGCATCTTGGAAGCTCGGAGGGTGCGTGTACATGTTGTACACGCGGATGACGTTCACCTCGTCAATGGTCTTGATGTAGAAGTAGCACGTTCCGTCGTCGTCACAATCGGTGCCAGTCATGTTGTGTGAATAAAGCTCCAGAGCACCGTTGACACCGTCAGGCTTTTCGAGTGAAGTCCAGATGTGGTCGTCGCCGGCGCGGAAGCTGCGGTTGGCCACGTTAAACTCGTCGCTCATGACGAGGTCCCATCGCCGGCCGCGAGAGCTGGTGTATACGTATTTGTCGTCGGGTGTGTCGGGGTCGACCCAGATTCCGATACCCGACTTGGTGGGGTACGTTGTTGTGTCATTTCTCGTGGCAACTAGTGCAGTGTTGGCGGTGCACCACAGCACCAGTGTCCATAATATGCTGTACTGTGATAGCTGCATCAGTATCGGAGCGATGCGTGAGCTCGAGATGGCGAATTGGAGAATGAAGAGCTGCAGCTGGCTGAAGTGCTCTGTCGATTGGCCTTTCTTGCTGTTTTAACGCGACATTTCGCGCGTTTGTGGGCGTGGCGATGAATCTTCAAGCTGTTCGAGCATCGAACAGCTGGAGTCGAATTAATCTCGGTGTTGGTGCTTACTTACGTCCACCCACACATGATAAGAACCCGAACGAGGTGGATAGGATTCCTATCCACCTCGTGATCCCCATCTCTAGCCCAGCTGGCGAAGTCGAAGAACACGGAGGAAAGCGAGAAAGCCCCAGCGTTGGACTGATATTTTATCCCTACAGGCCTTGGCGACGGATTTTTCGGGGGATGCGCGTGGTGTTTTTCGTCGTGACGTTATTATTTGCTCGATTTTTTAATCAATTTTAATCAAGGCTGTTAACGAACGCAGGTGATGGGTGCTTCTCGTGTCTACTGTAGCCCTTCGTGCGTGCTTTGCATTGACTGTGAACCCAACTGGATCAACTGTGTTTATGTTTCCGTCGACGCACGTAGATCCACCGTCTTGGTGAAATCGCCCTTCCTCGTGAGTATCCTAGTACTGTATTACATGTATTATAATAAGTATTGCAGATAACTTGTCGCCCCGTTTTATGGCCTAGATCGAGGAAGGCCGGTCCACAAATCAGGGCACAAAACATAGGCGGTAGCATGGACGACCTCGATTTACTTATTGTGCCTTTCACGTATTTTGGCGGGTGAGCTGTTAATTCAGGCGGAATTAGAGTCATAAAAGGGCTATCAACGCTTATTTAGTGCTAATTCTGCCTAAGATTGTGAGCGCTTCCCCTAACATCCGCGATCAGCATTTGAGAGCAGAATGGCATGGATTGGCGGGTAGGAAACCGCCAATCGCTCTGTTTCCGCCTAACGCAGGCTGGATTAGCTTATTCCGCCTTAACTCGGCCTCACCATCGCCGCCCCTAATTCGGCCACGAATGGGCGACCCGGAATTAACATGGGAATTAGCTAACTCGGGGCCGATAAGGGATTAGAGTTATGCCAGAATTATCACGGCAGAATAAGTGAAAGGCACAATAGATCGACCTCGAATTGCGCTTTTGAAAACGCAAAAGGGATCGATTTACCGTAGATCGACCTCGTTATGCTCAAATCCACCACTCGAGCCCTGATTTGGATTGTCCTAGCTCGAGTTATTAGCCAGCCTAAATACTGTAGATCGATATGTCCCTTTCTTTGAACTCGTTTTATTGAAGGCACTTGTTGCTGCACCCGACTGGGGTGCAATGACACCCGACTATGTAGACCGACTCGTGCCAATCTGGTGCAGCAAACACTCTCTTCATTAAATCGATCTCGATTTATTATAACTCGAGGAAAGCTCCAAGTCAAAACGACAAAACGTTTGATTGCCTTCATCCGCACAAGTATACATACCATGTATACCCCTGCACACCACCCATTTCAGTCGCCATTCAAGATTTCGACAGCTCGAGCACAAGGCTCCGTCGCGTCGATATAAGCGTTGGGGAAGCAGCGCTGAATAACCGGGTGTTATGAGGTCGCAGTGCGAACTTCACACCGCGCCTCTCTTCGCAGCGCGAAGAGGCACCACCAGGGAGGACACGTCGTCGAGAGCCTTGCGGACAGCAGCGCCTGTGGGGATTGCTACGCGGACGGCTGCACCGCGCGGTGCTGATAAACAGGACATGCTCGCTGTGCGGCTGGCCGAGGCGTCACAAGACGCGCTTACCTTAAGGACGCCGCTGCGCTCGGGCTGGACGTGTGTAAGTGGGTTCCGACTGACGAAACCCGACTGGTGTTGTGTGCTTTTTTCTTCTTCTTTATAGTGCTTAGCGGTTCATGTTTGATAGTAATAATGAACCTATCAACCGTTAAAGAAAAGCGTTGTGTAAACCGGCGTTGATAGGAGTGCTGCAGTGCCCACGTGGGTGGGGCGCTTGCAATTAATAGGGTAGCATGATGCGCGTAGCTGTTCTATTGTGCTTCCGACTCTAGAGACACACTTGACGGCAACGCTCGCGTTGCTACATGTAGTACAGTGATCCTTTGGTTCACAAGTTATGATTGCATACTGCTGCGTTCACACACCGACTGAGGCGGCCCGACTGAGTCCAGTACCCGACTGACCCGACTGAGTGGGTTGGTCTTTTATAAGGTGCTTTACACAACTTTTGCTGTCCAGCTATACACTAGCCAATGTATAATCCCACCCTTTCAATCATTTTCGTGTTGTTGTATTGAAATTGCGGCGTGCGACTCCAGCAAACCGCAGTTGCCCTCTCCGGAGATTTGGCGAACACCAACATATTAATACATGTACATGTATTGTGCATCATGCTAATAATTGGTACCATACTTTTTATACCGTTCTATTGAACTAATGCAAATAATACATTTTCGGTAACTATCATTTTAAACGATAATTCCTATTTAAAACATACCCATAATTGTCATACAAATATATTGTGTTTACACATTGCTAGACAATATGTGCTTTAACCCGAGCTTTCTCGGGACGCTGTTGTAATGGGCGTGGAGGCAGACGTGTCATGGAGAATACTGCATGAAGCAGGCTCTGCTTGCAATGAGTGCCACGACACACGATACAGGTACATGTATTGTAGTTGTTTGTCGACTCGACGCTCAGGTCTCGACCGTCGAGACGTGCAAAGAGGTTTCGTGCGCAGAAGTTGTGCCGCAAATCCGATCGGGAGCGGCTAGCAGACCGGCCCCGGTCGAGGGAGTGAAGGTCTTCAGGCACCCAAGCGTGCACTGCACGACCTTCCACCCAAGAGTGGCGACGACGCCAACGAAGCGAAATGTCTCGCAGCACGTGGGTGGTATTTTCTGCGCGCATGGCGGTCGTCTACAGACCAGATCCACGGTTGTAAACGGGGCGCTCTAAGCAGATCTCCTAAGTTTCAACACAAAGGCGCTGTTGTCACTTAGGATATGCTCGATTTTTAATCGATAAAATGGAGTCTTCCCATTGGTTAATCTCCCTAATGATTAAAACCCAGTGATCGAAGCTAGTAATGTACGATTTGCCTTAGATCATGCTGACTCCCAGTCGGTGCGCGCGAACTGTACCGGTACTGGCGACCAAGCTAATACCAGGACACAACCTACGTGACGCACGGCAGCACACTTACGTGGAGATCGCAGCACGCTATGAGGCCAAGCGCAAAATGATCGCGGCGCGCAAGCCGCGGAGCTTTCATCCTCGCCACTGCCAACCGGCCTGCCTTCCTGTCGTATGATTGCACGTCGTGCTCCTTCTGTTCGAAGCTGTTCGACGAACTTCGAATTGGCAAAGGACAACTGTCCGTGGTCTTCCATCGCTGCAGTGTAAAAATCCAGCGGTACGCGCGCGTGCAGGACAACATCGCGTCTGCCACTCCCGGTTGTTGGAGAAATACAAGCTGTTCCGAGTTTACATCACCAGCTTGGCGAAAAATGGCAATGTACTTGTAATGAAGCCTTATGTTGTTGACAGTCTCGCTTTGCAGACAGACGTGCAAAGTTCGCAAACACCACTTTGAATATGCACATGTACAGTAAGGTAAGGTGCCAGCTGCGTGCCTACAACCAGTTCCGTGCCTACTTGTTTTAGCCAATTAGCATCTTCTCCTTGTTAAACTCTCGTAGTCTATTGGTAGATTTTTCCAGCGTCACATGCAATTTCCGGTGATGAGCCTCCTAGGATTTGCATAGCATACAAAAAAAAAATGCTATCAAAAAGAGGCAGGAAACTGGCAGCTCACTCCAAATCAACAAGCTTTTCAAAACAATAACAAGAAGTTCTGCAAAATTTACACGGACCAGCGTAAAGTACATAAAATCAGCCCAATCGCGCAGATTTAGCGGGTGCAATCAGATTTCAGAATGGACAATTCAATGAAAAGTTATGCCACAGCAAGTCCGCAAGTTCGAAAGACGGCACGAAACTGGCAGAAGACCTTATTATAGATTATTATAGAACTTCAGCTTGAACATCTCCGCTATGTCCAGCGGGGTTTCGGCTCTCAAAATGTCGCATTTAACCAGCTGCATTTTCAGTAGAGAGCTCGGGAGAGCTTGCTCGAATCTTTGCCATTCCACATTTCCCCTCCTCGAGCTCTCGCATCGCTCCGATACTGATGCAGCTATCACAGTACAGCATATTATGGACACTGGTGCTGTGGTGCACCGCCAACACTGCACTAGTTGCCACGAGAAATGACACAACAACGTACCCCACCAAGTCGGGTATCGGAATCTGGGTCGACCCCGACACACCCGACGACAAATACGTATACACCAGCTCTCGCGGCCGGCGATGGGACCTCGTCATGAGCGACGAGTTTAACGTGGCCAACCGCAGCTTCCGCGCCGGCGACGACCACATCTGGACTTCACTCGAAAAGCCTGACGGTGTCAACGGTGCTCTGGAGCTTTATTCACACAACATGACTGGCACCGATTGTGACGACGACGGAACGTGCTACTTCTACATCAAGACCATTGACGAGGTGAACGTCATCCGCGTGTACAACATGTACACGCACCCTCCGAGCTTCCAAGATGCCTATTTCTTCTACCGTGGCGCGATGGTGCAGTCGTGGAACAAGTTCTGCTACCAGGGAGGCATGCTCGAGGTGCGCGCGCAACTGCCAGGAGCTACGAGCGCGGACTCTGGTAACCCGGATGTTGCCAAGGGAAAGAATGGCAAGGTCGAGAACACCAAGTTCTACCCGACGTGGCCTGGAATCTGGATGCTCGGGAACCTCGGACGCGCTATCTTCTCCGCGTCCACGAACCGCATGTGGCCCTACTCGTACAACGAGTGCGACGCCGACGTCTTCGACCCGAGTTTCCAGCGTATCAGCGCCTGCGACGACAATCCTGGCTACGGATTGAACCCGAACCAAGGTCGCGGCGCTCCAGAGATCGATGTGCTTGAAGGTGCCGGCCTTACTATCTCGTCGTCGCTCCAGATCGCGCCTGGAATGCCTGACGACTACCGTCTATTCCCTGTGGACACGTCGACCGGAGACTTCAGCTTCTGTCTGTACCAGTACAACTGTAAGACCCCCGGCTCCAACTACATCGACGTCCCGACGGCGTACTACGAGAAGGAGCGTGGCCACAAGTCGTGGTACCAAGGTCTTCGCTACGGCTCGAACAACTACTGCTCGCCGAATGCCACAGCGAAGCAGAGCTACGACAAAGTATCATCATCTGTGAAGGCTGGAATCACCGACAACACCTGTACAGTGGAAACCTGTCCCGCTTCCGGCGACGTGAACGGCGACTTGAGCAAGATCGACGGCAAGGGGAGCGACCACTGGGGCATCAACTCGAACGGCACGTGCTACCCGCTCATGAACTCGTATATGGGCTCGTACCTGTGTGACCCGGACAACACCTTCTCCAAGTGCGCTAGTCCGCGCAATGAAAGTACGACGCCCAAGTCGGGCGCCATGAGCTCCTTCAACTACCAAATGGACGCCATTTCGTCCAACTGGCCCATTCACTTTGGCGCGTACACTGGCTACTACGACTATCAGGTGGAGTGGGTCACTGGAGAGAACGGATACGTGCGCTGGATGCTCCACGGCGAGCCTCTGTTCGAAGTCACGACCGAGTCGATCGTCAACGTACCGCAGAACGCCAACAAGACGAACTCCAAGAAGATCATGATCGAGGAGCCTCTGTACGTCATCTTCAACGTCGCGCTGTCGAGTTCGTGGGGCACCACGCCTCCGAACCCAGGCAAGGAATGCCGCGGCGACGGCAAAGACCCCGTGACCAACAAGATCTGCGACGCCTTCCCCATGTACATGAAGATCGACTACATTCGTCTGTACCAGGACTTGGGGGACGACCTCGAACCTGACAACTACATGTCCGTCGGCTGTGACCCGGCGAGTCACCCGACGAAAGAGTGGATCGAAGCCCACATCGACGAGTACGAAGACGACGACAACAAGTGGGAGGAAGTCGCGGGCAAGGCCTTCTGCGAGACAAGCGACGACTGCACTATTGGTGGCAGCCTCGGTCGAACAGCGTTGAAGACGGGCAAGTGTGTGAAGAAGCGCTGTGAGTGTATGTACCATTCGTGGGGAGGTCCTCGCTGCACCACCGCCATCTCTGGGTCGAGCTCAACCGAGACTGGAATGATGAGTCGGACGTACGGTCCGCCCATGGAAGTCTCGATTGGCCTTGCGGTGGCCGCCTTCGTTGTCTCCATTGGATCGGTGTACTTGTCGTCAGTCAAGGCTGCCAAGAAGACGAAGGTTGTGATGGCTGCAATGGCTGAAGACCGTAAAGGGGCTATTGCGAACGAGACCACCCCTTCGGTCGAAAGCGACCGCGGCTCACATCTTGCAGCTTTGTCCAAGGACAACTACCGCCAGAATTTTGTGTAGAAGTTGAAACTACAAGCACTGCCAAGCAAATTAATGTTATCGTTTATCCTTCAGCCAGCGAAAATCCCATGGTCAGAGTTTACGAGAGCTGACACAGTGAATTACCCAAGTCACGCGTTGCGTTGAACTCAGTCATACTTGCCCACTTGTGTTGATTCTACGAAGCAAACAAACACGATGCAGCCCTCCAAGTTCAAAGTACTGTAGTATTACCTTCGTTGCTTTTGCTACAAGTTGCAGAAGTTCCGTATGAATCTACAGTGTCTTCGGGAGAAGATAGCCGTCGAAGCTGTGCACATCCAGAGTAAGTTCTCTGCGTGAAGCTCACACCCTTTTTGGCGATGTTTGATCTCCATTGTTCCTGGCATGCTGACAGCAAAGATGCACAAATGAGTAACGAGATACTACAGGTAGTAAGATGCCGCGAGAACTAATGGGCACAGGCAACAAATAATAAAAGAAAGCAAATTAATTAATGCCACGCGCGAAAGCAAATAACAAAAATATCACCAGCAGCGTTTGCCGACAGGCGCCACACGCTTCATGCCAAGCATCACAGCGGTTGGTCGACGGGAAGGCCGAACTCTATCTATTCTCTATCGAGCTCTTCCCAGCGACACCCCTCCCACTTCAAATCGGCATCCAGCGAAATAACTTCCAAGTCGTGAATCAAACGCCACTCGTCCACTCTCACTAGCCCTCACGCTTGCAGCCTCTATAATTGCGGCGAGTCGCCAATAAAGCCCCGAAATCGTTGGAGCATTCTTCTTAACTCAACCAAAAAAGCCAAAGCGGTCGGGTGCGAACTTGGTCATATCCAGCTGTGGTCGAGACCCACTGATCTCGTCTGCAAGTAGTGCCCCCGCCCCGAACGATAGTGTCCACCCCTTGGAGCCGTGCCCCGCATTCACGTACAGGTTACGGATCTTGGTACGGCCGATTAGCGGCACGTCGTCTGCTGTCACCGGCCGCCAGCAAGTGTGCGGCTGCATCTTAGCCACGTCCAAGTATCCGTCCGGGAACATGAGCTTGGCTTGTGCAAGCAGCCAGTCGTAGCGTTTCTTCTGTTCGCGTGGAGAAACCTCGCCTGTCTTCTTCTGACTGACGAAGTCCACGCCACCCGAGACACGCAGCATCGACTTGCCCAAAGGTGCAATGAGTGCGTGTCCTCCCGCGTAAATGTTGTGGATAGGTGCACGGAAACCTTGAGCCACCGGAACCGAGAGCACGTACCCCTTCACGGGGTAAATCGCCAGCTTGACCCCTGCTCGTTTGGCCACTGGCGCCGTGGAGTTGCCCAGCGCCAGAACGAACTCGTCCCCCTCAATGAGCGACCCTCTCCTGGTCTGCAACGCAATCACCGACGTCTTGTCCGTCAAAATGTGCTGCACTTCAGTGTTAAACCGGAACATCACCCCTTGCCGCATGCACAGACGGTAAAGCGACTGGCACATCTTGTGCACGTCTCCGCTGGTGCCAAAGGCCGACAAAACTGCACCCGGCTCGTACATCTCGGACCGCAGAGCCGGCTCCAAGTTGCGGGCCTGCGTCGCATTGAGCGGCTGCAGGTCCATGCCCAGTTCGGACAGATGGGCGCTGCGGTCGCTCTCCAACGTCACCTCCAGCTCGCTGTGGTCCCGGAAGATCTCGATCGTGCCCTGCGCCGTCTGGTCCATGACGATCTCGCCCTTCTTGGTCTGCGCCTGCAGCTCGCGCAGCTTGAGCATGCTGTAGAAGCCCAGCTCGCGGATCGTGCGGCTGTGCTCGTTGGAGCGGCCCTTCTTCGAGTTGTGCCAGAACTGCAGCCCCCACTTCCAGAACTTGGTGTCCCGCAGCGCCGACATCTCGATCTTCATGGGCTTCTCCCGCAGCGGCCACTTCTTGGCCGCCGCGCCGCGTGACGGCCGCACGGACACCGTGACATCTGTGGACGAGCTGGACGCGGCTGCTGCTGGAGGACCCCCCTCCACGGTTACGCTGGTGCCATCTGCTGACGTTGTAGTAGTCGCAGTTGGTGCCGTTGTTGCGCTAGTCGCAGCACGTGTATTACTTCGCCGGCCCGAGCCAAGCCCTTTGCGCAGATTGGCCATGTCGGACCAGCTCGAGTAGAGCGCCGGATCCAGGAAGGCGCCGTTGCAGAAGCTGACCTGCGTGCCGACGCCGCGCTCCTTCTCGACGCAGAGCACCTCGTGGCCCTGCTTGGCCAGGTAGTAGCACGTCGTGAGGCCGATGATGCCGGCGCCGCACACGATGACGCGCTTGGTCTGGCGGCGCTGGTTGATGCCCGGGATGGGCTCCATTTTCATGTTCTCGGGCAGCAGCGGGATGCGCATGGGCGGCGGCCGCAGGTGGTCGATGGGCGGCAGCAGCTCGCCCTCCAGCGACGTCACGGGCGGCAGGTTGCGGTGCGCCACGCTCACCAGGTGGTCGCGCAGGTGCGGCGGCAGCTCCAGCGCCGCGCCGATGGCGTCCCCCACGGACGACGCGTCCGAGTAGCCCGACGAACTGATGGAGGCCAAGCGGTCCCGGCGCAGGCCCTTGCTCTCCCCGAGAGGCCGCCGGCTGGCCGCCGTCTCCAGGTCCATAACGGGGTGCAGCTCGTCCTCCATGGCGCTGTTGGAGCCCATTCGCGTCCTCGCTGTGCTCCTGTATGTCCTCGGTCGGGTTGCCTAGCGTCCGGCCCCTCCCTCTCTCACGCTCGCAGGCTGCCTCGCTCCGTCGGAGGCCTCAATTCCCCTTCCCGCTTCCTCTCGTCGCGCCGGGATTCAGTTGTGAAGGGGTCTCTGGTTGCGAGATATTCGAAAAAGAAGGATCGAGCGCGGGTTTCAGCCAATCCGCGGTTTTTCACTTATCCAGGGCCAATCAGAGCGCGCCACCGCGGACATAAATCAGGCTGAAGGTACTGCAGCAAGCTGCGAGGAGACAACATAGCCCGCTTCAAGCACTTGTCAAGAGTGGAGCCCGTGGCGCCAGTGCCGGAGCTGGCGCGACAGCACGACTGGGTGTAGGAGCGGCTCCGGCCAGCACCTGGCGGCCGGCACCAGCCTGCGCGTTCGGGCATCGAATCGAAAGTTGCGCACTGCAGCGTTGGCGGCCAGATGATGTCGATCGATCGATCGAGGTGTCGGCTTTACTTACTTACCCAACATCAGGCAGGAGGAGAGGGAGTCTTTGGGGCCGGAGCTGCAGTTGCGACACCCTGGCTGCTGTATCCCGGCGGGCAAGACGCCGGCCGACACCGACAGCTCCGGCATTTAACACGGCGCCGCGAAGGCTGCTCCGCGCTTGCGCTCCGGCCGCGCACAGCTCTGGCACCGGCCACTCCAAAACTACACTTGCGATCTCGACGCGTGGGACCTCGGCCACTGCTCTAAAGTCGCGCGTCGCGGGCTCTGCAAAGTGCCGGCACTGGTGCCTTTAGGCTATCGCCCCCCAGTGCAGGAATTTCGGGGATTTTTACGTAGATCGGGTCAAATTTGAAGTGTTTAGATAGACCTACCTACATGTATTGGCTGCGTTTCGGAGGAAGGCTAAAACTTGTCATTACAGGTATTATAGTACATATATATAATAATAGATAATAGTGCTATTACTGTGTTGCAGTGTTGCCATAAGCTGTCGTGTACTGTGCCTATGAGATATTTATTGTAAGTACATATATATATATTATATATATGGTGGATATTCCGTTTTCATGACCCGCGAGGTCGGACCTTCGTTTTCGTGCGCTCGTCGATGGTCTCCGCAAATTTTCGCACGCGTCCATCTCTGGAGCGATACATACACATACTAACTTCCATATGCCGGGGCTGCCGTTGAAGTGTTGACAAGCGCGCAGGGCACTGGCTTGTTTCGCTTGCTGCGCGCCGTCCAGATCGGCGACGCCATGACGGAAGTGTCGTGGTGCCGCTGACCGCTCCACAAATGTCAGGGGCGGCCTGCGGCAACAACCAGTCGATGGAACGGCACTGCAGACCGGCGGCGTTTGCTAATGAGACAGTTCACTGCGCGCTCGAATGACAATGTGAAAACATTGTTTCCAAGGAATCTTTTTCTTCTTGCGGTAATGTGACCAATGTTCCGATTCAGACCACAACAATGGCGATCTTAGTGCGGCGCCGGCCGTCTTCGCTTCGGCTCCCTACGAACGTGCATCTCCCTTCTGTACCTCGAGTTAGTCAAAACGTGTACTAAGTATTTCACAGTGTGCGTACACGTAAGTACATTTTTATCAGCCTAGTATGGTAGAATTGTATTCAGCTGGCTGCTTTCGTGGTTACTATTCAATCAGTACCGAAGCCGTGTCCTTCTCGGGTTAAGTGATGGCAAAAATCTCTACTAAGTATTTCCCCCGGATTTCGATTGAAAGGTTTTGACTAAAAGATGGAAAAACATGTTTGTTGTTGCCATTTCGCAACGGCCGTTGCTCCAGTCAACGCAGAGACATGGCTGCAGCCCGCATCAAGCGCGAACTCGCCGCAGTGGACTCGACCCGTGATCAAGAATCCCGTATCATTCCTGTCTGCTCAGCAACAAAGGACGAGTGGAAAGCGTACCTGGAGAGCGACGACCAAGAGCTCCGATGGTTCTGTGAGTGGATCAACGGTATGGTTTACATCGTGCAGCTATCGGGTGAAGAAGACGAGAGCTTTGCGGGTTATTTCGGCATCAAATTCTTTCAAGAACGCGACCACGCTAAGTACATGCGCTGATATGGCCACTATAACATCTCGGGCCATCCAGATCTACCCGACTACCAACCTGACGTCGGCTATGGACCTCTTAACAATGCATTGGGGACTGTCTTGCCACGTGGAATCCAATCCTACAAGTCGTGGTACACACTCGTGGTCGAAGTCGGGAAATCGCGTGGCTGGGGGGACGAGAAGGGGTTGCTCGACTGGAAGGCTCGGCAGTGGACCAGGTTCCCAGGAGTGCGGTACATCCTGTGCGTGGCAGTCACAGACCGTTTGCAAAGCGTCGAGTACAAACTGTACACGGTGGAGCGGGATTCTGAGTCGAATCGAGCGCGTTCACTACCCATTGTCGACCCGCTGCCTGTCGTTGGACCTCACACTGTGGTGACGTTTGACTCGCGCGAGCTGCTGGGCCTGCCGTCTGGAGCCAACGTTCCCCCAATTGATGGAGTGCAATTTCCGGTTCCGACCTACGGCGTCGACCTTTTTGGGATTCTCTCGCTCCTCAAAGATTATTTCGATTGAATCTATACAACAACGGAGGCTGGACGCGAGTTGGACGACACGACAGCAAATGCCTTATGCGTGGTTTCTCTATCCTTTGTTGCCAGGTAAGAAATAAAAGCCAACCAGCACACCCTTCCCTCACGATGCCAGCTTTTCTTCAATCAGTTGTTGCTTTAAATCGAAAAAAAAAGAGATAACATATTATTTTTATTCTCTTCACTTATCCTCTCCGGTCTCGATTGGTAAGCAAACCACTTCACGAACGGTCGAGCTATCAATACGATCAGTGACGACTTTTCACCAAACGCTTTACTCTGTGATGCCAACAGGAGAAGATGCGAACAAGACGACAGCGGTGGTTCCGGACGCGGCTGTTGACGTCGATGAAGAAACCCAACAACTCGATGATCTCCTGGAGGAGTTCTACGCGTTCATGTACGAGACGGCCGTGCTCGTAGGACCAACAGGATCGAGTCCGTCCAAGACGAAATCTCCGAGCAAAGCCAAGTCTGGCACTACTCTTGGCTCGCCGACCCGTGCTTCATCTCCATCGCACGAAATGTACAGGAAGCAAGTTGTCAGTGGACCATCAGCTGCAATTGTTCCAGCGTCAGCAAGTGGTGTTTCGACTCCAACAGCAGCTTTGACTCGGGAGGTGATGGATGCTTTGCTGCCGCCAAAGTAAGCGATGAGAGGAGTTGATTACTGTAGTTTGCCTCGCTTTTCTAACGAAGTTGTGGCTTAGAACGTGGCAAGATTGTCAAGGGAAATGGCAGCGTATGGTGAGTTTGCTGCCTGCTACGCGGAAAGACACCCAAAGGCTTCAAGAAACCTTTGACCAGCTTCTGGAGCAATACCAAGCTCGAGTGCATGCGATCTGCCCCGTGCGAGAAAAGTTTTTCTTGCACATTTTCGGTACGTCGGTACATTCAGAGGGGGGAATCGATGGCGTCTCGTTGATAAAAGGTTTGTTTGAGCAGAAGAATTGATACGAGAAGTTGCATGCGAGTGCCCAGAGAGAGGATTGATGCTTTTACGGGTGCGGGATGAACTCCGACTAACCATTGAGGCACACCAGACGCTGTATCACAACAGTATAGCTTACGGAAGGCAAAAGGCTGTGCAAGCAGAGGCAGGTGTCGGGGAGCTCGATAATGAAATCTCTCGACTTCAAGCCGAGCGAGAAGTGCTTCTAGCCAAAAAGAAGGAACTTGTGCAAAAAGTCACGGTGAGTGTATATGTACATGTGGTTTGTGATACTTACAAACTGGAGTTGCTGATGTTCTTGACTCCTGCAGTTTTTGGAAGAACAGAACGGTGAAGAGGAGATAAAACGCCAGTTGCGTCATGCCCACACGGTGCAGTTTTTGCAGACACAGCTTCAAGAGCTAGAGGTCTTCCATCGGGAGATGACACAAGATGCAACGTGGAAATAGATCCCTTTCCGCATCTGTGTACAACTAACGTGACCAAATCGGTTTGTGCTACCCGCTCATGTTCTGGTAGTCTGTGAGTCGCTTTGCGTGTTGAGTGTTTGCAGCTTGGATCCAAAAATTGGGAGCAAGATCGGATCTACAGGCGCGCGCATTGGCGGCTGCGAGGCATTGGAGGTGTAAGGCCACAACTCTGACCCATAGCTAGGATTCGTTTTTCTTTTTTTTACTACGTAGTTGCGGGTATCTTCTGCACCTACCGGTATTACGTTTAAAATATACTTAGTAAGCAACAGTGAAAGCTATATTGTGAGCTCTCCAAATCTTCCCGGTGAAATGCTTGGGGTCTAGTCCATGGACTTGGCAATCTCGGTCGCAAACAACGGCTAATATTAAGATACACCATACGTGTGTCACCAACATGAACCTGACTGAATTTAGCAGCTTCGGGCCACGACAACTCAGATGTTGACATCTGAGTTCCAGATCAATGTCGATACGGCCATTCGATATCTCTTTTGTAGTACATAACATGCGATTAGGCGCCAGTTGAAGTGGATATGCCCGGCTGAGCCTGCAGCGAGAAAATTGTACAAAACTTACTTCGATCTTTTGAGTACCACCGCTAGTTTCCGAGCCGCTGCAATTGAAAAAGTAAACTGTCATGCTGCTCAATAAAAAAGGTGAAAAAGGTGAAAGGGGTATTTGCTACCAAACGGTTTCCACACATGTCATTCGGTTAACTCATCTTGGATTGCGCGACTTGCCATACAAGCCGACATCTTCGATGTCGCTACCCAGCGTGCCCAGCTGGTACTAATGTCCTGTATAAATTATTATCGCCCGCGCCTGCTTCACAGCCGCAGCATCGCTCCAGGTCAATGTCGATGCGGTCGTTCGATACAGTTCTTTGAGTTTCTGCGATTTATTTGGAAAGCACGGGCAAAAGTGAGAGAAGGGGTGAGGATTTATTCTTAGCGCGTACGTGTAAAGTTTACTTTATGCATAGTAATACTTCGAAGTACTTACTTAGCCTGCAATCGTGGCAAAAAATTATCTTCTTTTACCACAACAATGAGCTCGTGTATTGTTTTAAGATTCGTCAATTTTCTGATGCATTATTCATGTTCATGATGTGTGAATCAGAGAGGAAGGTGAACGCAACTGTTGTGATAAAGTTCAGGATAGGCATCGGTTCATGATGGTAAGCTGCTAACACACCCAGCGCATACATAGACCTCTTGGCTTAGTTTGAGCTCTCAGTTTACAATTTGCCTTCCAGCGATCAAGCTTCCCAACACCCAGCTCTCTCATCGATTCCAATTCAAGATGCGGCTAAGCTACGTACTCCTGGTGGTTGCTACCACGCTCCTTGCAAGCAGTAGCGCTACAACTGCTGCTCAACCCACGCCAGTGAAGCTGGAGAGCGACGATGTGCTACCTTCGAACTATGCTGAAACAGGTGCCAACACCGGCAAAAGGTTTCTGCGGGGCTATGAGACGGTGGCCGGAGAGAAGGACTCTATCGACGATGAAGAAGAGAGATTCGCGGACGTGCTGAAGATACTCGGGTTCAAAAGCGATTTCGCGAGCCGATACCTGAAGAACATGATGAAAAACAAAGACTTCGAGCTGAAGATGTATGGGCGGTGGCACCAGAATAAGCGCAGCGTGGAAGAGGTCACGACTAGACTAAACAAGAAAAACCCGCGCTACCAAAAGCTGGTCAGGGGTTACAAGGAGTACGAAAAGAAGGGCAAGGGAAAGGTGAAGATCGACTAAACTCTTAGTCTCGGACTTGCAGCATTAGCATTCTAAGCAGTCTCTAGGGGAGGCGTGCAGCTTTGCAATCCATCGCACGGTTCTTCTGTGTACTCGCTTTCATCTTCTTCATTGCATCCAGGGGTTGTTGCTTTGAGAGGGAAGGGGTAAGAAAACAACTCAAATCCTTATCGGAAACTAGCCTTTGTGTATCAATTCGAACAGCAACGACTTTTCGCCAAACACTATACTCTGTGATGCCAACCGAAGAAGATGTAAACAAGAGAGCTAGAGGTTTTCATCGGGAGATGACACAAGATGCAACGTCCCCCCCGTGCTGCGACTTCCCGTTTAATCCGTTCGGAGGATTTAATAATTCAAACTCCAGCAGTACAGAACGCAGATCTAACCCCGGATTCAGGACATTGGAACTGGCTGCGTCGTGGAGCAGCTATCCTTTTATTGCAACAATGGAGAGCATTTCAACGACGAGTTCAACAAGATAAGTGGTAGGATTGAAAGTGCGAGTATTAATACATGTAGATTATTGAACCTACTTAGAAGTAGATTAGGCCATCACACGAAGCGAGTCCCCGCCTACGATTTGGCAGCCCGTGTACGAAGCATGCGGATGCAAACCCAGGACCCTAGCAAGCGGAGGCGACGCGTGCGAGCCGAAATGGGCTTTGAGCGAACGTAGCCAGCCTTAAGAGCAGGCCTCTTTAATTGGGGGGAAATCCTGCATTTCCCCCAATTAACGTAATAGGGGACGAAATGAGGATTTAAAATGGGTATGGTGGGGGACAATAGTGAAAGTAAGATACGTATCTAAGGGATTGGCATAGCCGGTGCAAATTCGGTTTCAACCTACGATATTCGAAGTGCTACGGTTCATCCGCACACGAATTAGCTAGAAACGAATGTCAGCGAAAGAATTATACATCATCAATCGTGATAAAAAAATTAAACTAGCTCAGGATCTTTGCTTAGTCGGTAGGGCTTACGTATTTATATTGGTGGTGGTATCTTTTGCTTTACTTGAAGTATGTAAGTTATTAACATAGTCTAGGATGAGAACTTACTGCTCCCAAACTTGCATTCTCCTGTAGCATCGCCTACCGACCAACAGCATCTTCCACTTCGCGGTTCGCTCACGGTCAGTTTTGAGCTTGCTACTTGTAGATACCACAGATTACGGAAATTTGACAATATTTGTGATTAGTTGGGATGGTTTGGGGGTCGATCCATTGCCAGAGAGGCAAGAAACACGCCTTGACCTTGTTTGTTTGAGGTCTGAACGAGTTCGATGCTTATTGAGCCACATAACAATGGGATATCTATCTGAAATAGCTAGCCGATATGTATTCACGCCAGAACCATACTATTTTTGTGGGGGATGGGAACAGGTCTTAATTGGGGTATGGTGGGGGAAATGGGGACCATTTCCCCCAATTAGAGAGGCCTGCTTAAGAGTCAATTCTGTTACGAAGCGCAGGCTGGTGCGTACAACGCCAAGTCGCAGGCAAGAGTGATGGTGGTGAAGCTTGAAGAACAACAATACGGTAGGAACAGAGCAGTAGCCACAGTTTGTCTTTTGTATTGATTGGAAGGAGAGCAGACTCGGAGGAATCGTAGTCGCGTCGAGGTGGAAGCCGCAGTAACAAGAATTGGTTTGCTTCTAACTGCTGCCGGCGTGCCACTGCCGGACAGTCTAACAAATTCATCGTTCCCAAACTACACTAATGTACTAATGAATAGATTAACAATAATACACCTGTAATGGCTTCAAAAATACGTCCTATCCACTTGCAATGCAATCGGCGATTGCGTATTAATACTAGTACATGTAACGAGTTAATATTGTAGTGTCCCATACGTGTACCTGTGGATAGACCAAGCCGTGGCGTCGAATGTGTAGCCCCGACAATATTTGGCTCGAACGAATATCTGACAAAGCCGACAGGAAATTCATATCGCCTTTGTCAGAGATTCGCTCAAGCAATGTAAACATTTGGATCTACAGTACATGTATTGTGCTTTGCATCCAGTTTGCCCTCCTATTTAGTGCACTACTTAGTGCTCGTGCTTAGAAGTAAATCATAGTACCATTGAGTGCGAGTTGCTCAAGTCGTGCTCCGAGCCCGATTTGGCTCCGAAATGGCACTGCCAAAAGGATGCTAATCCATGCTGGATGTGCTAAATCATGCAGGAGATGGCGTTTGTGCACTACTTAGTGCTCATTGACCATCCACGACTTACAGCATTTCGTACTCGAGTACGATTTATAGAGAAGTCGTGTTCGATAAGTCGTAAGAGTTACAGCCCGAAGTGCCAAAAAGTATGCAAAGCACAATATAAATTTTGTAGATACAAATGTTTTAATTAATGAATCAGCCGAAGATGGAGCCACCTTTCAGCGGCAGCGATCAGTTACTGCTGGAAAACACTACTGTGTTGTGAGGATTCATTTTTTTGCGCGTTTTAGGGAAGTCTTGAGCACTTATGAAGCATAGCGCTACTACGGAGTAATATTTAGTCCGCAATTGTGGCAAAATAATACTAACGTAAATACACTTCTTTTGCACCGGTAATGTGGTCGTGCATTATTCTTACAAATTCAACAACGTTCTGATTCGTTCTTCTTGTTAACAGCTTTGCGCAAGCGAGCGCTGGGTGCGAGCTGGCGGATGCAAGATGAGAAGACACTTGGGAAAACACTTGAGCGGTAGGATGCAGATTGCAAAGTATTATATTTCATACTGGGATAGGAAGCGACGAAGTGCTGATAGCCCTGCCCAAACAGGATCAATTCGGGCGATGCCCCCCCCCCGCCAATCGACACCGGTGATGAACCGGTAACGTCTTTAGGTCAATTTACAGTAAGTGATGTCTATTGACCGAGTGTTTTAGACTTCTCAAGAATGATGGAGGCTGGTCCAGTTCATTTGCAAATTCGTCGAGTTAGATTCGTCATTGATTTTGCTCTGAAATCGTTTGTACGTCGTGACCATAGTGGCGATACATTGTCGGGCAGATTCTGCGGCTGCGAAGCAGACGCAGGAGATGCCCGTGGAGCGTGCGGATTGAGTTTATCAATGGCGATCAAAGGTGAGTTAACCAATCCTATCCCAGCCTACGCGAAGCCCTAGTTTCACACACGCTCACTACCGTGGCACGGAGGAGGAACGCATAAGCCTAAAAACCCCTTTGGCCCTTACGGGTCGATCCCAATCTATCGTACAGACAGATGGGCCTTGACAAAGAACTTGAGTTCCTTTCACTCGGATTTCTGGAAGAGAATCCTCACGGAACTCATGTTCCTTTGTCCCATCGACATCATCACCATGGTGATCTTCCGTCGACGATCAGTGCGGGAGTTCGAGCTTAGTGCACCAGCAGGTGTTGCCCTTCTAGAGCACCTCACCTCCGCTGCGTGTTCCACTGCTCGATGTTCGTGACCTTGATCACTTCCGACATGCACTTCTGGCAGTCGCTCCCTTAGACTTAGGTAGGATATAGGTAGGCTACCAGGGATACGGCACAATATCTGCACGCAGGACGATACTTGTACACCCGTTCAAGCTAAGTTTGAGCTCTCAGTTCGAAATTTGCCCTCCTCGTTCAGGATGCGTCTAAGCTACGTCCTCGTGGCGATTGCCACCACGCTCCTGGCAACCTGCAACGCTGGGATTGCCGAGCAGTCCAAGCTCGCGAGTGCTCCTACGAGCCATGGTAACATCAGCAACAGATTCCTGCGGAGCCACGAGACGATGGAAGAGAAAGAGGAGGACCCTGCCGACGATGAAGAGAGATTCCTGAAAATACCGAAGTTGGCCAGATTCAAAGGTGACTTCGCCCCCAACAAATTGAAAAGGATGCTGAAGGACGAAGACTTCAAACTCAGGATGTGGGAAAAAAGTTACCAGAATAAGCGAAGCGTGGAGATCGTCACGAAAAACCTGCCCGAAAAGTCTAAAGAGGACCCGCGCTACCAGAGTCTGGTCGCCGGTTGCGACGGGTACCGCGGGCTGCACCGGCCGCCGAAGTCACTACTGAAAATCGACTAAGTCTAAGGGCCGCCAGTCTTCACATGACGGTTTGGGACCCTATTGCAGATAGCGACGTAAAGCTAGCAATCCAATGTGCAACCTCTTTGGTACTCATAGTCTTCTATACGATGTCTTGCACTCTGTGGAGAGAAGCTTGAGTCTTGACTAGGAACTTGTGCACTAGCAGGAAAAATGAAGACTGATCATTATGAAAGCGCAAGCAGCGCTGAGTTAGAGCTGGCTACGGTTAGTTGTAGCTAAAGATGTAGTTATTCTTGTGCAGATGAGTTTCGAGGCGTAGCGTGTGCGATGCCTCGAGTTGGTTTCTTGTCGGGCTGGGATTGTTCTGAGTGGCTTCTTGTCTGCGATTGAGCGGGCACGAGTTATACTCGTGACATACGAGTACTGTCGACCACCTGTAGTTCAGAAGCTTGAGGGCTAACTCTTTAAATCAAGATACTGCAATGCTATTCTTTTCGTTCTCGCACGATGAACACTACGTAGCAAGCCGAGCCCGAAGCAGAAAGATGCTATAGTAGTCGGTAGGTCATTCTGTTGAACGCTGCGCTCAATCGGAATCACAAAGCATTTCAACTCACCCGCTAAACTTTGGTGGAGATATCAGAAGCGCATTATTAGGCAATCATCCCTAGTGCAGGGGCCAAACGGCCTCCCCTTTAGTAGCGGTGGCAGGTTTAGCTGTAGCACGCGTCTTCGCTATGACAAGAGCGTCCTCCGCTTCTAGCGCATGGTACGGGTCAGGACACTCGCCCCCTTCCCAGTTAGCAAGCGAACGTGCCGACAAGCTAACCACGAAACGGTCCAAGAATGCCTGCTCGCTGGCTGCACGCAGGTCCGTCAACGTGGCTGGTGCTTGCTCCAGCATAAAGCCAACCGACTTCCGCGTAACCTTGAGCACGACTGCAACGAGATAAAAAAAATCAATTCAAAATCCAACATGGCGACGAATCAAAACACAGTACCTCCAAACTCCATGTAGGTCGCGTTGAGCCGATGCCAGATCGCGTCCATTTTGATAAAAGCTGCGCACCAACGACAATAAGTCAGCAACCGCCCTTCCACTACAGCAACTCACCACCAAAACCCCGCACTCACCCAGGAAAAAGAGCTCGTAGAAGGCGGCCGGCTCTTCGAAAAGCTGCCAGAACGTCTCCTTCCTCTCGGCAAAGCGTCCGTCTCCGAGCTGCAACAGTCCCGCCAGCAAGCACGTCAAGTTGATGCCAGCAACGCACACGGGGTACCACCTCTTCTTGTGTTTGCCGTCCATGGAGTCGGGCATCTGGTCCATCTGAATAGCTCTCATCTCGGTCGGGTGGGCTTCAAAGGCGTACAGCAGGCACTTCATCGCGAGCACTCCTCCGCCTCTAAAGTCCGTCTCGGGCGACGCGTTCTGAAAGCCCAGCGCGACCCAATTCACGTCGTTCCGCTCGAAAACCTGCCCTTCATCCTTATCCGTCACGGCCCGCCACAGTCTCTCGAGCGAGGTCTCGAACCACTCGTCCCCGGTCTGCACCTTGTGGTGGAGATCCCTCTGCAGCTCCGTGAGCTCTCGCAAGGTCTGCAGCGACGGCAGCGCCGCCTTGTCCTCCACGGCCGAGTTGGCCCTGGAGCGGCGGCCCTGCCACGACTGCTTGACCGACTGCAGCTTGCTGGTGGCCGCCAGCAGCAGGTCCTCGGCCGTGGGCTCGCGCTTCTGCGAGAAGCTCACGGTGGCGGGCGTGGCCGGCACGCGCAGCCGGCGCAGCGTGCGCCCGAGCCTGGAGCCGGAGTTGGTGTAGTTATTATTATTGTTAATGGGGGAGGAGGGGGGCGCCTGCGTGCCGTCGTCGTCGTCTAGGGCGACGCATAAAGTGCCGCACATCTCGCACTCGGCGAGCTGCGGGTGGTTCAGGAACGTGCAGACGCGGCAGCTCCAGGCGTCGGCGTCGGAGGGTGGAGCGGCGGAGGCATCTGCAGCGGCGGGGGGCGCGCTGTGCTGCGCCAGAAGCTCCTGCTGGATGTCGGGGGGAAGCGCCGCGAAGACGCTCGGGTCGATGGCGGAGTCCATGCTGTCTTGAAGTGAAGTGGCGGATGTGAAGGAGGCCTTGTTTTTGGTCCGAACGTATTTTATTTTTGCCTTGTGACAAAAAAGGTTGAGGTGCATGCAAAGCTTTATGTCAGGTACTGTATCGAATGGCTACTTTTTCGCTGGTCGAGCTTTAGTTGCCGTGGTTGAAGTTGTCTTGGCTTTTGTTGGGCTACTGCGCGTTGGACTGACAGGGGCTTTGGCCTTGACTGCGGACGACTTGCTGCCGGTTTTGGACGGACTGACGGCTCGTTTTGGGGACGTGGAGGTAGTGGACTTGGCGGGACTGGCCGGGGCTGGCGTCTGCGGCTTCTGCGGCTTGCGACTCTCTTGCTCGAGGTGCACGAGCATGTGGACTTCCTCGGCCCACATGGCGAGCATCTCGTTGGTGCGGCGAGTGGCTTCATCCCATTGCACGACCGGCGCCAATTTGCGGCGCTTCTGCTGCTCCAGAACCTGCAGAATGGCGTTCACACGCTCAGCGGGGAACGCTGCGGGACCCACCGGCTGCAGAATGCCACCCAAGCCTTGCAGCATCGAGGCTGCAGTCAGCACCTTCTTGACGGCTTTGGTCACTTCGGAGGTCTTCGGCTTCAGTTGAGAGGAGCTTGAGCCAGGCTTTATCGGTTTTGACGGTACGCTTGGGGACTTGGGCTTTGACGGCGATGAAGGTATCGAGCTGGTTGGTTTCTTTGAACTCACGGCTGCGGGACGAGTGGGGCTGGCTGCTCGAGTCTTCGCTGCTGCAGTTGGTGCTGTAGTTCGACCTACCGGTTTAGCTGGAGACTTTGACGCAGCAGCGGGTTTGGTCGGCGAAGCTTTGCCTCGAGCAGCGGGGCTTGGAGTAGGGGCTTTTCCTCGTGTACTGCTGCTCGTTGTGGCGGGTTTTGACGTGACTGCAGGAGTTTTAGGCTTTACCACTGGGGAAGCAGAGGTCGAAGGAACAGCCTTTGCTGCAGAGGTGACGGCTGGGATGGCTGCTGCAGTGGGAGGGGGTTGGACGCCGCCGCCAATCTCGAGGTTGATCACGCTGTCGACCGGCAACCCCATTGCAGTGAGCAAGTTCACGTCACGGCTTGTAAACGGCCAGTTGTACATGACGAAGCCACGTTTGCCCTGCGCTGCCATCAAGTCAAAGACGTGCTTTTTGAGTGGCTCGGCGTAGGCTTCAAGAGTAGGAGGCGGTTTTGGTACAGGAGTAGCTGGAACGGTGGGTAGAGCTGGCGTTTGGGGGGATACTTTAGTTGGTGGAGTAGCCACTACAGCGCTTGTATCACTTCGTCCGTCGGTTCCCTGGCCTTCGCTCTGCTGCGATTGTTGCTGCTGTTCGAGTAGCAACTGGAGTTGTCGTTGCTCCTCTTCCCGAGCTGCTTGTGCCTGATTCTCTTCATCATGCTGAAGCTGAGCCAGCGTTTGTTTCAAGTCGATAGGCAGGTATTTCAGCTTCTCGCCCATTATCCGTGCACACTCAGCGCCGTCCGTTGGCTTGGCGCCTTCCACTAGTAGAACGCCTCGTATTACTTCATCGATATCGTGATCAGTACGTCGTTGAATGACTCGAGGTTGGGTAGCATCTACTTCCTCACTCTCGGGCTCCTGTTGATTGTCAGCTCCGCGGAGAGACCACGACGAGATTGACTCATTTTCAGATACGCTAACGACTGGAGTTAAAATTTGGTGCAGTATACGAAGAGCTTCCTTGCTCAGTGTCTGCTTGGGTGACTTTGTGTCCCTCACAACTGCATCGCGTAGCAGTCTGACAAGCGTAGCCACCGTTTGGCGTAGTGCCACGGCCTGATCTCGGAAGAATGATCCATTGACACCCCCTCCAGCCTGTTGCAGCTTCCTCATGCGAGCTTTACAGACCCGAAGTTGTCGCTTGTAGCAGTACGCGTCCTTCTGTGCGTCCCCACGCTGCTGCTTCAGCTGCGAAATCTGCGCCTCGAGCTCTTTTCGCTTCTGAGCCGCAGCCTCCAGATCGTCGTGCGCCTGCTGGAGTCTCCTCTTCATCTCGTCATTGTCGCGCATTTGCTGCCACAGCGTATTCTTCATGAGCTGCTCGAAGTAGCAATCGTGCGCGCTCATGGAGACGAAGATGTCCTGAGTCGTCTCGCTCTCGGCCTTCATCCGAGTGGCGTCTTCCAGCAGCGCGTCGTGGCGTTTCCTCAAGTTCGTGAAGCCCTCGACGAAGAAATCCAACTGAGCGCGCGAGTGCAGCATCTCGGCGCGCATTTCGTCGTGCTGCTCTTTGAGAACATTCGCCTGTCGAACCAGGAAAGCCCTCGCTGACTGCTCTTTAGCTCTCAAGATCGTCAGCTCCATCAAGAATTGCTTCAACTTCTCAAAGCTCGGAGCGCCCGTGTGCACCAGGCGCTCGGCCTTCTTGAACGACGTCTCCAGCACTTCCAGCTCGGCTAATTGCTGCTTGATCTCGTCGTCGAGGTGGTGGTCCTTCACAGCCTCGGATCTCGACTTCTGGTTGTCGGTAGGCGGTGAGGAGATCGCTGGGAGGAAGGTGTTGTTGAATCTGGGCTTCTTGCTGGCGAGGATTCCGTTCTTGTGCTGTTGCAGGTCTGCGGACCGCAACCAGGCGAGGAAGACACCGAGGGAGGTGTCTTGGTCCAGACAGACCAACCCGGTCAGTACTCGCTCAATGTCACCGCGGTCTTCGCATCCTCGGAGGTCGATTCGGAGCGTCTCGGCCAGCAGACGCAGTTGAGCTGCCGGTAGTGCCTGCACCGATTCCTGCACGAAAGGTTTGATCCCCAACATGCCATGGAAGGAGCGACTAACTACAAGACAACGGACGCTTTGAATGGCGAAACGGCCTTGGGGATATTTATTCAGACTTGGTAGACTACATGCGGCTTAGGACACGTGCGAGACGTAGCTGTTCGTGTCGGGGACTCGGGCTTCCGGGTTGCTCTTGGTCATCATCATACTGGCCTTGATGGCCGCCTCGTTCCTCTTGGCCGCCGACTCCATGCCTCTCCACACGGAAATGGACGTGAGGAAGGCGACGAGGGCGGCGAGGCCAACCGCCAACATGATCGGCGGTCCGTACACACGCGTCGACGACTTGGACGACGTGGACTCGGCCTGGGCCACGGTGCAGCGAGGGCCGCCCCATGACTTCGGGTAGGAGCACTCGCAGCGCTGGTTGACGCACGTGCCGGTCACCAAGTCGGTCTTGCCGAAGCTGCCGCCGATGCTGCAGTCGTTGTCGGTCTCGCAGAAGGCCTTGCCCACGACCTCCGTCACGAGGTTGTCGTTGTCTTGGTACTCGTCGATGTGGCCCAGAATCCACTCCTTGGTCGGGTGGCTGGCCGGGTCGCAGCCGACCTGCATGTAGTTGTCGGCCTCGAGATCGTCACCCAAGTCCTGGTACAGCCGGATGTAGTCGATCTTCATAAACATGGGGAACTCGTCGCAGATCTTGTTGACCTTCTCGTTCGAGCCATCGCCGCGGCACTCACCACCAGCATTAGGAGGCCTCGTACCCCAGGAGCTAGACAGAGCAACGTTAAAGATGAGCGACATGGGCTCCTCCAACATGACCTTCTCGGGGTTGCTGTTGTTGGCGTTCTGCGGGACGTTGGAGAACGCGTCGGTCGTGACCTCAAACAACGGGCTACTGTCGAGCATCCAGCGCACGTAGCCGTTCTCGCCGGTGACCCACTCGAGCTGGTAGGTCAGATAATCTGTGTAGGCTCCGAGGTGCACGGGCCAGTTAGACGAAATAGCGTCCATCTGATAGTTGAACGGGTCCATGGCGTACGATCGGGGCGTCGACGAGTTACGCGGGCTAGCACAACGTCCGTCCGAGTTGTCGGGGTCACACAGGTACGAGCCCATGTACGAGTTCATGATGGGGAAGCACGTGCCGTTCGAGTTGATGCCCCAGTGGTTCTTGCCCGTACCGTCGATAATACTCAAGTCTCCATTGACGTCCAGCGACGCGGGACACGTCGACGTTGTGCACGAGTTCTGCGTAATTCCACGGGCCACCGACGAGTTGATGGTCGTGAAGCTCTGCACCTTGCTGCTCTTCTTGGAGCAGTAGTTGTTGGCCGCGTACCGAAGTCCCTGGTACCAAGACTTGTGTCCACGCTCCTTCTCGTAGTACGATGTAGGGACATCGATCAAATTTGCACCTTGCGTCTTGCAGTCGTACGTGTACACACAGTACGGGTTGGTGAGGTCAGCTCCCTTGGCGTCCGCAGGGAAGAGCCGGAAGTCGCTGGGCATTCCAGGCGCGATCTGCAGTGATGACGAGATGGCCAAGCCGCCGCCTTCCAGTAGATCGATCTCCGGCGCTCCACGGCCTTGGTTCGGGTTCAGGCCGTAGCCCGGGTCGTCGTCACACGCGCTGATGCGCTGGTTGACGGGGTCGAAGATGTCGGGCTCGCACTTGTTGTAGGAGAAGGGCCACATGCGGTTCGTGGACGCGGAGAAAATGGCTCGGCCGAGGTTCCCCATCATCCAGATACCGGGCCACGTGGGGTAGTACGTGGTGTCGGTCACCTGGCCGGACTTGCCCAGCGCCAGATCCGGATTGTTCGACGCCTTGGACACGGCGCCCGGCAGCTGAGCACGCACCTCGAGCATGCCTCCCTGGAAGCAGAACTTGTTCCAGGACTGCACCATGGCGGCCCGGTAGTAGAAGGACGCGTTCTGGTACCCAGGCGGGTGCTTGTACATGTTGTAGACCGAGATGGTCACGTTGTCCGTGTCCGTCTCGATGTAGAAGTAGCACGTGCCGTCGTTGTCGCACTTGGTACTCGTCATATTGTGCGCGTAGACCTCCAGCGCGCCGTTGACGCCGTCGGGCTTCTCCAGCGACGTCCACATGTGGTCGTCGCCCGGCCGGAAGCTGCGGTTCGCCACGTTAAACTCGTCGCTCATGACGAGCTCCCATTGCCGGCCGCGCGAGCTCAAGTAGATCTGCCGGTCCGCGGGCGTCTCCGGGTCCACCCACGTCCTGATGCCCGACTTGGTCGGGTACTCGGTCGAGCTGTTCCTGCCGGCCACGAGGCTGGAGGCCAAGGTCGCCGTCCACGCGAGCACCGACACCGTCCTCATAATTGTCGGAACTTGTCGGAGTGTCGGAACTGTCAACTGTCACCCCCGCCGGCCAATCTGAAAGTGCAGTCTCTCTGTATGCCGCCGTTGTGGGTTGTCTCTCTGTCAGAGTCTCTGACATCCGCTGGCGAATTGTCAGTCGACATCTGCCGCGCACGCAGGTGCGGTATCGTGTGGTTGGGTAGAGGGACTTGCATAGGACCGTGGGAGAGCTGGGATCTCTCTCACACACACACCTGCTCTCTATTTTGCCGTTCGACCGCCGGCGACTGACCGGTGACGAAAAAATTGTTGACGGCCGATCACCAAGAGCAGACGGGTAAAACGTTTTCGACACGAAAATCCGACAACACGATTCCAGTCGAACATAAAAAATCTACAAGTCTACCGACAACGTCAACTGGTCTAACATGAATCACATCCAGGATCTTTAAACGAAGTTCTGCTTGTAGTTGTCCTTTGGCTGGCTGATGACGCTGGCGTTGCCGTCAAAGTCTCCTCCAGTAGAAAGCTGCGTGGCCGACTTGGCGTCTCGCTGTCGGGCCTCGCGCTCGGCGTCCTTGGCCTTCATCATCTTCTGCGTCTCCTTGGCCGTCACGAGCGACGCGAGCCACACGGAGCCGATGGAGATCAGGATGGCGATGCTGCCGACACCCATGGACAGCCCCATGGGCGGGCCGTACACGCGCTTCGACAGGCTGCTGGACTTCTCCGACGTGTCGGACTGGGCCTCCGTGCAGCGCGGGCCGCTCCACGACGTGGACGAGCACACGCAGCGGTTCTTGACGCAGCTCCCCGTCTTGAGACTTGTGGTGCCCACTTCGCCGCCAATAGTGCAGTCGTCGTTGGTCTTGCAGAACGCCTTGCCGTGCACGGTCTTGACCGGGTTGTCGTCGTCCGAGTACTCGTCGATGTGGCCCTCGATCCACTCCTTGGTAGGGTGGCTGGCCGGGTCGCAGCCGACGGCCATGTAGTTGTCGGCCTCGAGGTCGTCGCCCAGGTCCTGGTACAGTCGGATGTAGTCGATCTTCATGTACATTGGGAACTCGTCACAGATGCGGTTCGTCTCGTCGTTCGTGCCGTCGCCGTGGCACTCGCTGCCGGCGTTGGGCGGCGTGGCGCCCCAGGAGCTGGAGAGCGCGACGTTCAGGATCAGCGACATGGGCTCCTCCAGCATGACCTTGACCGGGTTCGTCTTGTTGAAGTTCTGCGGGACGTTCGAGAACGCGTCCGTGGTCACCTCGAAGATCGGGTTGCCGTCCAGCATCCAGCGCACGTAGCCGTTCTCGCCCGTGACCCACTCCATTTGATACACCAAATAGTCGGTGTAGGCTCCGAGATGCACGGGCCAATTCGACGAGATGGCGTCCATCTGATAGTTAAACGGGCTCATGGTGTTGGACTTGGGCGTAGTGGGGTTGCGTGGCTTAGTGCAGAGCGTGTTGGTGTTGTCCGGGTCGCACAGGTAGGCCCCCATGTACGAGTTCATGATGGGGTAGCACGTGCCGTTAGTGTTGATCCCCCAGTGGTTCTCCCCCTTCCCGTCGATGAGGTCCAAGTCTCCGTTGACATCCAGCGACGCCGGACACGTATCCGTCGTGCACGTGTTGTCCTTGATACCGGCAGCCACGGACTTGTTCACGGTTAAAAAGTCCTGCTTCGCGCTGCCATCCGGCTTGCAGTTGTTGTTCGAAGCGTAGCGGAGACCTTGGTACCAGGATTTGTGTCCACGCACCTGCTCGAAGTACGCCGTGGGCACGTCAATGACATTGGCACCTTTCGTCTTACAGTCGTACCTATAGACGCAGTACGGGTTGGTGGCGTCAGCGCCTGCGGCGTCTGCAGGGAAGAGTCGGAAGGCCATAGGCATTCCCGGCGCAATCTGGAGCGAAGATGAGATGGCCAGGCCGCCACCTTCCAGTAGATCGATTTCCGGGGCTCCACGGCCTTGATTCGGGTTCATGCCGTATCCAGGATCATCGTCACATGCACTGATGCGCTGGTTGTCGGGGTTAAACACGTCAGGCTCGCACTTGTTGTAGGAGAACGGCCACATGCGGTTCGTGGATGCAGAGAAGATTGCTCTACCAAGATTCCCCATCATCCAGATTCCGGGCCACGTCGGGTAGTACGCTTTGGACGCCACTTTGCCAGACTTGCCAAGCGCTAGATCAGGGTTGCCGGACTTGTCGGAGACTGCACCTGGAAGCTGTGCGCGCACCTCGAGCATGCCGCCCTGGAAACAGAACTTGTTCCAGGACTGCACCATCGCAGCTCGGTAGAAGAAGTGGGCGTTTTCGTAGCCTGGGGGGTACTTGTACATGTTGTAGACCTTGATCGTCTGCGGCTCGTCGGACACTTCGATGAAGAAGTAGCACGTGTCGCCGTCGCACTTGGTCGATGTCATGTTGTGCGAGTAGATTTCGAGCGCGCCGTTGACGCCGTCGGGTTTATCGAGCGACGTCCAGATGTGATCGTCGCCCGGCCGGAAGCTGCGGTTGGCCACGTTGAACTCGTCGCTCATGACGAGGTCCCAAGTCCGGCCACGAGAGCTGGTGAACGTTTGTCGGTCCTCTAGGGTGTCGGGGTCCACCCAGTTCTTGATCCCTGACTTGGTCGGGTACGACGACGTCGTCGAGCTGTTCTTGCCTGAAGCCCCAGCGCTCGCGACTGCAATCGCAGTCAAAGCCGCGGCGAGGCGCATCTTCCTTCCTTCCTGTCAGTGTATTCGCCTGCCTCCACTTGCTGGCCTCGAGGCGAATTGGTAACTGGGGCGCCTTTGTTCTTATCGCCAGAATCGCTCCGCTCGTCCCGCAACTGAATAGTCAGAGCGCCGAGCGACAAATTGGTTGACTTCGAAAAGCCTTTGTCACTGGCACGTGCGGTGAATCTTCCCACCATCCCAGCCACCTGAGCACGAACAGCGCCTGCCTAGAAAAATAGTCTTCGCTCGCAGTCCACAAACAGCAGGAGAGACGCAAAACCGGATGCCTGTGCAGCACTACCGAAACGCAGCAAGCAGCGAAACCCGCACAAGTCGAAGCATGAGATACACAGCGGTTTATTTACACTTTACCTTAGACGAAGTTCTGGCTGTAGTTGTCCTTTGGTCTCTGGTTGGTCGAGTTGTTGTGGCCGTCGTCCATCATGCTCGAAGCCATCTTGGCCTGAGCGGCCGACTTGACCAGGGCCGCGGCCTGCTTCTTGGCCGACAGCATCGACATGTACACCGACACGAACGACAGGAAGACGATGATGCCGGCGAGAGCCATGGACAGACCCATGGGCGGCCCGTACGCGCGACTGGCCAGGCTGCTGGTGCTTGTGCTCGTGGACCCGGCCAGGGCGGTGGTGCATCGCGGCCCGCCCCACGACGTCGAGTAGGTGCATTGGCAGCGGTTCTTGACGCACTTGCCAGTCTTGAGTGCCGTCGTGCCGACGTTGCCGCCGATCGTGCAGTCGCTGTCGGCCGTGCAGAAGGCCTTGCCCGACACTTCCTTCCACGGGTTGTCGTCGTCCACGTACTCGTCAATGTGCGCGTCGATCCACTTCTTGGTCGGGTGCGTGGCCGGATCGCAGCCGATGGTCATGTAGTTGTCGGCCTCGAGGTCGTCGCCTCGGTCCTGGTACAGCCGGATGTAGTCGATCTTCATGTACATGGGGAAGGCATCGCAGATGGCGTTGGCCACGGGGTCGTTCCCGTCGCCGCGGCACTCAGCGCCAGGGTTGGGCGGCGTCGTACCCCACGACCTCGACAGCGCCACGTTGAAGATGAGGTACATGGGCTCCTCCAGCATGACCTTCTGCGGGTTGTCCTTCTTGGAGCTCTGCGGGACGTTCGAGAACGCGTCGGTGGTGACCTCGAAGATGGGGCTGCCGTCCAGCATCCAACGCACGTAGCCGTTCTCGCCCGTGACCCACTCGACTTGGTACACGAGGTAATCCAGATACCCGCCCAAGTGAATGGGCCAGTTCGATGAAATGGCGTCCATCTGATAGTTGAACGCGCTCATCGAGTTCGTCTTGGGCGTCGTGGAGTTGCGAGGGCTCAAGCAGTGCGAGTCGGTGTTGTCCGGGTCGCACAGGTAAGCTCCAGTGTACGAGTTCATAATGGGGAAGCACGTGCCGTTCGAGTTGATGCCCCAGTGGGATTTCTTGGTGTCGTCGATGAAGCTCAAGTCGCTGTTGGCGTCTTTGGACGCGGGGCACGTCTTGGGCGTGCACGTGTTCTCCTTGATGCCAGACTTCACGGAAGCGGCCACCGTGGTGTAGTCTTGCTTTTCCGTCGCGTTCTGCGCGCAGAAGTTGTTGGACGCGTAGCGAAGTCCCTGATACCAGGATCTGTGGCCGCGTTCCTTCTGGTAGTAAGCGGTCGGGACGTCGATCATGTTGGCGCCGGGCGTCTTACAGTCGTACGTGAACACGCAGTACGGGTTGGCCACATCGGCTCCGTCAGGGTCAGCGGGGAATAGTCGGTAGTCGTCCGGCATACCGGGAGCAATCTGCAGCGACGACGAGATGGCCAGACCTCCTCCTTCGAGGATATCGATCTCAGGAGCTCCACGGCCTTGGTTCGGGTGCATACCGTAGCCCGGGTTGTCGTTGCAGGCGCTGATACGCTGATTCTCCGGGTTGAACACGTCGGGCTCGCAGCGGTTGTAGGAGAATGGCCACATGCGGTTCGTCGACGCGGAAAAGATAGCCCTTCCTAAGTTTCCCATCATCCAGATACCGGGCCACGTCGGGTAGTACCTGGTCGACTGGACTTTACCTGAAGCACCGAGCGCGAGGTCCGGGTTGCCTGATTCTTTGGTTACGGCGCCGGGGAGCTGCGCGCTCACCTCGAGCATGCCGCCTTGGTAGCAGAATTTGTTCCAGGACTGCACCATGGCGGCGCGGTAGAAGAAGTCGACGTCCTGGTATCCGGGCGGGTTCGTGTACATGTTGTAGACGTGGATCTGGTCCACCTCGTCCTTGACCTCGATGAAGAAGTAGCAGTCGTCGCCGTCGCACTTGGTGCCCGTCATGTTGTGCGAGTAGAGCTCGAGGGCGCCGTTCACACCGTCGGGTTTGTCCAGAGAAGTCCACATGTGGTCGTCGCCAGGCCGGAAGCTGCGGTTCTTCATGTTGAACTCGTCGCTCATGACGAGGTCCCACTTGCGGCCACGAGAACTTGTGTACGTCTGACGGTCTTTGGGCGTGTCCGGGTCCACCCAGATCTCAATACCCGACTTGGTCGGGTAGGTAGTGCCTGTAGAGTTCTTGGACGTAGTTGTGGTTGTTGTTTTAGATGCAGAGGGAGACGAAGAAGCTGAAGAAGAGGAGCCATCGGCCTGGACTACTGCAGCCAGGAGCACTGCCGCCCACGCGGCGAAGGACGTGAACTTCATGCTGGATGCCTAGGATATCTATCTCTGCAAGAAAGATACTCAGGCGTTAGTCTCATTCTACACGCTAAGATGATATAAGCTGCTACTGTACCTTGGTGAGCCTTCGATAGTCGAACGCGATTCCAGTAATCGCGTTAGCTCCGCGCGCCTTCTTGCCAAGTGTCGGTCGCGGGACATTGGCCAGCCATGTGGCCCTCGTGGCCTTGGGCAACGACCGTGCGAGCAATGGGCAGTCCAGGCACGCCATTGACCAGTGCATATCTAGGCGTCTGCTTTCTGTTCCTGAAGTTCCTGAACGTCTTGCTGTTCGCATAGAGTTTTCCATAGTGGCGGCGTCGAGTTGTAAGTCGCAAACTTACCCATCTCTCTAACGCCAAACAAATTGACAGCGTAGAGGACAGACGCTGGCGTTGGTGAAAAGACTGCGGGTTTGTATGGGAATGCCACGAGAGCATGACTCTTTGGTCTGATTTGGTCTGTTACGCTGGTGAGCGTCATGGATCTTCGCATGATGCTATGCTGAGCTTTGCCTAGTCGTGGAGCAGTCACGTCGGGTAAGCTGGTCGAGTATTACAGTGTTTGTTCAGCAAGTGGAGCAAGACGAGTTGGCTACTCGCTCGCTTTTGCGTGGGCGTCGGCGACGAGGGCGGAGCGTTCGAACAACGAGCGAGGGTGGTGTGCTGATACCGCCCACTCTCCACACTTACAAACAGCAAAAGTGGCCACCTGCTGTCTCTCATTGCCTGGTCACGACAACACGGACGAAGACGTCTCTGTACGGTATCCACCCCCGTAATGACGACAACACAGACCCGAAACTTGTGGGAGCATCCAACATGGAAGCATCGACTCGATAACATCTTCTTACCAACGAGGAAGCCTCAATTTGAGAAGTACCAGGTAGGTAAGTGCATGTATTTACATGTTCTCGTAATGCTGTGAAGGTATCGGACTTGATCCTCTGCAGTTGCCGTACACGAATCCGTATCGCGTGGCTGGTGACCGATTAGTAATAGTAAGGGTGTCTGTTTGTCTGTGCCTCGTCGTCCTTCATGGGTTCCTCTCCGAGGAACGGCAATGGCACGGTGCACAATTGGTCGGGCTGCCCGGCTCGAGCAACTATGGTATGTACATGTAGCTAATGCACTGAAGTGGTAGCGTGAACTTTAAGGTTACGGGTAAGTACTTCTTTGGTCAGCACACCCAACACAATTGCCAGGCCCCTCCATAATAGCTCGAAAGAATTGTGAGCAAAATCTACAGCTGCGATCTTTCAACCAGAGTGTATTGAGCGGCACTCGCGCTGATCACACAGGATCGCTTAGCCACCGGCTATCCGTAGTTAGTTTGAAGTCCGCATCGACACCCCGCGAAAACGCGTCGTCGAATACTGGGCAGAGGAGGGGAAACGAAAGACACTTGGGACGCTATCACGGCACAAGTAGTTGAGCATTGGTACTATAGGTACGGTGATGCTGAAGAAAACGTAAACCATGAACATTTCTTCTGCGTCGAGCTCAGGGTTAAAGTGCAAAGAACAATTATATATAATATATACACGGTGAAAAATGTGTATTTTCGTGAGGTTAATAGCTACCCGCGTGACAAGTGCTATCTTCGCTGTACACCCCCGATACACAGCTCTCAAAATTGGGATGGCATGACGCACCGTTTTGCATCCATCGGCGCTGGCTTTAGCAGGTGAAAGCGGTCGAAGTCGATGCAGAGACCCCTGGACGTCTTGATCACGCAGCGCTCGAAGGTAGCATCCCACACGATGTCATCGTCAGTGTACGAATTGCGAGCCTGCATGGTGTTGGAAGTGGAGCTATCGATACCCTCCAAAATCACCACGACTTCCAATCCACTTCTGCGCAAGTGATTCATGATCTGCGCCTTAGTAGGTTCTTGGTAAAGTTTTGGCGCACCTGGTAGACCACCATCGCGATTACCGTTGTCGATGTCCACCTGACGCTGTGTCGGATCCGGGTAGCTAGCGCAAGTCTTGGAATCCCCACCGTCTCGTGGCAGACACTCGGGAGGGAACAACGGGCTCCACTGGTCAATACGGTGCACGACCACCTGAGGCAACACCATGAGCAGCATCGCGCCGCAGTCGTCGTCAGGCTGTTGCACGCGCATTTGGTGGCACTGGAACAGGAAGTCGTGGGGCTCGTCGCTGTCGTCCTCAGCCTCGTGGCGAACGGCGTACAAACGGACGTGAGCCTCCACGAGCTGGTGCTTGCGTCGCTCGCAGGTCTGGAACATGAAGTAGTAGTGTCCTCGGATCTTGCGAATCACCGCGGAGTTCGAAAACATGATGGTGTTTGCCCGTTGCTACGATACACAAGAATTTCAGTTGGAACCTCTTACAAGAAGCATAGCAGAATGCAGCAAACTCACGTTGGCACGGGAGAAGCGAGCGTAGAAGATGCCAATGCAGACCGAATCCAGGATGATTCCAGCAAATGACTGCAAAATTCCATCCAACACAATGTCGGTTTCCGAGTACCAAACGGACGCTTATGCATCGCAATAGTTCACTTACCTCAAGAGTCAAAAGCGTAGCGATGGATGTGCATCCGCCGTAGAAAATGTCGTCAGTTGGCGCACCATATCCAATTGTCATCTACCGGATGCATTTCAGTTAGCACCCACTTGTATATATCTAATTAGTAAAGAAACAAAAAAACTCACAATGGTCTCGAGCGAGAACACGTAGGCCTCCATGATGCTCGAAAGGCCCACATGACACGTCGGGTGACGCACTGACACGTCCAGGTACGCCAGAGCAAAGAACAAAATGATGAAAAAGTACTGTACCACCACCAACAAAAAAGTTTAGGGCCCAATACCACAGTCCAAACAAACAAAGTAGAGCAACCGCACCGCAATGAAGACGCCCCAGATGATCCTCGACGTGCGCGTGTTGATCACCGTGTGGAACGGGTCGTCCCAGTAGATCTTGCGCCAGTCTCCGCCTTTGCGGTAGATGCTGAGAGCCACGCACCAACATTTGTCAGATTTTTCCCTCCACTAACTAAAAGCTTAAAAAAAATACTTCCACTCACTTGAAGCGGCCGAGCGACTGCTTGAACCGACCGCGGCGATCCAGGAAGCGCGTGCGCTGAGACTGCGGCGCCTGGCAGGACGCGGATCCGCCGCTAGACGCCACCGAGAGCAGCGGCTGCTCGACTCCCGACATTATTGGGATTTTTACAACTTGTAGAGGGGGCTAAAGGGTGATTCCGCCACCAACAGATAGAGCAGATGATGGGGGAGTGAACGCAAGTGCTTGTGCGTCTTGGGGACTAGTAGAAGTGGAGTTCTTGGCGCTGATGCGAAAGTGCGCGGAGGCTGCGCCCGCCCGTCAGCGAGGGGGTTTCAAGGTCGGAATACGGCGATCTGATTGGCGGGGGCTAGTTTGAACCTATCAGATGGTGCGGAAGAGGACGACGATATGCGCGCCATAGTGGAGCCACTTCAACGTCGGAATCTGAAGCAGACATGGCTCCATGTACTCCATGATGACACGGGCCCACCGAGAGTTTTCAACAGCTCTTGCTAGCGCCAAGTGGGAGATGCGTATGCAGTCTCAAGTATCATGCATTCTTGCGTTTAGTTTGGTGATAAATCCACTAGATCACCCCGCGGGTAGACCTTCAAAAGGAGGACTCAGTATCACATTTATCTGCCGAACGATATCCGAAACGGCAGTTGAATGTCCATCCAGCCCTGATGGTCTCTAAGTGCCCGTCCAGAGCAGCTCTACTGGCACTACATGTACGAAACTCATGCTAAGTTACAACGGTGCCATCAAGCTCTGCAGTAGCCTTTCGTACTTACTGCGAGTCGGAGTTGTAAACACTTTTTGAAAGCCTGGTGGCGATGTCCTCCGCTCGCCTCGTGTACGTGCTGTCCCCGGCCAAGACGCTGGACCTGTCGGCCTCCCGCATCTCGCAATGCTCCCAGCCACGACTGCTGTCCGACGCGCACGAATTGATCTCGCAGCTGCGCGCTCTGTCCCAAGCCAAGGTCAAGTCCCTATTGGGAGTGAGCGACGCGCTGGCCAAGCTCAACTACGACCGCTTCCAGTCCTTCGACGTGTCCGAGACGGCCACGAAAGCCTCCGGCCCTCGCGAAACCCTGAAGCAGGCGGCGCTGGCCTTCAACGGGCCTGCGTACCAGGGTCTGGAGGCTCATAACCTGTCTGAGTCGGACCTCGAGTACGCCCAGACCCATCTCCGTGTCCTCTGCGGTCTGTATGGAGTTCTGCGACCGCTAGACCTGATCCAGCCCTATCGACTGGAAATGGGTCAGAAGTTCGCCAACAAGCGCGGGAAGGACCTGTACGAGTTCTGGGGGGACACAATTGTGTCCGAGTTGGACGCTCTTTTCAGTGACGAGGAGGCCAAGGAGGACGAGAAGAAGCAGCGGGTGCTGGTCAATGTGGCGTCGCAGGAATACTTCAAGAGTCTGCCCCGTGACGCGCTGGACAAGGCTGGAATCTCGGTGGTCGACTGCGTCTTCAAGGACGACGGCAAGATCAAGTCGGTGTATGCCAAGCGCGCGCGAGGACTCATGTGTCGGTATCTGATCCAGAAGCGAGTGGACTCGCTGGAGGGGATCACGGGCTTCGATCTCGAAGGCTACAAGTACTCGAGTGCAGCTTCCAGTGACGACACTTTCGTGTTCACGCGCACGGCTGCAGAACAAAAGGCGGCACTGCAGCAGACGAAGGCAAAGGCGGCGACACCGGCAAAAGCAAAAGTGAAGGCCAGTCCGAAGACCAAGAGGAAGAAGAAGGAGCCGAAGGTTGACGAGAAGGTTGTGGAGGATGAAGACAAGCCTCAACTGCGTCGCTCCACGCGCAAGAAGCGCAAGACAGACTGAGTATGGTGATAATACATACTTCACTAAGTCGTTTGTAGTGGAAACGATTTGTTTTTGCTGTTTAGCTCAGGTTAAGCAGTTTCAATTGTACGCACGGGTTCGTACGTGCGTCGGAAGTCCTTGAGATCAGTTTGCAGGCCGTAAATAAGCCCGCTGAAGAGGAATACACCGGTGAGCGCGGCTGGGATGAGCGCTGCGAAGGCCCAGACGATGACGAAGCCAGACACAACAAACGGCACCAATAATGCTGAAGACGTAAGCAGCAAGCGTGATCTCCTACATATATAAGTCGAGCGAGGGAGATCGGGCATCGTCACGCGTAGTCGCACTGCAGCAGCGATGAGTATCATGGTCTCTAGTCCAGCCAACGCATTGGATATCATAATCATGTCCTTGATCGTGATGGCCACCACGATGAGGATAATTGCGAGGCTGCAGAACAGCACACTGTGGTCGATGCCATGGACGTTTGGTCGTGCCATCCCTGATAAGCGAAGAGAGAACGGCGCGAAGTTCTTCTCAGCCATACCGCACGCCAAATGCACGCTGCACAGTAAACCACCGATGTAGAGCCCCGCCTCGCATACGAGTGCCACAACAGTAATCCAGGCGGTGTACATGGAGCCACCCAAATGCTTGGCCGCATTGTAGACTGCAGTCCCGGAGCCTGTCCACGTCTTCCAGTCTGCATCGCTCAAAGCGATAACAGAGAAAATGGGCACGAAGTATGATAATGGAATCAGTACGAGCGTGATAAGGATGACACGGCGAAATGTGCGGGACGGATCGTGCACACAATTCGCGAAGACGGACAGGTTCTGGAAGCCGTTGAAGTTCCAGACAAGCGCCGTCACGAGATTTTCATAGCCCAGATTTGTGTTCTCATCCTTGAGAGCAGTGTCAGGAAGTTCACGCAGCTTTTCCCAATCATCGGCTTGTACGGCGCTCCAGACAGCAACCAACTGCACACACAAGAGAAATATAGACCTTCAGCCTCATAATAATGATTGCCTCCGAACATCAATTTCACTTACCAGGTACGGTATCAATACAAATGCGATGAGCGACCCCGCCGCGTAGCTGACGACTCGTAGATGGAAGAAGCTCGGCAGCGCCAGCAGCATACTCAGCCCAGCTCGCATCGTGTATTCCAACACCGGCATGTTCTTCCAACCAGCAGCCTGATAGATGGAGCTAATACCCATCGACGCATACGCAGCACAGTGCATGCAATTTCCCACCCACGCCCAGAAGCCTGCCTGAAGCCCCCATGCCGGTCCGAAAGCCAATGCAACCCAGTACGCATGTCCTCCAGCTTCGGGGATAGCACTCACTAATTCCGCGACCATGAAGCCCATCGGGAAGAAATACACGACCGGAAAAAATATCAGCGAAGCCAGCCCTACCAAGGGCCCAGCAGCTACAATCACTGACTCGCCGCCTTCGGGCCCACTGCCAACCGTGAAGAAACTCAAGGCCAGCAACATGGCGGTGGACAGCATCCGACCTCTCGGTGGTCTAGCCGCGCCCACCCCATTATTGGATCGAGCCACGTTGCTCTGGATCCTGTTCAGTAGAGGATTCCCGTCTTCGGATGCCCATTGGAGATCGTCCCCGCTGCGTACACTTTGCCCGGGCTTGGTGTTTGTATGGAGCTGTACAGTCCGCGGAGTGTCCAGACTCTGGAATTCCGCCGCTGAATTACTGAACGATAAGGCGTTAGAACCGAGTTAAATTGCCGTTAACGATGGTGGAGTGGGTGGGGGTTTGATAGGTATAATACCTGAGACCGTCGGCGTCGCCTATCGTGACGAAGGGGACCTGCAGAAGCTGACCATGAGCACCATGGTGCATTGCTGCGACGGCACGATTTTGGGGACTGGGCTAGCTTTTTCATTGGCCGAGAAGTCAGGAGCTCCTGTGATTGGCTGAATGAATTTATCAGAAAAGTGGATGTTATCCGGTCTTCGAAGCTGAAAAGTGCAGTACTTGTGTAGCCATCTGCATGTAGCTAGACTACTTCAGTGACTGAAGTTCAGTCCTTCAGATTCCTCAGGTGAGCTGAGGCTTTCATCAAAATCGCCGTTGTACACGTCGTCGGTGCTGAAGTAGCCGGACTGGTAGTCGCTGGACACGGTGAGATTCAAGGCCGGCATTTTGTCCACGCAGGATTTGTCCAGACGCTTCAGATCACCGCCACTGCTAACGTACGACGCAAGCAGCTTCAACCCTCAGGTCGGACTCGAGGGATCGTTGGGGTCAAGCCGAGTCCACTTGAGCGCGCCGTGAATGGAGTAGTTGAACGTCACCAGCTCCTTGTTGGCTCCGTCCAGCGAGTCCAGCAGATATTTCGCAAACTTGTGTGGTGTCTGAGCGTCCAACTTGCTGCTCAGTAGGAGGACGCTATCATGACTGGGGATCGTAGCGCTCTTGTGTCGTGGTCGTAGAAGATCCCGTTTGCCGCGTAATCCCCGCCTCCGATCTCGTCGCACGCTGGGGACTTCTCTTTCGAGAAGGCGTAGTACAGTCGGGGCGTCGAGTAAGCACCGGAAGCCGTGCTGGTGTTCATGAGGCGCTCTTTCATCACGGACGTCGCGGGTAGCGGGTTTTCCCAGAGCTCAGAGAATGCGATCAAATAGTAGAGTAGAGGCGAGTAAAATCCGTCGTCGTGGATGACGCCCCCTCTGCGGTTGAAAGTCGAGGCAAATCATGCGAGCTACATAGTTGTCATCCGTCGCATTTCCCCGGCCGAGATTCTCCTGAAAGCCGTTATCAGCAATGATCCTCTCGAACAACCTGAAGTACTTCGCTACGCGATCTGGTACATCCTTAATCGTGAGGTCCATTTTCAATTGCTGAGAGAATAGAGCTGAAGGGTTCGAAAGGTAGTCGCTGTTCATGGTTTCGCAGCGCTCCTTCACCTTGGCTAGTATGTCCTCGTCCGTGATGTCCTTGTTGTCCTTGCCGATCTCGTACGCCGCCAAAAACGCGAAGAGGTCCGGATCCACAGCAGTACGTACTCCCCGCACCACTAGCTTGTAATCTTCACCAGACCACTGACACCGCTCTTTCAGTCTCTTCATACTGCTCACGCGCTCTTCTCCATGTGACCAACGACGCTTGGTCCCAGGCCTCGAGTTTCGGCGGTAAGACGACCTCGAATATCGGCTGGGGCACTGTCATCACGGCGTCGCCGTCACTCTCCAGTCGAAAGCGCGACATCGTTGCTTGCAGTTGACTATCGGCTCCAAACTGCACGCAACTAAAGTATACTTTGTAGTCTTTTGCGCTGTTCCAAGTGAAATCGATAGTGCTGTATTCAAAGGAGCTGCCTATAGCTACACATGCAAAGGTCAGCCGTTAGCGCTACGACCTGTGGCACGGCGACTCCTAGCAGGATCGCGTGCTGTCCGTTGCTGAGGCTGTTAATGTAGCCATGTCTGGCGAGGCCAGGTTCCACACAACGAGCCCAACCCTGCCGAAGTCCCGGCGTGCGCTCAATCTCTATAGAACAAGTACGGCGACCTTGCTTCATTCTCGACGACGAGTGCAGCCAATGACGTCGTGACCTTCATCTCGAACTACACGAACGGAGCCTCTACTATTCTGTATGGCATCAGCTACGGAACGATTCTACTGGAACGGATCATGCACTTGAATCCTGCGAAGGTTACTGGGTACGTGTTGGACGGCGTCGCCACGGCTTCGGGGGCGGCCGGTGACAAGTTCATGTATCTGTCAAGACGCGGCGTCGACTTTGGTAAAGTTGGCGATCGCTTCTTGGAAATGTGCTCGGAGAATACAACATGCCGCGACCACTTCAAACCTCCGAATACTATCCCCCACGCGCTCCCGAAATTACTGGCAAACTTCGACAAAAATGCCAACTCGACGTGTGCAACGTTCTTAACCGGCAAGATAGTCTACGACGATCAGCCGTCGTTTGCGCTCCGGAACTTGCTCGGCATTATGCTGATGAGTGATGAACTGAGGAAACTTATTCCTCCGCTGGTTAGAACATCGACGTCCGTCTTGATACAGCGGATGAGTCTGTAGACCCAAAGCAGAGGACCAAGATTTTGGTGGATAATCTCTCGCCTACCATGCTTCGTGACGAGATTGTGGTGTAGTGGCACGCACAAAATCGTCAGATGTGGCACCCTAGCTACAAACACAACAACAGCCGAGCTAGTCGGCCCTTGTTGGCCTGCGCTGAGATGTCCCCCAGCGGTTCAGCCCTTCCGGGACAGTGATGTCTCGTCCTCGTCGAGACCAAGTACCCCAAGCCAGTCAATCACGGAAACCAGCTGAATTACCTGACTCCGGGATTAGAAATCCCGTGCCCTCCGCCAAAGGACGGACGACGGCCCTCGCGGGCTTTTACGGGTCGCCGAGAGCAAAGGCTTCTCGACTCAGCAATCAGTGCCCGGGACGTACGGGAACACCGGCTCGCAGCGGTGGCGAGACTTTTCCTTCGCGCTTGGCGAGACACGCGCCCAACCCGGGCCGACCTTAATCTCTTGGCGCTACCAGTCAGCACCCTACAAGCTATGCCTCTCGGGTGCTGACAGCAGACATAATCCGGCCCGTGCAGGGACTTACTGGAAGCGCGTGCACGTGTTGTGGACCTAGAAAATTCTGCTCTGTTGTTTGTTATCTCTGTCGGGCGCCCTGAAGGGGCGCCTCCACTATTCCTAAGCTCCTATACAAATACCAAATGAAAGTGGGCGGTTTTGGATCTCGGCCGACTCTTCACCGAGCTCGGCGACGCTTGAACTCGGCTAAGCCGGATAACCTGTCCGGATAACCCCTTGAACTCGGCTGAGCCGGATACGGCGTGTCCGGATAACCTGGCGAACTCGGCGGAGCGACCCTAGGACTCGACTGGGCGACTCCCGGACTCAATTGGACCCGATTGCCGTATCTGGATGGCACGTGGTGCCGTTTAGCCGAGCTCGGCGGCTTGAACTCCACATGATCTCGGCTGAGCGTGTCCAGTGCCTTCCTGAACTCGGCTGGGTCTTCATCACTGGGTCTGCCACGTGTCACCAGGTCGGGGCCGGTGTACCTTGAGTTTCTGACACCATCAGCCGAGTTCAGCGGTCCATCAGCGCATTCTTGCCCACTGAGCTCGGCGGACGGTCATCCCGCCGAGTAGAACTTGGCTCCTGGTACGTTGTTCCACTGCGGCCTTGGAGTGTGACACAAAACTTAATGTTCCCTACACCACAACTGCCCCGGCCATGCTACGAGCCGGAGTGGTGAGTGGCCTGGCCAACGGGATGTATCACACGCTTGATTTCGTGCAATCAGATCTGTTGCAAACACTCTGAGTTCACATTTCCCGAATTCGAGTGGCCAGAAACGCCCGTAACACCAGCTCGACGCCCTCGTTCCGTGAAGGTGAGACTAGCTTGAGCCTTGATCTTTGGTATAGGCCTTGTCTGATGCGTGGACTCAGCGCCTCATGAGTCTGGACACATGTAGGTGCCCCTATCGCTCGCACCAAGCCCCGTCGTCGGATCACTTCAGCAGCGAATCAACCTGGATGGTGGTCTCGGCGTGGCAGCCGGTAGGAGGGACTGAACCATACGAAGTCAGCTGGTGCCCCTGTCGAAGCTCGGAGTACTAGCGGTGATGTTGGGTCTGTCGCAGCGAAGCGAGTAGGTGACGCAGGTGTCGGGGAAGTGCTCGATTGGCTGCAATACCGACGAAGCCGAGCATCTCTGTCTCCGTCAAAATGAGCAGCCATGGATGCTGCCAGCGACTCGGCTGACCCGGTAAGCACGTGCCTCTCGTTTCGGTGCGTCGAGTGGAGCCTGATAGTTGTCTTGGCGTGCTACAAGGCACCGGGAACTCGGCGGGTCAAGAAACGCTTCCCCGATCGGGCCGCGCTGAGCTCGAAATCCACCCCAGTTGAGCTTATTGGCGAGAAGTGCAGCAGCAAGTTGAACTCAGCTGTGTCCGAACTCGGCTGTCCTGACGGCTAGCTACTATCCGCTGACCTTGAACTCGGCTGGACTTGAACACAACCTCCGCTTGATCGGCTCAACTAGCCTGGTAAGTGTTTGCCCCACTCACTTTGGTGCGTTGAGTTAGCTCTCACCGTTGCTGTGTCATTTTATAGCCGAACAAGGCGATCCTGATGCGTTTGATGCTCCAGTCGAGTTGTTCTGAACGGGCCGAGCTGGGTTCAGTGGTCAACGGATCTTGACTTCGGCATGTCTCCCGCTCTGTTAGACCAGCTTACCCCGACTGGGCTCAGCTTGGTTGGGATGGTGGTGGGCAAGCTCGACTAGAACAGCACTTCATTCGATCACATTCCAACTCGGCTTGCCGCGAGCTCGGCAGCGTCCAAACTCAGTTTGAATTCAGTCTCTTCGGTTCAGCTGTGAAGCGTGTTCAGCCTCAGCTCGGCTACACCTCGAACTCGGCATGAGCGCTCTCCAATCGGAACATGGTGCGTTTACCAGCACTCAACTAGGCGAACTTCCGAACGCGATCTCACTGAAACTCGGCGTACCGCAACTCAGCCCAGTGTTTCCTTCCGTTGAAGTGAGTACACTTCAGATTGGCGCCATCCAACCCGTCGCACTACTGGAACTCGGCATCCCATTCCAGCTTGATCGTACTCCAATGTTCTCGGCTTCGCAGCAACCCAGTGCGAACGCGACCACATTAGGATGCAGCGTGATCTCAGCCTCGCTTCAGCTCGGCTCTGCTCGGACTCGGCTGCGCATAACGTCGGCTCGACCTAGTTCGTCTCGGCTGGAATCCGACGAGAACCGGGCACAAGACCGAGATGTATGCGTTCCCACTGGAACTGGACGCGAAGCGGCCCAACTTGATCGTGGCTTTGATTCAGCAAGGTTGCTCTTCAATCGGCTCCACTCCAACGACCAGCGCTTCTTCGAAGCGTTGCTCGAACTCGGCTCCGTTCCGGCTTGGTTGAACTCGGCTTCACGACATCTCGGTGTCAAACTACTTCCACGCAGAGTGCACTGTCTCGCTTCAACTCGGCTCTGCTTGAACGCATCTCGGCTTCAGCTTGACTGTGGTTCAACTCAGTTGGTGCTGACCTCGGCTGCACTTGTACCTGATCCCGATTCAGCTCGGATTCAAGACAAACCTCTGCTGCAATTCGCCTAGGCACCACTTGATCCCCATGTTTTGTGGCTCTGCCACGAAGCAACCCGGGTCTAGCGCGACTCACGTTCACCTGGAATTGATTCCGCTTCAGCTTAGCCCAGTTGAGGATGGTGAGAGGCAAGCTCGACTGAGCGAACGACACAGCTGGCTGCCTGACCAGCTCTGTCCCTTAGCGGAAGTATCAGCGCTTTGAAGGGGTGTTTCGACTTGGCTATGCTCGATCCCTGACCAAGCGCTGCTCATGTTGGCTCAATGTGAATACGACCGCGGCCGCGTGAAATCCATTCCTCTTCAGTCCAGCTTTGGATGTTGGGTACACCTTTGCGACGCCGTGACTCGGCGATTTCACCGACTCGGCTTCAGGCTGACCGCAGATAAACTCGATGGTAGCCCTACGTCGGATCGAGAGAAGTCGGAGTCCATCTTCAAAGCAGGTGTCTGCTTCTGCTCAGCTACGGATCAACTCGGCTCCCGTTCGAGAGCGCTGGCACGTCGACATTCTCGGCGACGCGCCTGCCCAGCGTGCCTCCGCTGAGCTTTGCTCAAATCCAGCTTTGCTGCAACTTCGGTTTGTTCACCGCCGCCGCGCATCGACCGACTCAGCTAGCCGCCTCTCGGTAAACATGGAGTGATTACGGCCTCACTGGAACATCGTGCGAACTCGACTTCGCTTCGGCTTTCCTGCTTGAGCGTGGCTCCATATCAGCACAGCTCCGCGTCAGCACACCTGCGCTCCAATTCGGCTTGAGCGCACAACGGGAAGATCGTTCATCGACTTGGTCGGAGGTCCCGGCGGTCGTACCCAAGGGTGTCGATCGTACCGCCGCATATCACACACAGTGCCCCAGTGGGTAGCGTGCTCATGGACCCAGTGACGAGTCAACACAGCTTCGGCATCGACGGCTGACTCGCTCAATCTGTGCAGACGCACCATCACCTCCCTCAGCTTCTTCACTGGGTCGCTGTCAGACCAGCTGGGCTTAACCGCTCAGCTCGGCAACTCGGCTGAGACTTCGCGCCGACTCCAACGCTAACCCGGCGAATGGGCTTCTTGCTTTCCAGCTCCATCTTCGCTCACTCCATTGCGATATCATGTAATTCATATAATCCATACAGTTGACGCAGTATCATTCTTCGACTCGACCCAGCCTGCTGTCTTCACTGAGTCGGCGGATCATCACTTTGGTGCAATAGCCTTAGACCGCATCTGCAACTTGCACCATTTGCAGACGGGTTTCACATTTCTTCGATTGCCCCTAGTCGAGTGGAAAGGTTTCCCACGAGACGTTCAGCATCGAATCCCAACTCGGGCATTTCGCGCTGGATGCCCTCGTCGCTCGTTGTATCAGGGGCGGACGGTCCCCTGGAGCGACGGCTTGACTGTCGTCGTCCGCATCGTCACCGAGCGCGGCTGCGAGGTTTTGTTGGGCTCGTCGAGGTTTCTCCATGCGCCCAACATGCAGCGAGAACTCAGCTACCCCGCTGAGCAACTTGGCTTTCTTCAATTATTCATCTTAATCTCCGATATTTCCATCTCTTCCTCGGTCTTGGGTGCGGTCGTCGCCAAACCGAACGGTTGGGACCGCTTCCAT